TTAAACTGTCATCATCAGCCGGCGTAGACGAAATTAATTCCAAATTTCTAAAAAATACTAAACACATCTCTGCAGCATATTTGTCCTTGTTATTCTCTCAGTCACTTTCTACAGGTAACATTCCGGAAGACTGGAAGGTGGGAAAGGTCGTTCCCGTCCACAAATCAGGTAATAAAGAATCCCCATTAAACTACCGCCCTATCTCTCTAACGAGCGTGCCTTGTAAAATCATGGAACACGTCATTTTTTCTCAAGTCATGCATTTTCTGGACTCGATCGACTTCTTCCATCCTTCGCAGCACGGCTTTCGTAAAGGATTCTCCTGCGAAACGCAGTTAGCCCTCTTTCTTCATGATCTGCACATTAACCTCGACTCTAACATACAAACTGACGCCATATTTTTAGATTTTTCAAAAGCATTTGACAAAGTACCTCATCAGCGCTTGCTACTAAAACTTGCTCAGTTGAACTTAGACCATAATATCTTACGATGGATCAAAGAATTTCTTAACAACCGCTCCCAATCTGTCCTAGTTAACAACCAGTCTTCTAATCTCATCCCAGTCACATCGGGCGTCCCCCAAGGGTCTGTTCTTGGTCCGCTTTTATTTTTAATATATATTAATGATTTACCGCAACATTTATCCTGTAATATTCGCATGTTTGCAGATGACTGCGTCATCTACCATTCCATCACTAACGTATCGGACCAATCTGCTCTCCAAAACGACCTTAACCGCGTGCTGCAATGGTGCGACCGTTGGTTAATGTCACTTAACTCTACTAAATGTAAAGTTATGTCCTTTCACCGCCGCCGCAATCCCATTTTCTTTCCCTATACCATCACTACCACCCCCGTAGAATTAACCGAATCATATAAATACCTTGGTGTCACCCTTTGCAGCGACTTATCTTGGCGTACGCGTATTACTAACATTACCTCATCTGCTAACAAAACCCTGGGATTCCTTAAACGTCAACTACGCCACGCCCCTCAGGAAGTAAGACTACTCGCCTACAAATCACTAATAAGATCAAAGCTTGAATATGCATCCGCCGTCTGGGACCCTCACCAAGTATACCTCATCAACGCAATCGAAGCAGTCCAAATCGAAGCAGTCATTCATTCTTCATACTCGTACCATACCAGCGTATCACCCCTGAAAGCTGAATCAGGTTTACTTAGTCTCGCTTGTCGTAGCCGCATCGCTACCCTCTGTTTGTTTCACAAGTTATTTAATTCCCCCCTCTGTATCTCACCTTACATCGTATTTCCCACACGCATATCTCACCGCACCAGTCATCCTCTCCAGGTTGCTCGCCCACGCGCTCGCACTGTCACTTTTTCTGCGTCATTCTTCCCCCGTGCAGCTCCAGACTGGAACGGCCTTCCCCACCACATTGCTGCCATCACCTGCCCATCAATCTTCTTCGAAAATGTTACTAATCATCTCTCATCCTGAAGACCAGCACCTATGTTTGATTATTTTTGTAACCCCACCCCTTATGTAATACCCCCTAAAAGGGGGTCTTTAAGGTAATAAAATGAAAAAGGAAAATGAAAATGTAAGCTAGCTAGGAAGTTCAGATAAAGAGACAGTAATGGCGTCAGCAAATTTAGTAGTATCACGAATAGAAACGATGTTATAAGGTAGTGAATTCTAATCCTCGATGGCCAATGGTACTGTGGAAGTCTGGTGAGAAACAGTTGATGATCGAATTGGGCGTACTTTACATAAGTTATCCAGACGCGAGGAAATACGATGGCGAGGTGATAGCAGTCATTCTTTGAAGTAGATATTGTGATAAAAAATTCGATGGAGGAGAGAAAGGCGTGATGCTCGGCGGCGAAGGGAAAGTGAATGAAGGTTAGCTGATTGGCGTAATCCTAATATGCTGGTATATGGTGAATAATTGTTATAAATAAAACGAAGGGCTCTGTTTTCGACGAATTCTAGATTATTTGAAAGGTAGCTCTGCCATGGGGACCTTATAGATGAGGCTTATCCTAACTTCGATCTAATAAAAGTAGTATACGCTAGTCTTTTTACGGAGAATGTAGCAAGTTTGAGGTTACGGCGCAAATATCAGAGAGAACGGTTAGTATCAGAAATAACAGAGGTTATGGGAGCAGTCCATGATAGGCCAGAGGGGAGATGAACACCCAGGTATTTATATGATGAGCATGCTGTTACTAGAGTGTTAGTGAGGTAATACAAAAATGGTGTGGCACGCCACTGCGGGAGAATGATAGGAATCTGCATTTATTGAAATATAACGTCATCTGCCATTTTTCACACCAATGGATTACAGACTCAAGGTCTTCCTGGAGAGCATGATGATCATGGTATAAAAGAATGGGTCGGTAAATGACACAATCGTCGGCGAACAGGCGCACAGAAGAACCTATATTAAAGTGAAGATCATTACTATAGATTAGGAACAGCAGGGGGCCAAGTACGGTTCCCTGGGGGACACGTGAAGTTACGGTAGAGGTGGGAGATTTTACGTTATTAACGGAGGAATATTGCTTACGGTTAATTAGGAATTTAGAAATCCACTTAACAACAAAGGGATGAATACTAATATCGTTAAGCTTTGTTAAAAGACGTTTGTGTGGTACTTTGTCGAATGCTTTGGAGAAGTCAATGAAAATGGCGTCGGTTTGAATATTCGAATCGAAGCTAGAATAAATATCAGTAAGGAAGGCGGTTAGCTGGGTTTCACTAGAGTAAGATTTACGAAATCCGTGCTAATGTTCAAAAAGAAGGTTTTGGGAGCCAAGAAAGCTTATTATATTTGAGTAAAGTATATGCTCCATGAGCTTAGATGGAACACTGGTGAGAGAGATAGGACGGTAATTACTTATTAGTTGGCGATCACCAGTTTTGTGAACAGGTGTTACGCTAGCTATTTTCCAGACTTAACGTTGATATTTAGTTTTTTCTCACAAAAAAAGGTTTATGCTTTTTTTCTTTCTTAACTTAAATGCAACATGTAGTGCCTATTGACGCAGTTATTACTAAATAAGGTGATATTGTGCAAGATATTTGTATTGGTGTCGCTTTTGTGTGTTTACTTACAATTTTACTGTCTGCTTCCAGAAAGTGTCGTGACAACGAGGTTGGGTAGTAGCCGGCGCAGTCACGAATCACGCTACTAGAGTTTTGATTTTGAGACTTCATCAGCGCACGCATGCAAGTGTGTTTACATTGTTAAAATAAGGGCCATCACTGGCGTTGTAACTTTCTGTGGGAGTCGCCGTTTTGTGCGCGAAAGCGAATACAACGGTTGCTGAGGCTTCACCAGAAGAGACAACAATATTGTAAATATGCATGCTTTTCGCTTTGAGTCCCTTGACGTCAGCTTTGGATGAAAGTGTGCGTTCCATATTCGCAACATGCCGTTTTCAACCTTTAAAATTCTGGTTTCTGGTGTTAGGACACACACGGACGTTTATGAATATGGGGAGAGTTAGGAATGTCGGATGTGCAACTTCGAGCATGATAGATAGTTCTGTGTTTAGTTTTATGCAGATACATGAAAATCGCGAAATAATGCTAACTAAAACGCAATATTATTCTCTTTTGGCACGAACTAATTGTGAGCCGAAAATAGCATTGTTATAATAAAAAAAATAATAATAATTTTATGTGTACAAACTGGAAGGGGCCATGAGGTGGTGTGCGGGTTGGGGCTAGGCAGGTAGGTGAAAATCCTTACGCAGAGCGCCTGCCAGCCTGCCACCACATCTGTAAAAACAAAACCCATGTATAAATGTACAAAATATGCACACTACAGAAAGTGCGTGAAAAGGAAAGAAAAGAAGGGGGAAAACATGTATCACATTATGACGAGGATGCCACCTGCATCCCATATATTTTGGAAAGCTCTCGTGACTCTGCCCGTTTGACGGCAGTGGGCTGCTCACACTGAGCTTAATTGTCAGTTGGCAGTCAATGTTTCAACTACCTCGTTTCATCAATGGAAAGGTCAAATGAAAACCACGTTATCCAGAATGCACCGCATCATTTGTCACTTGTGCAGTGGACTCCGTAAATTACTGGTCGATCTTCTGTTATTGAAGCAGAAAGTATTGAAGAGAACCACACTCGCGAATGCTCACAAACGCACAGTTACCGTGTCGCCTACTGCACACCTCGCCATAACCGCTGGTTCTACCTAACTGTACGATGGTAACCGCGCGACTGCGCGGCGTCCATTTGCGATCCATGGCCCCGTCGCGTTTTTGCGCGCGCGCAAACATTTGCCGAATTTTCGCCGAACTTTCCTTCTAAATTTCGGCATTTGCAGAACTTTGCCGAATCTGAAGTTCGGCAGATTCGGTCCATCACTAACTTCTACGGCACAGGTGATAGACCCTTTAGCAACGACAGATTGGCTGCTTGGCAACGCGGGGGAACCTAAATTTCGGATTCGGTCAGCGCGTGTATATAACCCGCCCGCCTCCCCTTCCTCCCCCCGCCTGTGTTCACGCCGTTTCGCGGCGACAGTGTGCGGCTGCTAATAACAGAACTATTAACCCACTTAGCCCCCCTTTCTTTTCCCATACACGCCGCTTTGCAGCCGCCAACCCAAGTCCCGCTGTCCCCCTAGCACATTCACAAATAGAGTCCCATAAGATTTAGTTCAGCAATGTTTCGTCGACAACATTTTTTTTTTCAGTGTTAATCGTAAAAATGAAATGTCGTAAATATCGCCAAATGCCTCGACAAAACAAAATGTTCGAGGAAAAAAAAAAGGAGCCCACACCGTGGATGGAACTTGGGTCTGCTACGTATGAGGCAGACATCTAACTCCTAAGTTACGTTACCGCTTCGGAAACTCCCATTGTAACCACTGCCTATGTTGACGGCGGTAGCGCCTATCTGTATTTTCAGAGCACTGTCTTGTCTTGCAAACGCAAAGCACTTGGGTTGGCTTCCGTACGTTATTCTAGAACTCGTCAAGGGCTTGCAATATCGTAAGAAACTTAGAAACAATGGGATGTCATTGGTTTAATTCTTCAAAAAGTTCATTTTTTGGTCAGTAGTTACACTTTTTTTTCAACCACAGAATCACTGTGAATATAATGCTATTTTCAAGTTTTATAAATTAGATCGGTCCTCCTTTTAAATATGCAATATTATAATAACAATTTATTTGACTCACGCCATAAGATGTAAACCAGTTTTAGATTAGACTCGACCACACCTCAGACCCGGTTAAATTTCGTTCTCTTGTAGACACCAAAAGCGACGAGGCCAGCCACTCCCATTCCAGCTCCTAGAAGTATCATGAAGAAGGCCAGCCCGCCAGCCTTGCCTGCGAATTCGAAAGAATTCAAATGTCGGAAACGGCGTCACGTTGCGTTTTAACGGTTTGGGGAAAAGGTGAAGGCGGTAATTGGATCTGACACTCAAGAATAAACTAATTTAAGTATTTTTTAAAGATTTTAATCGAGACCACTTCAGGCTCGTAAGTTCGGAACATTGAAATGTGTTCATATGCAGCTGTCAAGCGGCCAGAAATGCCTCTTTGTTTTTCATCTCAACCTCGGTGCGTTTGTTAGGCGCTTTGTTGTCCTGGGAAGAAACTGATTTTGCTTAAAATTCGTTTTAGTAAATACTTGAAGGTAGAGCCAATTTAAATTATTAGCAGTGTAGAGCACAACGCGGTGTTTTACGATATATAAACTTTGATCTCACCGTTGCTGTGAAGTGCGGCGGTTCGTGCCAAAAAGCTCTTGGTGTCAGCTGAAACAAGCCAGTACATAAAATAGATTTAAAGTTAAATATCTGGATTTCATTAAATCGTTAAGAACAATAATCAAATGATGCCAGAAATCTAAAGGTTACCATTTGAACAAGCGCTTGTCCTGTACAATCCTAAATCCTCTGACTCGAGCCTTTAAATTGTTTTTATTGAACATAATAAGGTGTAAAAAATTATCAGGCTTCCACCTAACTCCTGTGAGCAAAATTCCGTTCACAGGAGTCACGTGGCACCATGACGTAACGAAGTGATGTCATGTACCATCCGTCACAGTTACATCTCTTTAAATGCCCCCGCAGAGTCAAAAGTTCAAATTATTCGTTATAAGCAAACTACTCGAAGAGGTAATTCAATATTGCATTCAAGTCACGACTAAGTCGATCGGCATAAAATTAGTTTTTTTTTTTCTAGGATTTTTAAAATTTTGTTTCAGACAAAATTTTGCGGTATATTCTGTGGAGGGATACTCTTGGACAAAAGTATTGGAGGCTTTACGAGATACATAAAAATTTGAGAGTGAATTGCGAATAATTTCTAGAGTGTATCATAGTAAATCGTGAATAAGTGATGGAATAAATTTAGAAATAATATTTAGTGTTAAAATACTTAAAATTATAAATTTCCACTTTCGAATGTGCATTTAGCTAGAGAATAAAACAAGGTCTGGCTTGTTAAAAATGATCATTATGTTGTATGGTCTAATAGGTCCATTGATCGTGGAACAAGATGACGCATATTTTTAGAGATCGCGTGCTTTAATATTGTATGTACGATATGGTGATATTCGTTAATATCCCTTTACCTGCATGCTCGAATTGTCGCCTTAATTTTTGTATTTACATACCGTATTTACTCGAGTAATAGCCGCACTGTTTATGAAGAAAGCCTGAGGGTTCGCTTTTCTGCGGAGCACGCGGATTCCTAATCACCGCGATCGACAGCATGATTCCAGCGGTTTACAGGACAAAGATAACGTCTTCGCGCGAAGATACCATCTGTGAAGATTTGCATTTGCATGGAAACTCGTGTTCTCGATCTAGTTATTCGGTATGTTATTTATGCGCAACGCGATGATTGGCTGTATATGTGCTTTGCTGGAAGTAGACACAAGGGTCTTCCCATTTTCTAGACCACCTGATACTGGTGGAAGAAACACGACGGCGTCTCGTGTTCCTTCCACCCAGTCTCAGGTGGTCTAAAAAATGGTAAACTTAAACCAGCTCGCCTGCGCCCTAACTGTTTTTACAAGGGTCTTGTTCATAAATAGTGTGGCTATCATTCGAGCAAATACGGTAAAAAGGATCCATCACTGGCCAATGGTAACAAGTCTTGTTTACAATGCTTTCTCTATGGATAAAGAATACGCACGGTCTTCGATGTACGTGTAGGCGCTGCAAACGGGGGAATGGACGGTCTTGAAGGAGCTGGCGTCACCGTTGTGCAGGAAGCAGTCTCCGCGTCCCAGATTCTGGGGTCCAGTGCAGAAGTGGAAGATGCCGCAGAAAAACAGGGCTTCGCGACACTGTCTGGCGCACTGCGCGGCCGACACTTTCGCGATTACCGTGTAGGCGTCGGACGTGACGCGCGACGATTTCTGCTTCCTGAAGTCGTTGAGGTACTTCCCTGGTAAAAGCGAAACAAAGTAGTCAAGATTAAGCAAGTGTTAACCGTCTACTAGCACTACCTGTCTCGTCAACTTAAATCAAGTGGGCAGGCAAGGACTCTGCTCTTTATTGGTTGTTAAAATCATTGTGTTGCGAACTGCCATTTGTGCACTCGTAAAAGTAACCATTAAACCCAGTTATTTACATTGTTAAAAAAACAAAATGTTTTATCAGCCATATCCTACAGGGAGACAGTCCTAAATTACCGTCACGAAGAGCCGTGACGTATATTTACCCGCGTAATGCGAGGCGGGAAGTTATTTTTACGTGGCGTCAATTTCGCCGCTAAATTTAGCGTGGATGTTGACTTCACGTGATCACGTCGCATTCCCTAAAGTCACGTGATGTCAATTTTGGCGAGGTGGCAGTTTGCACTCAACACGCAAGCTTGTGCCTTTTTTTTTTTTTTTCTCCTCACATGGCATTTTAATTAGATAACTTCGCTACTTGAGAGGAAAACTAAATGTCCGTTACTTGAAAAAGTGTACTTCAGATTTGCGAGACTGCGCATTTTTCTGTCCGTTTGAAAACGGGCCTTTCGTGCCGTTTCTAACTGCATTAGATTCACTGGAATACCAGCTGCTCATCTTCTAAACCCCCACCTTCGGTAGACCTTCCTCTTATCAGAGACCTAGTTCGAGGATACCTTTTTAGGAAGGTTCGAGGAAGGAGAGGGCTCCATTAGGAAGGGGACGAAAATGTGGTAATGGATACAAGTAATTATATTACTTTCTAATCAAATTACTTTCCTGTTTACTTTGCAATAAATGTAATCACACAATTAAACAAAATACTCTAAAAAGTAGTCGTATACAAGAAATTCGACTACTTCTAATGGGAAGCGTGCACCAGTCTGGCCTTTATATACAACATGTATTAAGGAATAAAAAACAACAACTTGTTATAGGAGGTTGAGACAGTATTTAGGATACTTTTATACGTATGAAAATAATATTTTTAATAATCGTGTCTGCCATGGGGCCCAAGCCCTTAAAGCCGCAGTGGCACTACTCATAAATCATTCAAGAGACACTGGGTTCGCTGTAGATACATTGACACAAACACCTGCAGACATGCCTTATGCATCTTCGAAACACGTTTGCTTAATACATGCATATACACTCCAAACATGCCTGCAGGCAGTTTTTCGGCAGTTTTTGTGCTAGGAATGTGACAGGCCCACCATGCAATGAAGACACACACATCAGACAGCGTCTGAGGACTGTCGTATGATGTATTGGCAGCACTGCCGAGACCGGTTATAACGAAGTCAACGGGAATCGGAAATCACTTCGCTATATCCGCTATTTCGTTATAAACGTCTTCGGTTGTAACGAACTGCAAAATGGTTACGGGGAATCGTGATCGCTTTGTTATATATCCGGTATTTCGTTATAACCGACTTCGGTTATAACGAAGTGCAAACGGAACGGGAAATTGTGATCGCTTCGCTGTAGCCGCTATTACGTTACAACGAACTTCGTTTTTACCAGTTTCGACAGTATGGCGGTGGAAGGCACTGCGGCACTGTGAGACGCTCGAAACGTGTGTGTCGAAAACTCACTCGAGTAATGGACGCACTTATCCGCAGTCTGGGATTTAATTCGGGAGGCGTCTCCGGGGTCCGTCAGGTGCGTCTCGTGCAGGCGGCACGAGTCCCCAGTTTGCGAGACCATGCGGCAGTAGTCGAAAGACTTGCAGTTGAAGCCCTTCTCCAACTCGCAGTAACGAGCGCAGTCTTGTATCCCGTCCACCTGAATCGTCCTCCTGGCGGTCACGCTCAAAGAGATGCCTTCGAAGGCCTCGAAATTGGTCGTAAAGGATTCTGCGAAAGGAAACGTGAGACGTTCATAAGTTGTGCCGAAAGGACAGCCGTGCCAAACTCACTCGAGTAGCGGACACGCTCGTCCGCTGTGGCACCATACTCTCGGGTGATATATTATGATTAATTATCACCAGTTGGCCCGCACATTCACCATTTTTTTTTGTTCCGTTATAGTAAACGTGGTCACCTTTAGGATCTCGTACTTGCACTTAAAAAAAAAAAGAATATAGTTGAAGGATAGTGGGTAGACCTCAATGCTAGCACCCTTGAGGTCTACCCAGTATCCTTTCAATCCGAGCCAATCAGAGCTCGGCATTCTGACGTCACCACGAGAAGCAGACGAAATACTGGCGATAGAAATAGCAATAATTACAGGGTACTTACTTGCGCCTGTGAAGGGGACCATTTAATGTATTCCTAGGTTTACGTATTAAGGACGTGCATGACCTTTGATTAAGAAGGACATGAATCATTTCTTCTTTAGAGTAGAACCGGGAAAGACCAAAGCGCAGCGAGATGCTTTGGTATCGTCATTTTGAATGGAGGACGCGGGCAATTTTAATGTCGCGAAACTTCTTTGTACATGGAAAACGTGCCAACGCCAACGTATAACTCTATGGTGAACACCAGAGCGTTTTTGGAGTTGCAAATATTCTTGAGTAACTTTAAAAAGTGTGCATGTGATTTGGGTGTTAGACACTTGTTGACAAGCTGCACCATGCATTCGTTTTATATGCATACCTTTGTTAAACATTTTTTTTTTTCATTCTCTCTTCCAAAAGGAGTAGCTTGTTAAAACTCATCCATTGCGGACCGCTTTTTTTAAACATCAATCTAACAAAGCATGCATTAAGGAAGCTAAATTCGGTTACCATTTAGGCCTACCTATACATAACATTTGTTTTTTTCACATTGCGATTTTACTGTTGGAATCTAGCTTACGAGCATACAGGCCATGGGCTTTGTGATTGAGACAGTTGAAGTAACACGTTCTTAAAGTCGCCCACCATTATGATGTCTAGATAAGGCGCACCATCCAAGATAGTAAATAACGCTGGTGAGTATTTTGAAAAAGCACGCAACATTGAAGTTAGAGAAAGGAACAAAGACCACCAATATTAATTCTCGCGATGTCATTGGAGAACACAATTTTCCTAGCCCAAAGACAACGCCGCAAAAACTGAATAGTCGAGTATAGAGACTTACTGTCAAAGACGCTGCACGCTGGCGCCTTCACCACGTTTTCGGTATTGCGAGCTCTCGTCGTGCTGATGCTACACTCGGAGCTCACGAGGCACGATGAAAATGACAGGCAGTCCTCGCGGTCACGACAGATGGCCGAACAGTCTTCCAGAGGGTACATTCCCAGGTGTACGGTGCTCTCGGAACCCGGCTTGAACTTGTACTCGAAGCTGTAAGCTTCGAATCCTTCCACCTTTCCACCATCTGGGTTGAAAGCGGTCAATGCACGGCACGCGTTAAGAGGTGGGGTCCAAACAGGATACTTCAGAACGCGTGAAGCGACAGTTCTCCACCGTATGAAGTGGCGATCACTATTTAAAGCCCTAAACGTAAAAATATATAATAAATATATGCGTTCAAACTTTTAACAACATGTCGTTGTTATGGAAATTTAGGTTCCGTTTTTTCGCGGTTGCAGATAACGAGGCTACGCTCCATTTAACAGTTAATGTTTTCGCAATAACAAATTCCTTACTCCGTTTCACCTTAAAGGAGCACTGCAATTAATTAAGTCTTCTAAAGGGACATTCAAACTTTATAAATATTACCACGGAAAATCATTTTTCTAGATATATTTACGTGGCGCGACACGCAATATAGGTGCAGAATGTGTAGGTCATAGTCCGCGAAGCCCCGCCCCTTGCTCACAAGGTGGTTACATCTCTCATTGGCTGGAGAGATAATTGACGTGTGAAATGTTCATTGTAAATTTGTATCTTCATGCCGTAATAGTATTTTAATCGACTTTTTACGTTTGAGAAACAAATTATCAAGATAGAGTAATTATTATTTTGAAAAGTATTTTAAGATTGCTTTTCCCGCTTTGGTTTGACACTTTAACAAACATGGCTGCCGACGCCTGCTAAGTGCCTGAATGGCCCTAGCTTATTCAACTGGTTAGTTTTTATGAGTACGGGTCGTTTTCAGTTCACAGAGGTGTCTAGAGGAAGATTTCCTCAACCGGCATAATTTTCAGAAAGCAGATGTCGCAAGTACGCGCCTTCGGGAGTGCTGTGCGGATGCTTGTTTTCGTAGCGGCCGGGACTGGCTTAAGCCCAGCGTTTGATTTCTTTCATAGTGCGTGTTGATGTTGAATAAAGATGTTGGTTCCCGTCAAAACGGTCTCGCTGCTCTGTTAATTGTGCAACCGTTATGATGGCGACCATGGTTTTGAATACCGAAAAGATTCACCTAAGAATTTGCGAGCCATTTGGCTGAATGCAATCCGCGTTGGGCTCGTATCAAGTTAGTTCAGGTAGGTTCCCGTCATTTCGCTTCGAAAAGCAAGAAGCTCTCAAGTTTTGAAGTGCAACTGGCATGCTAAAGCGAATAATTTTAGTCGACGTTTTAATTGTCATGACGCTCACCCAACTTGCTCGCAAATGCAATGAAGAGGAGAAAAAAAAAAAGATACAGAAAGGATGAAAGAATTGCATATTTATTTTGTTTTATTTTTTAGTCCTCCCGGCCGATTTTTTCCTCACGTCAACACATGCTGAGAGACGCTTTTATTGGACAGTCACTCGCGTAAGATGGAAAGCTAGAACGCCGCTTTCATAATCGAGATTTGCTATAGCGTTGTAAAAAGTTTTAGACGGGGACGGAGTAGCAGAAGGACGAAGGCGAAAATGGAGGCCGACGGGCAGCCTTCATGTCCGTGTCCTTTGGGCATGGCAGACGACGAAAGACGTTGGTGAAATAGCAGACGATACCGGACGCTGCCGCGACTCTGCTCGCACAACTAGCAGGCGTTGTCAGACTCCAGACTAGACGCGCCGGATGTGGGGAAACGGAGACACCAGGATTGTTAGCGTGTTCGGCCGAGGAGTCAAGCCAATCCAGTAGTATTGGACGAAGAAATTGGTTAGTGGTCGACGCTTAAACCGGGCCGTGACCTCCACCTAAATTGCACGTAACGGCGTAAATTTCGAGCGAACTTTTTTTTCTTCTCGTGGAAGAATTACCAAAAAAAGGTACGTGTCCCATTTATGCTCTTTAAAATAAACTTTTTTTTTTATTGCAGTGTCCTATTAAGTCCGAGCGGGGACAAAGGCTAGATACAACATAACCGTGAACTGACAGACTAAGAACGCGATGTCACGACGCATTCTTCGCGCGTCATTGGATCAGTTGGCGGTGATACACGCATAGAAACAGCGAAAAGGTCTTTCCGAGAAGCTTGATTGGCTCGATTAGCTGTAGCGTTGGTAGCGCTCGGACATAAGGGCTGTGTTCCAAATTTTTTCCCAAATGAACCCGAATTACTCCGGCGGGTCGTGTCACATGACAACACAGATTGAAGAACGCTGGACGCGGGTAGGTTTTGGAACGCCAAGGTACAAAACTCTTCCCCTGGAGTAAGATCCAGTAAATTTTGGAACACGGCCAAGATGAAACAGAAGCATAAGCGCCAATGTTTAGCGGAGCGCGCTAACGACCGATCACTGCGCTCCAGTGGAGCGAGCCAGGAAGTAAATCATTTCGCGCTTCGACATTGGCGCATCGCGATTCTGGTTGAAGCAATCTTCTGGGCGTTATCATTAGCTCGGAATCCCTCCAAAGATAACAGTGATTGGTCTTTCCGATACTTAGCGATAATGTACAGTGCGGGATATGGTTAGTTAGAAGAGGACATTGAAGTAATGACGCGTTTTCTCGGTCATTTAAAAAACGGGTAATGAGGAATATCAAAGCATTGCCGTCAATGTGGTGAAAAAAAAATAAGAGCACTAGAGAAGAATACGGCGAGCAATTGTTTCAAATTGCATATCCGGCGCATGGGATCACAAAGAAAAGCACGCCAATCAATGGCCAACATAGAGAACGCATAGGGAACGCGAGATGACGAGGCAGCCAAGCGCGTGCCGTCATTGGTTGAAATTGAAATAGGAGTAAACAACAGCGGGCGCGTTTTTTTTTTTGGGGGGGGGGGGGGGGGGGTTACATAAAAGTTTGAAATGCGCGAGGAGCAGATATAACTTGTACGCCGCACACTCGTTTTGAAGGCACAGTCACTTTTGAAATAGAAACGGTAAGAAATAAAATGCCATTCACTTGTTTGTGGTAACTGTGTGTTTTTCTGTGAAAGGAAATCGTTTGCGAACATTTTTATTTGACTAGATGTACAGCGTGTATGCTGACACTTCGCTCCCACTTTGAACTGTCCTCATAAATCGGGTTCTTAACGTGTCGCGCTAGAGTTTACTACAGGGGTGCCCGAAGGTAATGGAACCTTTCCTTAAAATTCTGGAAAAATCGGCTTACCTGTGTAATTCTCGAGAATTAAACAAAGCTAAATGTTCCCTATACGTTGCGTGAACAGTTAAATCACATTTCGTATTATTATGGCGCTATTTATACCAAGCAAATTGAATAATAGGCAAGCGAATTGTGTTCCCCTTTCATTTCACCGATTATTCAGTCGTAATAAACTCCAGAATAACTCACAATGATCGTTTTGATAATTTTGAGAAACAATGCTTTGCGATAATTACTCTACATAAAAAAAAAATTTTTATTTTCTTTCTCATGATTCCGGAGATTTCATGTATTCATAGCCTCAAATAACAAATGCTCCACCTTCATGTACTTCTGTAGTAAATCGCCAGCACGATACGTTGAAAAACCCATCCTTGCGGACCGTGCACAGTGGGATCGAAGCGTTAGTGTGCACGCTAAAAAGATAATGTGGAACCCTTCCAAATAAAAAAAAAACAACAAACATATAAATCTTAATTACCCTGGTGGTATGGTTGGGAGACAGAATGTGCCACGTGTATTGAGCGGCTTTGGGTCAGCGCGACACAGACACAGTGCCAAGTGATGGCGTCGCATGACACAGCAACAATCCCTACAACAATCTGGGACGGGATGAGTAATGTTCTAAAAAAACAAAGCAAATAATAAACTAGACGTTTATTACCATGACGCGTCACCATGACGTCGTGGCGTTGGATGACGTTACATGGTACGATCACGTCACATGACGATGGTCACGCTCATGACGTCACGTGAACACCATATATGCAGCGACGAAATTGAATTGGCGTATAGTGAATCATGCAACCCTGTGACCTAGACACGAGGTATTTAAGTTCCTATTTAGCGAACTTATATCCCGCTAAATTTGGCGGTCGATGTTCACGTAACTTAATCAGCGTCACCGTCGTCACGGGACTTGGTTTAGTCGGTAAGTTGCGTTACACTGTTTCTTCACGCTTCCATTACGCTTTGATACCTTAGTTACAGTTTTTCGTTAAACTTTCATTACATTTTTTGGGACATATGTTTTTTTTTTCTTTTTGGTTAACGGCTATAAAATACATACACCTATCTACCTTGACTTCTGGTAAAGTTCTATTATGAAAACCTAGCCCTATAGACCTTTCCAGAGGCAGTCTCGAACAAAGTGATTTACAACGCGCGTCCCTGGTTTTGAGAGTGCAGATCAGTGTTGCCCGATTGCGCTGGGCTGTGGGATTTCTCGTCAGTGGGCTGTGACAGCTTGCGTAGGCGCAATTCCATACGCTCGTGGCGGCTAAATTGACGCGTTTTATTTTTTATTTTGTATTCTATAGCGATGAGAATTTGTCGAGGATTTTAAGAAACCATTGTACTATTTTTGAGAACAAAACAAAAAAATGAAAGCTGTTTGTTGTGAGCCAGTGCGCAAAAGAACATATACTACTGGAATGCTTGTTTCATTTTATGTTGATTTTTTTTTACGACAGCATACACATTTATGCATTTACGACAGCATACACATACATCTATTTTATCCTTGTAAATCTACAAAGGTCTTAACTGTTCAAAATATTTAACCACACAGGATAGCCTAAATGCTTGGGTATTCCCCGCTCACAACATGGAATTCAACGAGTCTCATCAATCGAACAACATATATTATAGGTGCCCCACGGTGTCGCGTTATCCAAACGGGAATTGAGAAAGGGCCCGAAATAACACATTTTATTCAATATACAGTGTTGACGACAGTCACTTCACGACGAACGGACGGAATTCGGCTTGTTTTGGGCCACGTTTTGAAGAGAGCTACTCATTTGCACAGCACCAAAGCAAATGAACGAACATGTCTATTGCGTCCCCATACCCCACCCCGGACCCGACCCTAACAGCTATTTTTTGTCAAGACCGGGAATATAGCCGGGAAGGCTTTTCGGAGATTGTCTCAACGAAAATAATCCTCGGAGAACACCGAACGGCCCGCGTCGCGGGCTGCTCGGCGTTCGCTTTTTCCGTTCGTTTCCTGCGAAGGCCAAGCAGGCTACGAGCAAGGGTATTCCCTGGCTCTCACTATATAGGAAAATAACACAAAACGTGGAAGCATCTTGAACAGGCTTATAAAGTAGAAACCCTCAAGAAAGGCTGGCGAACTGAGAATACACAATGTAGGTGAGAGTCGCGCTGATTGGGTTTCCAGAGTTAAGGCGGGTAGCAAAAATTTCTGGCTGATAGGGGTCGCTCGAGTCGCAAAATGGCGACGGCCAGCGAGCTCTTTTTGCAAAGGTCAATACTGTTCTGTGCAAGTGAAGAATCAAACTCACCTCTTTGTAACTTTCTGCGATCGCTGGCGTCCATATTTTGAGAAGCGAAAGGGACGGAATCAATCGAATTTTCCATGCTTTCGGCTATCAGGGTGAGACGCTGGAAGAGAAAATGAAGTATGACACATATGACTGGTTGCACACATTTATCAATATAGAAATGGCGATGGATCGTTTTCCAGTAGCGATCCCCATCTGGAGGTTTGCTTGCGAACTACAAATGAAATGCAGGCGAATATGCTTCCGCCGGTCACAACACATCGGCATCGTGTCGTTGTATTGGTTTCCATTGCGCTTTATGTTCCGTACAACCAAAACTAAGAAAAAAACAATCGTAAAAAAAAAGACGTACGTGCAGAGTCACAGTATGTGCGGACAATGTTGGTCGTGCGGGACAATGCCTTCCGAAAATGGCGACAATAACAAGTAAGGTTAAGGGTAAGTGCGTACATGCATGCGCAGAAGCTTACTGGAAGACGATCCATTGCCATAAAGAGCATAAGACAGGATCATACCTGACAAAAAGGAGTACTCGTACTTCTAAATAAAACTAAAGGCACAAAAGCAGAATTGAGTGTCATAACGAGAAAGCCGAAATTCAAACTCTGGGTTAGTGGGCATGTAAATTGTCTGGAAACACATCTTAATTATTGAAGTTAGAACTCTTCGAGCTCAGGTGTCGTTCTTCCAGTCTTTATTACCTTTCGTGACGGATATTACATGACTGTTTATAACCTACGAAGAAAATGAAATTGATGTATAGCATTCTCGGAGTTCAGCTATTGAGCCGCGACTAATGGACGTCCACGCTCCCACTGTTTATGACCCTACAAATGCGGACGCATATAATATTCATACTAAAAGAATATCGAAAAACAGTATTGTTCTTGGGGTTGGCAAACCAACTGATTGCCGGCAGAGTAATGTCGGGCTCAAGGTTCGTGTTTACGCTCCTGATAAAACTGAATCTTTGCATGTACCGTTAATCTTTGTTCCAACAATGATTTCTGAGAAAGCAACTAGCATCGACCATTGCAAAGACACGTTTCTGCTTAAGGCCCTTCTAAAGCATGGTACCCAATCTTATAAAGAATAATAACGATAGATAATAATTCTTTCATCCAAAACACTTTTTTCCGAGCTGCCAAAAAATCTACTGGGATCAGTCGAGAAAATGAAACCCGGTGTCTGGGCTTACAGGAACTACGCAGCGCAGAAAGCAGAAATTCTGTGAGAATGTGACGCCAGTGGTGATGATAAAATACAAATGTGTGAGCGTTACCTGGATCAAAATATAAAAAAAAAAACTATAGTTCTGTATACCCTGACGCTCACCTAAGACTAACATTAATCAAACGAATATGTGAGATTGTGGGCACTTCTAACAGACCCTTTTCGCAAGGGCGCCGCCATCTTGACTTCTCGTCACTTCCAGTATGGGCGAAAACATTGTTTAGCCGTCGCCACGCCGATAGAAGGCATTTAGGACATAAACGTAACCGTCACACATTCTCGTTTTGACTCCCCTCTATTTTTTAACTATTTGCAGGTTGAAACGTTTTGATATTTTTCGCCACCCATACCGGATATGCCTACTTGGCGGTCGGGGGCGAGAGTAAGTGGAAAAGGTCTATAGCTAGAGAATTGCTAAAATGAGTACAGCCTGTGACCTAGCTTTTACTGGCATGGTAAATAACGGCCTTGACACTAAAACATATCCGGCATTAGCGACGTGCACGACCAAAATTGTCTCTTTCGTCGGCCATTCACGATTGGCCAAACCATGTGAATACTGATAATGCCTAACCAGTCACTAGTTCACGGCGAGGCAAATCCAACCAATCAGGGTGAGGCTAGTCATGACGTCACGAACGGGAACCGTAAGAGGGCGCCACCGAAACATCTCTCGGCCATGGGGGCAGGAAGAACAAGAGGCGACATGCCGGCTCAAGCCAGCCAAATGAGAAAACCCCAAGTGAAGCCGGAGGTAGCGGTCTAGGTCGCTTTAGGCCTCCAAAGGTGACCAAAACAGCCGTTTTCGCTATCGTGGCACCATAGTTGGTGCCAAAATCAGCCCCCCCTTTTCATCCAATAGCGCTTTCGGGTTTTGGTCATCGTTGGGGCCGTCTTCCTCCGAACCGGAAGCCTCTTCCGTCGTCACGTCTGGTGGCGTCGTGTCGCTTCCACAAGCTTCTTACCTCCACGCATGATCTCGCCGCTAATAGTCACTGACTACTTTAGAAGCGTAGGGTCTGGTGAATTCCGAGCACCTTATCATTGTTTTGCAGCCAATGAGAGGAAGGCATTAGCAGATAAGCAGGTCGAAGAATAAATCACGAGGTAAGAAGCATGATCGTAATAGACCACACCCTGCGTTATTATTTAAGCCCCTATCATGGTCCATATCTAAAAAAAAAAAAAACGCAAGCAGGGTTTGAAGTAACACTTGCTTTCGCCAGCATCTCTAATTTAGTGAACATTAAAAAACACTGAGCCTAGGAAACACATTTTTTTTCTTCTACCTGGTTGGGACAGGCTGGCCTCAAAGTAAAAGTTCGTGGGAAAAAGTTATTTTTCTTGTTCATTATTTTTGTTACAATACACATTTTTTGATTTGCGGGCGAAACCGAAATTGTACCCCTGTGGGGTGATGATGATAACGTTTGTACCCAACTAATGTGAGCTTTGTGGTATAGCGAACTCAGAGCGCACATTAGTTGGGCACAAGCGGTCTCATCATCATCATCCCACATGTGTACAATTTCAGTCTCGCCCGCAAATTAAAAACAACAAAAAAAAAAAATCTCATTGTAAATATTCGGCAAAAACATTTTTGACTACTATTCTTTTTAAGAAATGTCTCTCCTAACCAGGTAGAACTTTTTTGTTTTGTTTCCTAGGTTCGGTGTCCCTTTAAGGGCTTAAATTTGCTGTTAGGGAACAAATGGTATCCGCTGCATTTTGGGTTAACATTCGTTTTTACCATCACAGGTTCGGCGTCCACATAGATCACGAAGTTGCTTCTTTCGACCGCGTCCTGAACAGCGGCAAGAGCATCGCGAGTAAGTGGAGAACTTTCTGAATTGGTGGATGTTTTTCCTGCAAGGAGAAAACAAAAACACACACACATACTAGTCTGTAGGATTCGGTGGCAGACTTTTTCGAGGTTAATTAGTATGTCAGTATGTAAAATAGTTTCTCTCGTTGCTTGTGGGGAGGAGTAACTCTGTCAAGCGACAACAGTCTGCTTTTTTTCTTCCTCCCCCTCCCCCCTGGAGAGAAACAATAAAGTTGAAGTTGAAGTTAAAAGAATCTACGTGAGTCTGCATTCCTAAAAAAAAAACTGAAACAGCCGATCACTATAAACTTTAAAAAGTTCCCCCACAAAAACAAAGTCTGACTTTACTTTCCTGCAGAACGCAGCGACAGCCAATCACAAACTTTGAACGGTTAGTCACAGTCTAAAAACGTATGTCACTTCAGTTTGTTGCGGAACACAAAAACAGCCAATCACTAAAAACTTTGAACAGTTCTCTTCAATCTGAAAAAAAATCTGTGAGTTCACTTCCTTGTGCAACACGGAAATAACCAATCTCTATTTGTTGAGGAATTTAGGAAGAAGAGGAATCAAGAACGCGCGGGAATGTCAAGACGTCGAGCTCTGATTGGGTCTATTAGTGGGTAGGCCCAAAGTTAGCTGCCTTTGTCTACGCTGTACTCGTCGAACGCGTTAGAACACATAACGCCGGCGTCTAGCGTTTGACTTTCTCATTCGAACGCCTTCGACGAGGGCAGTGGAGACAAAGGCAGGCTAGCTTGAGGCCTTCCCACTAATCCTGCCAATCAGAGCTCGGAGTTCTGAGATCCTCACGCGCTCTTGTCTTCTCCTCTCTCTCAGTTTCTCGGCGCATATCCTTTAAACAGTTCCGCACACTCTAGAGAAATTTGTGAGTTCACTTTTCCGCACAACATAGGAACAGTCAATCACTACAAACTTTGAAGAGTTCCCCACACTCTAAAAGACTGTATGTGAATTTACTTTATTGCAGAACACGAAATAGCCAATCACTATGCACTTTGAACAGTTCTCCACACTCTAAAAACATGTCTGCGAGTCCACTTTCCTGCAGAACGCAGAGACAGCCAATTACTATAAACATTGAATGGCACCCCACACTCTAAAGCAGTCTGTGAGTTCCTTTTCCCGCAGAACACAGGAACAGCCGATCAATATAAAGTTTGAAGTTCGGAACACTCTAGAATGTCAATGAGTTCATTTCGTTGCAGAACACAGATACAGTCAATTACTATAAACTATAAAGAGTTGCACTCACCTTCACAAAGTCATTGAGTGGGCTTTCGCGCCGCGCACAAAGGCAGACTATCAGGGCGGATAACACAATATTCCAAGGAGACGACGAATGCGATTCGACTAAAAGGATACCATGTGCGCAGTAAAAATGAGCACGGCATATAATATTTTTATTGTGCTTCTATACATTGATTTATTTTTTAGATATTATTTGTATTAGAAGCTACGCCTATCACTGGAGTACTTCTGTTGTCTGCCGTGGTCGGCTGTCTTCATGTTGTGCAGGAAGGTAAACTCACAGACTATTTTTTTAGATTGGAGGGTCTAGTTTCTGCTTAAATTAACGGAATGACAATCATAAAAAATGAACGTAATAAAGCAGAACAAACCGCGTTGTGGCCCCAGATACAACGTACGCTAGGCAATGAATGATGGCCAAAAGCACTGTAAACACTATCCCAGCAGATATCGCCCTACACATTTAAAGCAATTTCTGGGTTAGAAGACACGCTAAAAGGATCGGTCATCACGAATTAACATAGAGGCCCCGTGAAGTCAAACATTTTTATGTTTCGCAAAGCAAACTACCTCAGTGTCTGGTGATGTCTGATGTGAAACAAAATATTGTTAAGTTAATTTATTGACTGATGGAGAGCGCCAGGATATTTACATCGACAACGATGGAACGTCTAGCCTCATTAACGTTTAGGGAGCAAGACGGTACTGTTCGAGTAAAAGTAAGAAGTTGAGAAGCAGGGTTTGCCGAATACAATACGATATTAGGGTATTTTTTAATAACTTGGATTCAACTTACTGATGTAGGAATTGCATCCGATCGTCTTATAAAGTGCAGTTGTCTTGTCAGCAACCGTGGTGGTGGAAGTGTAGCACGAAGCGCCGCAGTATGATGCAATGCTGTTAACAGGAATAAAATATATATAAATGAGTTCAGGTACAAAAATTCCCGTGTGTTACATACTAAAGTTCCGAAAAATATCAGCAAAAAGAAAACGTCTAATATATTTGAATAACTAGTTTGTTTAAACGTGTTCGCGTCATGCCAGGCTGATAACGTTTTGAGTGAGGGAAGCAATGTGTATTATTATTATTTTTTTATTTGGTTGGTTGTTCTGCAAAGAGCTGACTTCCTTCTGAGATACAAAAAAAATATGCACACAAAACCGTATGTATTTTTTTTTACCATCAACGATTCATAGTTGTAAGTCAGAAAAATTATCTAAATTTTCGCAATTGTTTGGGACTGCGTAGAACAAAATATAACACTGAAATTATGAACCACCTTTAAACCTTGTCCTGCCAACTATATCACTTGTCATACGTATAAGAGGCTGGATGTTAGCTTTAATCTATAACAACGTAATTCAATTATGTTTCCTTACTTTAAAATAGATTGAAATCTGAAAACTGTCTCGTCTAAAGTCAAAGTAGCGTAAGTACACACAAAATGCAAAGAATAAATGCTGAGCAAACTTGTATGCGCAAATACAGAGGACACGAAGGGGCAGGCAAGGGCAATCGCAACATTCAATTACTTTTATTCGCGGCCAAGAGACAATGAAAGTGTCAAAAGTAGCACTCAGAGCATGCTACAAATGAAGGAAAAGCACACAAAAAAAAAAAACTCGTAAAAAACAAGAAATGTTTTTGGCGTGCCAGAATTGCAAATAGAAGTAGTTAAAAGTTGTGATGGTCTTTGTCCACTCCTTCGGTGGTTGTCCTCTGCGTTTGCGCACAAAAGTTTACTCAGTACCATAGACCAACCAGCCCACCAAGGAGTCTTGCTAAAAAAAGGACAGTTTGGGACCTGCCAAGTTCTTGTGAACGTAGAATATGTTCACAAGTGTCACATGTCACGGGACCAGGCACGTGATAAACGTCGCGCTAAATTTAACGAAAAAACTGACCAGCTATTTGTTTTTTCCGAAAAACAAATTCTCGATAATTTCAGGCGAACAGAACGTATACGCTATTTCTTCCCGCTAAACGTCACTGCTACACAGGAGGCGCTATTTCTGTTCGTAGAGGTACATCTGTTCGTGATGTTACGTGTTTTTTCGAAATTACCCTAAGACAAAAAGAACAAAAGAAACTATTACGTATTTTACGATAAAAAATCTGACTCCTACCTGCATCCATTGTAGTCCCCACTTAAGCACAACTTGAGGCAGTCGTCAAACGTGATTGCGGTTTCAGACCAATCAGAAACTTTGAGTCCGAAATTTTTCTTCTCCATAAAATCTCCTGCAGAAAAGACAAAACCGCAACCAGCCAGGACATTGTTGTTACAACAATCACAAAGGTGTTACCTTTAATCTTTCGCTTTCTTTTTGCGACAACAAACAAAGAATGAAACAAACAAACAATTCTTGTGGCAGTTAGCTGCAACTTATCAAAAATATTAACTGGTTGGAGTTTAGTTTCGTGAGTTTGAATTTATAGGACAAAGTTACTGTCATTTAGTTATAAAACGCACGCGTTAAATTTTAATGAGCAGTTTCTGATTCAGACAGATAGCACTATGACGGTGCTGTGAGGCATTGTAGGCTCGGACGTAATTCTTCAAGAAACGTTTTTTTTTAGTAAGTAAGAGATTGACTATAGATAAAAAGTGTTTCGTGCGCCTTGGTAATTAATTGTCTCGATCACATTTAGTTTGCACCATCACCCCCGGGGAGAGTGTGCTGCCCCGGTAGGGTCACGGCCGCGGCTTGATCAGGCTCTTACTAGTCGTAAAGGTATAACTCTCTTCATGTACGAATTCGAATCAAACTCGATTTACTATTGTGCAGTTTAACTACCCGTTGGTACTGCCAATGACGACTCGGGTTGGAGAAACATCCACAAGCGAATATGAATCAAATGGCCAGCATCCGGTAGGACAAAACTATCTACTACTGTTCCGACACTTGCCTTGCACCTTTGCTCTAAGACGTACCTTTTAGATTAGGTCGTTCTAAGATGAGGGCCGTCACGTATATCATGTTGCTGGTAAAATCCACCTGTCAGAATCAAATTCAAATATATTTTAACCTCTGAACTTCTGCTTGATACTAGTCGAGTTTTCATCAGCACATACAAGCTGAAAGCAACAAATTTGGCTCCCAGAACAACTCTTTCACGTTGATATACGTATATTCTAACTTTCAAGAACAAACATATAGGATTTATGAGTAAATGTAAATACAACATAAACAAATTTCGATTAAACAAAAACTAAAAAAAGTAAAAAGAAAACCAAAAAGGAATGTTAGAAAATAATAAACATTTTTCTTTGAAGTTAGGATTGGGTATATCTTCAAATCTGATGCTCTCAGTAAAATATGAGCTGTAGCTGTAATGTCTGCGAAACTCACGTTTTAAACAGTCCGGTCTCAGTTCTACTTGCCTTAATGGACCTTTTCCAAATACCGACGGCACCAGGCGGTGGCTGCACGAACTAAAAATCGAGGAAACCTACCTGCGCTACCAATCGATAATGGGAGCTACGCTACCAGTTGCTTCGCTCTCTGAGCTGCGTCGCGTGCCCAACGCGACTTTAAAGAGGGAAATCCGTAGCGTCCACCCAAACGTCGTGTTCTTCTTTCCGTCCACTTTCATTTTTTGTGTAACACAATTGTATATATACTGCAATTATGTGTTCTACTCGTCGATCTGCAGCCTCATTCCGAGTTTCCGCGATTTTTCGTGCCGACTTCCACCGCTTGGCATCGGGCGCTCGCGCGTGCGCAGAACGCTTCTCGGAAAAGGTTTATTCTAGTAGGCATCCCAACTGCCTCTACTAAACATGATCGTTATGCCGGACGCTGGTAAAAGACTTCTAAATACCCGACACAACTTATCTACTAAAATGTGAGGGAGGCCGACCACTTTATACTGACCGCACTATAAGTATTCATACATTTGCGCGAGCCAACTATTACTTAATTTCTAGTAGAAACAACCAATAGGAGGCTGTCTTTAACATGTTTATCAGATTTTTTTAGGAATAAAAATATACTAATCCTTTGTCAGGTTGACGCGGGATACAGGAAACAAAGAAACAAACAGGTTTTGCAATGGCTACCCAAAGGTTCGAATACCTGCATAACCTTGTGACCATACAATTATTCGCTTGTACAAGGCCTGTAAACGTTCTCTGCAACTAAACAATGCCAGTTTACTTGATTTGTACAAGACATGCTTTCATCTGATGACTACCGGTCTTATATACCTATGATATTTAAAGTGAAATAATGTGTACCTACCATGACACGAGGAACTCGCAATGGAGACAACGACGACAGGGAAAACAGCTTCTCGAGAAATGCACTCTTGATGTGTGGTCCCCGATTGAGCAGCAGGACAAGCTTATTCAGAACTATTAAATAAAAAGACAAGATGTTTTATTAGGGCAGATCTCTGGCAAGTTGTTTTACAAAGAATTCCGATATCACAAATGCACGGGGAAGGCCGAATGACCCGTGCATCTGGAACGCGTTGCAAAGTTCGAATTTCAAACTTACATACCTGAAATCGGGCAAGCGAACGTCGGGTCGCAAGAAGTTTGATGTATATTTTTCTGAACTGAACCGAGAGGTGGCGATATATATATATATATATATATATATTTTTTTTTTTGCTTTTATACATATGTATATATAAAAGCAAAAACGGCAACCGTGCATATCCCAAGTCCTAGACCGGCCTATACGTCGTCCGCTCACTGGATATTGAACTCGCTCCCGGGTTGCTTGCTGAAAGCAAAAACGCTGAGAACGCCACAGTAGAGGCTGGAGACAACCAGAGGAATCGCAGTAAGTAATAATATCAGCCATATATAGGATAGAGCAAGCTCGCAAACCAGGGTGCAAACCTGAACCATATACATGATGGAGCAAGCTCGCAAACCTGGGAGCAAGCTCGCAAATCATTGTGCAGACGACGAAAATCCAGCAGAAAACCCCGAAAATTCACTGTCGTCATTTCTGCTTTCTTTTTAAATATTTGGCCACCTTTGAGTTGAGTTCTAGACAAAACACACAAAGCTTCTAGCGAAACGACGTGCGCGTGCCCAATTTTAGGTATGTACGTTTGGAATTCAAATTTTGCTATGCGTGCCAGGTGCGGCGTTTTACGGAACGGCGTTCCTGGAACGCGTTCCTTTTGGGGGAAACGGAGGAACTCCGACGTTTCATTTTGCGTCGGTGGAACTGAAACAGGAACTCGTTACATTTTTACGGGAACTGAAAAAGGAACGGGGCTGCTTTTTTTCTAGTTTAATTGTTGAGTTTTTATGTTGTTTCTAAGGGGAAACTAAAAAGTATAAAAATTATTTATTTACGAATAGAAGGATCTCAATCACTTTTTTGTTACATATTCTAGGGTTTATGTTGTGGGGTCCTCGCTTGGGAACAGTTGGGTGCAGGCGAGCTACAACAAACAACGAGCGCGAAAGGGTCATCTAAAAGGCGACATCTTTGTGCGCTCGAAACACAGGCGCGCGTTTACCTATAGCCGTGAGCCTCATTTCCTCTCTCTACCGCCTGAACCTGGGGGATCGTGTGTTAGTCAGAAAAGAAGCCGCTGCCACGTACCGTAGCGAAGGCTAGAAGCGCGAGCTCATAGCGTTGGCAGCTGCCCTTGATGCACGAGAGCCTGTGCCGCCGAGATGTGCCCTAGAGCAAGGAGCTCGCGCTTGTAGCCTTTCCTGCGGTACGTCATAAGATGAAATAGAGTATTGGCGACGTGTGCGATTGAAAGCGTCGCGGTGGTCAGCCTTCCACGATTGGCCGAATGCTGGCTATGACGTCAGCAAAGGAGTTCTCATGGACGGTAAGAAGAGGAACGTGAGGACTTTAATTTTGACGGTGTTGACAGTGTTGGTTCAAGAATGCTATGATTTCATGCTTCCGCCATGCTGATTACAAACACCATCTAACTCGTTGTTCGCAAGGTAATGACGTCACGAAAGGTAACCATACGAGGGCGCCACCGAAACATCTCGCCGCTAATAGCTTTCGGCGGGGCGCTCATTTCTGATGTTCGCCCCACCGTACACATAAAAACGTTTTTTCGTGTGTGTGTGCGATGCGTTATTTTGGCCGGGGTTCAAGGATAAATAGCCTGTATAAGTAGAGCAGCCATCCTGTAGCATAATTTCTTACAGTTATATCAGAAAGCTCATCATTACAAGCTCGAAGATAAATGGGATAGATAAAAAGACTGATTTAACTAAATATGGTAATTTTCAAAATACAAATGTAACGTATAAGTAACAATACGTTACATTTTCTGAACTGTAACGGAAACGAGTTCCTTTCTCTCAGATTGAACTAGAAAAGAGAGCGCGTTTCAAAAATCAAAAGGAACGAGGAACGAGCTTTCGTTCCTCTTTTTGAGGAACGTGTGCAATACTGGCCAGATGTGTTGGTCCTTACGGCCGCTACTTGCGAACTCTATAGCGCACCGCTGTGCACTAGAATGTTCAACCCCGCATTTCGATACATTCATCTGAACCATGGAGCAGGTTGAGTGGTGTCACGCTTCGATTATCATAGAAGCTTAGTTTCAAATGACGGCCATCACTTGTACCGCCATATCTGTAGGGCCATTTATTGTTGATTGTTATGCCATTTCCAAAATTCACTGTCAAATCAGATTAAAGAAAGCTGGCTTGTAGGTGGAGCTCTTGTCCATATAGGTGTATGTACGAGAGTATATATAGTATCGCTCTAGCCTCATATACATTCAGAAATTTTGGGATTTAATCGCTGTTTGTTTGTAACGCAAAAAGGCATTAAAGAACTGCCTCCTGGTAGCCTACCAGAGGGGCAGCCAAGAATTCACTAGGATTACTTATAGTTACTGACAAGTTAAGAAACGCAGGGGGCGGCGAACGCAGAGCCTCTCATTACGTTCCGCAGCCAATGAGATTGTACCATTTTCTAATAAGAACGCCAAAGAACCTATCCCAAAAGCAAGAATCATGCATAAATATAATAAACCGCGTCCCTCGTTTTTCAAGCTGTCAATGCTTAGAGTCAAGGAACATTGGCGGATTCGCTGAGTCTTCCAGGAGGCTCTTTCTAAAGACATGCCTTCGCCATCTTTTACTCGCTTTAGGTTTTTGATTAAATGGATGTGAAATACGAGGGTACCCTGCCGTAACGCAGTATACATAGCTTGCATGTGACGTCAATTCCGGCCATGCCCGTATTCTATGCGCCGCGAGCGTTTGGTTCGCCGTGTTAGTTTCACACTTCAGAGGTTGTCGTTCGATGAAACTGGTAAATAGAAATACCCGTCGGTACCCAGGAATCGCGACACTTGCGAGCTATGTGTACCGTTTATTGCTTAGCGGACTACGCACCGCTCAGTTCCTTGTACAATAGCAACCACATGTACGCTTTCGATAGGGCGCCCAAAAAGAGTTATCGCAAACAATGCCAATTACATTTGACAAAAACAAATTGGAAGTCGTGTGACGTGTATGGCTTGTTTTTATATATCGAATGAATCAATATATAACTCCCAATAACTTTTAATTCATTCATTTATTGCACTGTCAAGTATAGTTTAAGTGTAAACGAATTAATCGTAGAGCAGATGTCATACCTGTGCCGGGAATGAAACTCCACCCAAATTCTATTGCTACGAAGCCGAAAAAGGAGCAATACGTTCCATAAGCGGCACTATCTGATAAATAGGGTGTTATTAGATACTACGAAACTGATGTCAGTTTCAACTACGTTTAGCTGCTTAAACCGACATATGCCAGACGTATTAACCGAGAGTATTCTACCTGGAAATCCAATCTGAATCCAGGTGTTACTCGAGTCATCTTCCTTGTAGCAACTTTGCACATTCAGTTTCTCATTCAGACGTTCCATTGATGTCGAGATGTCATGGATGTTTGCCACCAGCGAAAATTGAGGCTGAAGGAAAAGCAAATCTCCGGTCAAAAGCTTGCGGAAAACCCCTTATATTAAAAATAACTTTTTTGACAGCACAGTATACTAAATTATTCGAGTAATAGCCACACTATTTATGAACAAAGCCCCTGAGTCGAGTTTCACACAGAACACAAATACAGCCAATCTGCGTTGCGCATAAATAACGTAGCGAATAGCCAGATCGAGAACACGATTCTCCATAGAAATGCAATCTTTACAGATGGTGTCTTCGCACGAAGACGTTATCTCTGTCCGGTAAACAGCTGGAGTCATGCTGTCGATCGCCGTAATTGGCAATCTGCGTTCTCCGCGGAAGAACGAATCTTCGGGTTTTCTTCATAAACAGTGCGGCTATTGCTCGAGTAAATACGTTATACATCGTTTATAACGGTGGTTGTTTAGAAGATTTTATAAATCTGTATACTCAAAACGACATTTATAATTCGTATAATTCTTCTTATTAAGATATTGTTCTGAACCTTTTCACTCACACATTCCGCGAATAAACCCAAGCCTCGCGATTCGCATCTTCTGAATTAACAATGAAGCCTTTCAACTGTTTTTTCTAATAATTCGAGGAATTAATCACATTGAAGCACAGAAAATAGTAGGGAAAGAAACATTAGTCTGCAAATTGAAATACAAAAATATTGCCTTGAATAATTTTAAAAACTAGGAACACCCAGGAGTGCATCAATAAAGCTGCATGATGTATAAAGCAGGCTTTAACTTTACGAATTCAAAAATTTCTTGGCCGAACGTGACTTTTCTTTACGCTCTTCAAAAACATAAAACATATAATAACTAACAAATAATCATTTGAAAAATACTCACTCTTTCTTTGCCATTTTGGTTGATGAACGTCTGCATTGCAACTTTGACCGGAATACTTTTGTTTGAAACTCTAATGAAGGAGCGTGCCTAGAAGATGGTTTTAAAGTTACCAGTGACCAAGGCTGTTCAAACACCACGAGGAAGCATCACACAAAGAGAATAAGCTCAGCACCACTATTCATTTCCGGCGTTATTTGTAGTTTAAGGGGCTCCCAGGCTTTACATAACCAAAATAAAGGTATAATTCGAAAAAAAAAAGAAAAAGAAAAAAAAAAAAACGAGACTGGGACAATAAGGGACGGACAAACACAAAGTCTCGGTTTTTTTTTAGACTTTGTGTTTGTCCGTCCCTTATTGTCCCAGTCTCGGTTTTTTTTTTTCGAAATGTTTAACCACCACAAGCTCGTTTGTGCCCTTACCTTTTGTTCATAAAGGTATATAATTTAATTGCCCTTTTCACAATCGCGCGCCAGTATATTCCCGGCTATAAATGAGGTCTTCTTATATTTAGTCATTATCAGAAGGCAGTTTGTTATCTTAATATTCAATTGAACAAACAACAGGCTAACAAAAAAGACTTGCAAACCAACAGGGTCATTTCTGAAAAAAAAGAAAAGAAAAGACGCTTGTACTTGCATTACGCTATAGGTAGATAAACCGACGGAGAGTGGAAGATAAAATCGTGCGGAGATGTTAGCGCGACGAGCTGTGATTGGTTGAAATAGTGGGTAGACGCAAATGTTGACTACTTTTGTTTCTACCCAATGTCTCTCTCCAATCAGAGCAAACATCAGCGTCGTTTGCTCCTCATGCAGTCTGGCGCTGGAACGCTGGACGCCGGCATTCAGCACTCGGCGTTCGAATTCCAGACTTTGAGCATTGAACAGACGACACTCTAGTTTGCTCTGATTACAGGCAGACGATGGGTAGTGATAAAGGCAGCTAGCCTTTGTTGTCTACCCACTATTTCGTCCAATCAGAGCTAGGCACTCTGACGTCACTGCACGCTCTTATCTCCTCCTTTCCTTTTCGTATAGACTTCAGAGTCGGTGTGATCGTGCTCATACCGAGCTTGCAAGACTCTTGCTGCATCACATCGCGTGACTACGTGACGTGAGGTGGTCATGTGACGCTGATGACGTCACGCTCGTACGTCACTTCCACCTAGCTTTTGGGTAATGCTATTTTTGCGTCGCGTTTTGTATCGTTCAATAATGTGTCGCGCTTTAATAGGGAGTTTTAGGAAACCGGAATAAAACATGGTCGATAGACCAAACGATCGGTTTTTTGGATTAGGAGCTCGGACCGATCTTTTTCTATGAAACGGCTTTTAGAAAACCGCTTTTGCAGACGGTCGGTGCAGGTCGCTCACCCTGGCAACAGAAGTGCGCAATGGCTTTGTAAAGTGGGTGAAGAGGGTGCATGTGTTTTGGGGAGTAATTGTGCAAAACTCAAGGAAAAAAAATTCCCTTTTCAAAAAGATCCTGAAGTAAAATTTGGGGAACTAACTATAATTTGTCTCGTTCTGCTAGAATGGAAGCGCTTAACCTGGTGACGGCGTCCCTACCATGATTGAACAGTTTGTCTGCTAAAGGAGCAGACGATCTTCGCGGCAATCATAACTCTAGAACTTTTTAACAAGTGCTGATTGTTGGGCAAGTTGGTATGGTACGTGAGAAAACATGATTGCGCTTGAAGACAGGGACATAGGAAGAACAGCGCTCCGTGGTGTCTGTTCTTCCTATGTCCCTGTCTTCAAGCGCAATCATGTTTTCTCACGAGTTCAAAATGGCTCTATTCGGCGAGGAAAAGAAAAAAAATGATTCTATTTGACTTAGCTAACCCAAAAATGAGGAGACTGTTGGCGGCGATACTAAGGAAGTCCCGCCTCGCGTCGACGGATGAAGTGGATGTGCTACGCCAACTTCGCTTCCACAAAGACGACGAGGCTTATCTTCGATCTACTCTGCAAATCTCGGACACCCTAACTATCAACGGCTGGGTCATCGGACAGAGTTCGAACCCGTGTCGTCGGCGCCTCCATCAAAATGGGAAAGAGACACTTCAAACAACTTGCCACATCCGGGCAAACTGAGACACGCGAACAATACGATTGCAAGAAAGCGTTTGTGCATTGTTGAGGTTTCGTTTTGTTTTCTGTTCATTTGTCGTGATTGTGATTTGATTCTCCTACCGCCACCATGACGTTTCTTCCAGGCACAACTACGAATGCTTACCCTTACGTTTGAAGCTTCGGCAAGCCACTTTCCACAGCGAAATAGTCGTTTCAAAAACGAGACGAGACGGATCTTATGTCAGCCGCTTTGACCCCACGATCACAGCTTACGGTTCGGACACTGGACCACGGTAAAGCAGCATTGACCTCACGCATGCGCAGTCCATACCGGGGAGCCAATCGTATCGCATCGTTTGTGCAAAAACGGTTCCCTAAAACTCTCTAATACTGCGAACAGTATACGAGTATCTCGTTTTGTGCATTTTGTTCCCATATGTTAGGCGTGAAGTGTGACACATGTAATCACCGACAGGTTACGAAGTGCGGGGCGTGGCAAATCCACAAGCGTCTTAAGATTGCTCCGCCGCTAATTACGCTGTGGCATCAGGCAAAAATAAACTAGAATAACGAAGTAGGAAGCAAGAATCACGAAAATAATAAGACATGTCCTATGTTTCTTGACCTGCCAATGATTACAGTTAGTGTTAAAATAGATGGTTAAAGACTGGTAGACTTTCACAATCAGACTGTATATTTTACAGCGGTAGCTGTTACGGGCCCGTTCCCCCGTCTTCGCGACGGCGTGAGCGTAAACGAATTGAGCTCATCTGCAAAATTTATCGGAAAAATTTAAGTCACGTGGCCTATCCATTAATTCAGCCCACTCGCTAAATTTGGCAAGAAAATTGATGTCACGTGACCCAACATGGTGGGAACTACAGACGAATTCAGGTTCCCCACTAAATTTAGCGGAAAAATGAAAGACGTTTACAATTCTTTGTAATGCTGTTGTAGAGCGTAGCTCTTAAGAAGGAGAAAAAGAGGGTACGGAGAGGAGGGTATGCCCCTCCTCCTATTCCGTACTCTCTCCTCGTCCCCCCTCCTCCTTTTCTCCTCCCCCTTCTCCTCTCTCTCCCCCTCCTCCACCCTCCGCCTCCCTCCTCCTCCTCTCATTCCCCTCCCCTCCCTCCCTCCTGCCTCGTGACGTCACTCATCAGCCTTGCGACATCACTCGTGACCCTAGTGATCCTCGTGACGACACTCGTGAAGGCCTCGTGAAGTTCGTGACCTTCGTCGTGACCTTCACGAGTGACCCTCGTGACGTCACGTGTGACAACCATATGGGAAACGTCTCACAATGCAACGCGCGGTTACGCCGACGTCGACGGTGACGGCGGCGCCGCTCAAGCCGCGAACGGGCGCCTAAGAGCTGCGCTCTAAATTGTACGTCACGTGACCTATGCACCAATTGTCAGTTTCCCCACTAAATTTAGCGGAAAAATTGACGTCACGTGTCTCAACTCCCAATTCAGTCCCCTCGCGAAATTTGGCGTAAAAATTGATGTCACGTGACCTGACGTCACGGGACCTACACACGAATTCTGGTTCCCCGCTAAATTTAGCGGAAAAGTTTAGGTCACGTGACCTTTGCAGGAGTTCAGTCTGCCAGCTAAATTTAGCGGAAAGGATAACGTCAAGTGACGTACATTTTTCCCGAATTGGTGCACGTGACCTATACACCAATTCAGTTTTCCCGCTAAATTTGGCAGAAAAATTCGGTAACGACGTGAGCGTAAACGAAAATAATTTTAGCGGCGGCTATTAGTGGCCCGTCCCACGCTTTCCTTGACGGCGTATGTATAAACAAAAAAAAATGTTGCTGTCTAAACGCATTGCGCCGTATGATCGTCCCCCAATTTCGTATGACCGTCCGTGTTGTCAAGAAGCTGGTTTCGATTGTTTCCTTATATAACACAAACCTCTTTGGGTTCTTACACTCGAAGAAACTTGGAGCCTCTTCTTTCCCGAAAATCACCTGAGAGAGCGCGTCGCTGAAATCTATTATTTCCTCTCCGCAGCCGACCAGATCGCGGCATCAGTTCATAAGGACGACGAAGAACCAATCAGATCGCTGCATTAGTTCATTAAAACCACGAATGACCAATCAGATCGCGGCATTACTGCATAAGAACGACGAAGAACAAATCGTATTGCGGCATAAATACATGAGATTGACGAAGAACAATCTCCATCCGCAAACGAAGACACTGAAAGTATGCTTAGGCCTATAAGCAACCAGCGCGGTGGCATTGAGCATGGTAAAACACCATGATCAGTGCCCCAATGCAGACTGCTTTTAGGTTCAAACGTATTTTCAGCCTCGTCCTTCGCCGATTTTACGATTTCCTAAATTACAGCGATTGGCTTTCCTAACTGCTTCGCGGGCAGAACCTGAGGTTCTTAAATGTTTCGTTAGGTTGACTGCACTAACACAGCTGTACATGCCCTGTGAATGTCCCCTTATACACGGCTGAAATCGAGAATCACATGGGGATTGTTTTATCTGCAGTCCCTGAAATAACGCTTACTTTCGAGCACCAAAAGAATATTATTACCGGAAGATAGTGGTAGGTGACGATAGCTTTCGTGAAGGAGTCGACTTTGGCTGGAAGCTCACCCGTGGCTATCTCGAAGGTCTCTGTGGGAATTCCTCGAACCACATGCTGCATGTAACGTTTGACAAATCTGTAAGAAGCGACTGGAGCAACTTGTAGATTATTAGTTTTAAATCACATATTTGGAGTTTACAACGTGAATATAGATGTCCAGACAAGTTTGACGTAGAATTTTTTCCTTAGGGGACGAAAGCGCCGCTTGCGCAGAGTCCTATTACTAAAAGATCTTGCAAAATCTTTTTTTTAGCGTGATACATTTAAGCTCGACGTATCTAATTGTCTATAATAATAGCAATAGCTTATTTTAAGAGCTCGTGTCTGAGTGATAACGAAATCACAGGTCAAAATATTGACTTTCAGCAATACGAGAAGTTTTTTAGAGCTTGGTTGGAGCTTACCCTGCCAAGATAGCTGGCGTTTTGCAGCACGTCGTAGTCCAGAAAGATGATTTCTAACATGTTTGCAGAGTTTCTGTCTGGGAGCGTCACCCTCAGAGAATAATTACTTTGAGCCTCTATCGTGCAGTAGGGACGCCCCTTCATCGTACCTAGTTTGTAGACCATGCCTAAAAGGAATAAGAACGACAATTTTGGTCGTAACTACCTTCAATATTAGAACATTTTCCCGAAAAGTCATCAACACTGGTTCTACTGCTGTGCGGTGTTATTGACCTCGGTAGGTACAAAAACAAAATTGGGTTAAATTTTAAGAAAATAAAATATTTATAAAAAAAAACCTGCTGGTAAAAGGGGTTTCAATATCTGCAGATAAATTCAATCATTCCGGCCCACAGACTTAGGCGGGAGGATAATCAATCAATCGATCAATCAATCAATCTAGTTTCTTGTAATGCTAATGTTTTATTTGGAGGTTTGAGGCAATAATGCGAATGAGAAACGGACGAGTTTGGCTTGAACGGCGTTTTACATCAGGTAATAGGCCAACTCAGCAAGCGTGCGGCACATGTGTGAAGCTGCCATAATTAAAATTAACTGTTGGGCTAGTTGGGTGAATATCTTAATTATCAAAGCATTCTGTCCTTGTCTTTTGCGATTTTGTAATTAAGATAAGCCGCCAAACTTTAGATGCCATGAACTAGGCGGTAGTGCTCGAGACGGCTCCAGCTGGGCTATGAAACCTAAAGGAAGACTGAAATTCCCTCGATCCTTAGCGGTGGCGGAGGCTCAACCAAACTGGCTGAAGAGGTTGGAAATTTGCATTTCCAAGCAAATCTATTTACACTGACTTCCGCGTGCTAATCATTATGCGAGATCATATTAAAAACAAACCTCTCAACTTTTTTTTTGTTTATCAAGCGCAGGATTCGAGGTAAGAGTAAGCATATAGGTCACACTTTATGTGTGGAGATCATTAGGTTGTTACTTTACAACACAAGTAGTACTGCTTTACAGTGCTTTTTACTTATCTACAAAATTACATTCTCAGCTTTATTGGGGATCTGTCAGTGCCTAAATATTTGAGTTATAAGAAATTCTAAACCACTTATATCTAGTAATTTGTAGAACAATTAGCCTATGTTCTACACGAGCAGATGACTCACATAATCGTCGTCTAGGACGAAACAAATTTGAGGTAGACATAATACGTGTAATATTTGAAAATAGCTACACAGAAACAAGAGTGGGCTGATTTATAGTATCTCTCATAGAGCAATTCTTACGATTGATGACATTAAGACCTCTAAATTTACGTGCAAACATAAAGCTTTCAAATACACTGTGTATGTCCAATGGAAGCCCAATATAGCGCTATACTTTCAGTAACTAACAAAACGATTAACGAGGAAGTAACATGCGGCAGCATACTTCGGATTTTCTTAAACTCCCGTAGGGGTTTCTTAGTCTCCGACAGTTTAAGCTACGCGGTGCTTGGCCAATCATAATCATGCTTCGTGCTTTGTGATTGTTTTTTTGCCGTTCTTATGAATTATAACGACGCGATTTGATTGGATACGGAACTATAATGAGATGCTCGGTCGCCACGCCTGGCATTTCTGAAGTTTTCAATGACCTAGAAACGCAGTGACTACGATGGCGCGCGCGATAAATGGCTTGTGTCCCTCTTTTTCTCGCGCGTGTAAATCAACGTCTGTTAGAATTATCTCAATGATTGTAGTTTAGATGCTAGCACAATTTACTTCACGTGGATTACGCGGACTAATTTTACGTTGAGATGTTCAAAACAATCATAATTCGTTTTACGGAGCCAGAAGCTCACCGTTTCTGGCGTCCCATATCTTCTGCGTTGCATCCTGCGGCAGGGTCGGTTTAATGGGTGCCGATGTCTCCCAGGGTTCCATGATGTAACTGAAAAGCTGCTTTTCTGTGTTGTAGATTGTCTAAAATAAGCCAAAATAGTGCATCAGTGCGGAAACTCAGCTTGCTTGTATATTTTCTTAACAAATAGTACACTTAAAGCATCTTACGTGTCTATAAAAAAAAATAAAACTAAATTTACACATTTGTAAGCAGCTTAACCATTTCAATGCATTCTCCCCATTTAATTTATTTTATTTATTTATTTACATTTCCTCAAGGCCCTGGGGGCGTTACAGAGGGGAGTGAGTGAAAAAACAACAACAAACAGTATTAGAAGACATGGAATAGGTCACGGGTCACTTTCGCAAAAATAATTAGTAACAGCACATTTAAACACATCTAACGAGGGTAATAATATTAATGACGCCGGAAGGTGGTTCCACTCTGATGATGTCCTAGGAATGAAAGAATCGTGATAGGCTGAGGTTCGAGAATGAGGAACGCCGACTTTGTACTGATGATCAATGCGTCGAGAAACGTAAGGTGGGTCGAGGAAGAGTTTCTCTTTAAGAATGGGGTTAGAATTATATATTTTATAGAAAAGGCATAGACGAGAACACTTACGGCGCAAAGAAAGCAGTGGCAAGGAGAGAAGAGATTTCATGGATGATACACTAGCTGTCCGGTGATAATTATTAAGTATGAAACGAGCGCAGCGGTTCTGAACTGACTCAAGATGAGAAGTGAGCGTCGTCTGACCAGGATCCCAGATTGAAGCTGCATGCTCTAATTTTGAGCGAACCAAAGATTTGAATAATATTAGTTTGAGAGAAATTTGCGCTAGAGAAAAGTTACGTTTTAGGTAGCCTAACATAGAATTGGCATTAGAAATGATGTGGTTAATATGAATATTCATATTAACCACATCATTTCTAATGCCAATTCTATGTTAGGCTACCTAAAACGTAACTTTTCTCTAGCGCAAATTCCAAACCCAGGAGAGGTTAGAAGTTTCACATTCTGAAGAAACGTTATCAAGGTGATAGATAAGAGGCGAAGTGTTACGGCGAGACACTTTCATTGTTTTACATTTTTTAGTGTTAAGTGTCATGGACCACAGCTTGCACCAATCAAGAACAGCATTTAAGTCGTTTTGAAGAAGGAGAGAGTCAGAATCATTTGTAATCTTACGATAAATAACGCAGTCATCCGCGAACAAACTAAGCGATGATGAGACACACAACGGCAAGTCATTGATGTAAATGAGGAATAACAAAAAACCTAAAACGGAGCCTTGAGGGACGCCAGAAGTAACAGAAGACACCGAAGAATTATTTAGAGTTATTTACATGAACAAACTGAGAACGATTAGTAAGAATACACTCAATCTAAGTTGGAATCTGAGGGTCAAGATTGAGTTTGCTAAGCTTGAAGAGTAGTAGTTGGCGAGAAACTTTATCAAATGCTTTGCAGAAATCAAGAAAAATACAGTCAACCTGGGATCCATGACCAAGTAATGAAAATAAATCTTTAGTAAAGACAAGAAGTTGTGTTTCACAAGAAGGAAATTTACGAAAGCCATGCTGTGAGGACGAGAAAAAAGAGCTGGATTCGAGATATTTAACAAGATGTGAATAAATAATATGCTCTAACATTTTACAAGGAGTAATGGAAATGGGTCTATAATTGTCGGGGCAGTGTTTGTCACCTGATTTATGAAGTGGAACCACCTTGCCAGTTTTCCAATCTTCAGGAAGGACACCAGTAAAAATAGATTGCTCAAAAATCTTAGTAAGAAAAATTGCACTGTAAATTTTAGTATTCTTTAGAAACTTAATATTATCAATACCATATGATGAAGACACTTTGAGGTTGTCAATCAGCTTAACAATCCCATCAAAGTCAAACACAAGCAGGTCCATAGGAAAGAAATCATAATTAGGGTAAGTAACAATGGAACAGCTTACATCCCTAGAAAACGATTGTACAAACATCTCATTGAGGACTTTTGCAGAGTCATCGTTAGACAAAACAATGCCACTCTAGTAGGTTTTTAAGTAATTACTATAAAAACAACTTGTTAGTATTCGCTCCATTTTGTCATAGGGCTTGAAGCCTAAACCCCGCCTTATACGTAGTCTAGATTACATGCCGCATCAAGAAATCTAGCAGTAACAACTATTTCAGCACAAGATCAAACAGGCGAATATGGAGACTTACATCTAAATGAGACATGTAAGAGTAGGAATTCTTCAAAGTCCGATCGGAGAAGGTAAGCTCAGAATGGAATTCCATCGTGACCTTGGAAAGGTCTGGGGGTTTCGGAAGGTTTGCTGCAAGACGTGTACATCCCAGACCTATCGGAATCTGCGTAATGAAACCAAAGCAGGTCATCTCTCATAATGATATCGCACAGCTGCAAAAACAGATTGGAGGAGACATAAGCTAAAGTGTCTTTGCTTTCAAATATCCTACGCGACACAAACTCATGCTGGAGCTAAGGTCACTATATGTGTAATATAGTCTTCAAACTAGCGATAATTCGGCGGTTTGTTTATAAAATAAATGTTACCAGTAGTCTGAAGCTTATCTTAAATCTAAGAAAACAAATCTCTATCCAGCAAAGATGTTAGAAAATCCGCGAATAATAAGAAGAAAAGAAAACGTTACTGCTCGAGCTTCTCGACATTGTATTTAAAGCTTATCGTCAATTTCACCAGCTGTGCACTAGGCACCAAAATGGGCGGCGTCCCCAAGACGATGGGGAAATTGAGTGCCGATACTCTACCAAACCCTAGTCTATTTAGTGACTCTACCTGGAGCCGTAGAACTCTAATAAGAATTCGCCTCAATAAAGTTTTGATTAAAAAAAAAAACGAACAAGAAAACCCAATATGATATCTTTCTTTTTATTTTACTACTTTTACATCTAATAGAATCGCAACGAGTAGTTGATACGTCCGCATTTCTGCGTGCCATACGATATGAAATAACATGTGTTGCTTTTAGGTTCATTTTCATCGTATTCGGAGTAACTAATTAAACAATAATGTGAAATAGGTCATTGGCATGGTGTGCAAGTTACGAGGTGCATGCCGATCGTCTTGATGCACAGCGAGGGGTAAAATGACCCTTGAGTTCTACCACATTGAAATGCGCGAAAGTCGGAACCATATATAGAAACACGCTACGTAAAAACAAACCGCAGAAAACACATTCGAGAGAAGTCATCGTGTCTGCGCACGCGCAGTTCCAAAAGCAGCGCCACCGCAGTGTAGTGACTTCAGAAAGTTGAGTTAGTCTATAAATTAATGAAGTGTAATCAGGCTCGTCTATACAAGATGTGTTATTCCGAACGAGGCGTCTTACTGGACATTTTCACAGACGTTTTAGTGCCGTGAACCCGTGAACTCAAGTATTAGCGCACACAATATACAAATGTATCTTTACCACTGCGTTCATAGTACAGACTCAAAGAATATGCAGCGGGCTTTGAGCTGCACTGGCGGTTTGTTAACGAGTATTTCTGAGCTCAAAAGTCGTACTCAATTACGCTAAAATCTTGCAAAATTTAGCGTTATAATATTGAGGTACCCCGTTAAATTTAGTGGGACGCATAGGTCCGCTAAATTAAGCGTGTTACACCTTTGCGTTGACTTGCTTTAGGGACTTCTCATACCAAACCGTCGCCTTATACACACAACGTGTCAACATGCGACTTTTGTGACAGTTCAAATTTAAGGAAAATCAAAGAAATAAAAGCATATCTCGTTTCAAAGGAACAAGTTACTAGCTTGTAGGAGTACGTCGCGGTAGCTGGAAAGTTTCTTCGTTGCAACCTAAGATCACCTCGAATTTTTTGTCCCTGTCGTTTTCATATGGTTGCATCATCATGATATCGGTGGTTTCCTTTCCTTGTTGAATCCGTACGGGCACAGCCTTGCTTGTAGCATTCCCTAGGTCTGCGCCTGGATCCTCTAGAATAGTAAAATATCGCAGCATAAGCACGAATGTTCGCATAACCAACTGCCTTATGTTCCGGTCTTCAACTCACACCTTTGTGCAAGTGTCACCCCCCCCCCCCCCCCCGTTATAAACGGCTATATGCAGAAAAAAAGGTGGCAGTTAAGTCGTACCTTTGTATATGTTGCACATATACATTCGTGTGGTCGGCGCAGGGAAAGTACGGTTAAAAGCACACTTATGTGTTTTCTAACCGTAATACATGCGCTAGCGAGAGCATGTTTCAATACTCTCATCAGCAAATAAAACATAAATATTATAATCCTTGTGGAAAATTGTCGCAGGTCCATTGTTATAGAAAAATAATGCATATGAGTCGAACGCTTCTGTAAAGCGCGTCGGCAGAAATGTTTGAAAAAAAAACAAAAAAAAAAAAACACGACTACTAGACTAGAAAATACGGTAATAAAAAAAACTAGGACGATATTATCCAGAAAACTAAACATCTTAAAGTTTTTCAAACCAAATATATTTTTTTCTAAGTTTACGGCGTTCTCATAATTAAAACAGCTAAGAGCAGCACTTTTAAGTCGATACTTTGAACATAAACTGTACAGGTTTTTTCATGTGTGCAGAAATATTAATTTTCAGCAGCTTCTTATACACCAACCCGCGGACCTGAGGTCAGGCCGCGGTTGCCCATGCTTCATGTGAAGCTGTTTGTTAACAGCGCGTTGGCCTATAAAAGTTACCCTGCTTCATGAGGATGGCATGCAGTGTTATTGCTATCGAAATTTATCTTTTCCTTAAATTAAGGTTTAGCGCTTGCAGTCACATATTCACCCCGTTTTGCTTGAAGTGAGAGGGTAGCAGAAGCTACAAGAGCGAGCTCTGGGCTTCTCAGGGTCCCTGCAAAGCACTGGCGCTTGTTCAGTGCAGATGTCTTTCAGGGCAACATGCGCGTGCTTGTAGCTTTAGCTTCGCTCCGGGATAAAAAGAAGCAAACTATACCGTATCATAGCCTCCTATATACTGACAAAGCCTGGTAGATCGCCACGAGAAGCGGCCGCTAAAATGGTAAAGATTGAGCAGCAGACAACGGATGAGAAGAGAGCCACGTGTCTGACGCCCCGCTGCGGCGGGACGCCGAAACACACTTCTCCCGAGCGAGCAAGTGTGTTTCGAGTCGCAGCAAACTTTGTGTGCTAACGTCCAGGCTTCAAAGAAATGGCTCTTTGATGATCTGTGCTACCAGATCCTCGCTCTCGAAATCTGCGACCGGGCACTGCATGGCTCCTTCGTCGAACTGCCAGGCTTTGTGAGTATATAGAGGAGGCTATGACGGTATTCAACACTGTTGGGGTTTCAAGAAAACGGGTGTACTGAGATTTCTATAAAAATAAAGCTATTTCATTACCACGTCCGTTTTTCAGTTGTTAATTATTCTTTTTATGTGACATTTTATTGTGAAACTAGTCACAAATTTCTTCTACGTGCGTTTCTTTTGCAACATAAAAATTGCATGTTGGATACGCAAAAAACAGTTTCTTTTACGATTTCTTCTTTTATTTTAGAATTTCAATTAACTGCGTTCAGTCGCACGTATAAAGAAGTTTACGTAGGTGGAAAACATACCAGCGAAGAAAATATCCACAGGTTCACTTTCGTTGTCGACACAAGTGGACCATTTCTGTGTGCGGATTCCTCTGACATTTCCGCCTTGGCCTTGGTACGCCTTGAAATAAAACGTTGCTTGAGCTACTACATTCAAAGCAGTCAGCTGGATTTATATTATTGACGTGATGCCTCTCTAAATATTTAGTCTCAGAAAAAAAAATCTTGAAGTAGACATCAGTTACGCAGAGGATGGTTTATGTCAGCCGTGAAGCGTAGCACTATCACATAATGTACGAATGGGAAGAGTGTACCTACATTCAAAAGTAAAGTTTCGTTTTAGAAGTTATACTATGATCATTTATATATATAAAAAATACATTTTACATAGCCAGAATAATTGTTACTTATTCCTATTTCCCGGTATTTAGATGAATATAGACCCAATCCAGAGGTCGTAAAAGTTTTAAAATCTTTACTCTAACACTTGATATTTTTAGCGAGGGCTGCACCAGGTTGCATCACTCTGTCAAAACTTGCCCCCGCTGAAAAAAAAAAAAAAAAAAGAAAGAAAAATATTGCTTTTTTTGGAAGCGTCTCATCTTTTCGATCTCGCTCCAACCTTGCCCTCGTTTCTGAACATCACAAACGGGCTGAGCTATCTAATTTTCAAGAATGTTTCTACAGCCCATGCTTCAGATCATCATGCATTCATCGTTTCGTATGCGGCCGTTAGCGTACAGACTATAATTTCGATGTAAGATGCCTGAAGGCAAGAATCATAACTTTCCAGAACAACCTCTTTTTTTCGTCCACGGACTGCCGTTTATTGGGACGGACTTCCCCAGAACTTTGGGACTGCTTATAACTCGTTAAAAAAATCTTTTACATGAAGTCATGTTTTAGGTTCAATCGAGTGTATTTTGGCATTTCCATACTTCTCCTTAAAAACTTGAGCGTGTTGGTTTTCTAAATTGACTTAAAACGAAAGAAACACACAAGATTGCGTCGTTTGTTTCGACCTCTTGTGTGTTTCTTTTGTTTTAAGTCAATACTTATCCTCTTGATGTTTTTGTTTTGTTTTGTTTTACATGCCCACTTGTTTTTTTGTGATATTGTACCTTTTTTTTTTTTTTCTTTGTAACCCAGGGGGCCTTAAGGCATTTAAATAAATAGATAGGTATGCAGTGGCATATCAAACTATTTTATACTTGCTTATAATATGGAAGCTTTGATTGCTTCTTTTTTGTGCTCTTTGTCTGCCCTGGAACTTGAAGTGACCTTTGATTTTGTTTTTGTATTAGTGTCGGACATGTGGACTGCGCTTCTGCTCCGAACTAGTGTTTTTTATTTTTGTGTAGGTGATCTGTATTTCTTTAAACATGCAGCACGAAGATCAGTAGGTTGCTCTTGAACACATTATAAAAACAATTTCATAATTTTATATTACTATGTAGATATAAAATATAGATATATACAGACGTTCACAAGGCGCACACGACCCCTCCCTATTTATTAATACCAATATATATATATATATATATATATATATATATATATATATATATATATATATATATATATATATATATATATATATATAAAACGGGCATGATGGCGGAAGGCCGAAGGCGTGGGTGTATAACTGAGAAGAAAAGAACCCTTAGTGAGAACCGCAACAACGGACGATTTATTCTTCGACGTTTCGGCCGGAGTCCGGCCTTCGTCCGGCCTTCAGGCATCTTACATCCTGATGAAGGCCGGACTCTGGCCGAAACGTCGAAGAATAAATCGTCCGTTGTTGCTGTTTTCACTGAGGTTATTTTCTTCTCAGTTATACACCCACGTCTTTTGCCTTCCGCCACCATGCCCGTTATATATATATATATATATATATATATATATATATATATATATATATATATATATATATATATATATATATATATATGCGTACTGTCGGAGTTACTTATTCGAAGTGTATTACGACGTTTTGAGCGGGGACCGTTCTTCCCCCCCGCTCGAAACGTCGTATTAAACTTCGAATTAGTAACTCCGACAGTACGCATCTTTGACTTATTAACGTTTCCCGGTCCATTATTTTTATATTTACCTTACTTCCTCTCTCTCTCTCTCTATATATATAATAAAAATGAACGTATAGTATAGATATTTTGCAATATGCCAAAAAAATTCAGTGGGTTCTTTGCTCAAAGAACGATACAGATATGTGCGGCTGCTCGTACAACTACTTGTTGCAGCTGAGCTAGTTGGTTCTTATTTTGGGGCGGTGCCAGCCGAAGAGGTATATCGGAAAGGAACATGTGCCGACATACGTACCGACTTGTAACCGCCAGGAATCGAAGGACCTATAAAAAGCGCTGAAGCACCTAGTATTGTGTAGCCTTGGAGGCGAAGGGCCATGGTCTCAAGATCTTTAGGGGTGTTTTTTAGGCTCAAAGTCTCACAAGAATGATCTGCAAAGAAACAAACAAATCACCGGATTCCAAGCAAACAAAATACATGCTTTTTCGTCGCTAAAATGACACCTCTTATAACACACATAAATGGCACCAACAATCCGTAATTACAAAATAATTCCTGTTGTTACAGGAGTATATTGAGTTCATATTCCACTCAACAAAACTGTAGCTTTAATTTTCGAATGCTTGGTATCGTAATTTGGACCAAGATATACACCCACATAGTATCACACTTAAAGATAATAGTTATACAGTATTAAACGAACTTTTAGGACGCCTGCCCTTATGGCAGTCACATTTCAGACTGAATGGCTCAGTATCTTCACCGGACAAGAATAAGGCAAAGCTTTTACTATCGCAAGAATAAATCCTAAAAAGTCATTAGACCGATCTCACCAGCCAGGTTTGTTACGCCGCCACTCCTGGCATAAGTAGTGGCAAAGCCTCCTCTATACTCACAAAGCCTAGCAGTTCGACGACGGAGCCAGAGATTGCCCGTCGCAAATTTGGAGCGCGAGGATCTGGTGGCACAGCGAATCGAAGAGCCATTTCTCGGGGAACCTGGACGTCAGCGCACAGCTTTTGCAGCGGCGAGGACCCGAAACGCACTTGTTCGCTCGGGAGTGTATTTCGGCGTCTCGCCGCAGCGGGGCGCCAGTCACGTGGCTCTCCTCTCATCCGATGTCTGCCGCTTAACCTTTTCCATTTCGGCGGCTGCTTCTCGTGGTGTTCTGCCAGGCTTTGTCAGTATATAGGAGGTTATGGACTTGGGAACTGTATTATTTCTGCACGCGCCACAACCCCGGCGCGGATCTGCGCGGGAAGAGCACGAGATGGCACGAGCTGTCTCGTGCAGTAGCGCCTGCCACCTGTAAATCCTGTGGACTACAGTTATGGCGGCGTCACGCATGCGCCGAAAGCTTGGTCAGGTCGGTCTATTGGAAAAGAACATTACCGACAGAAAGCCCGAGAGATTTAGAAAGACGGCTTACCATCGAAAATAAAAATCTCCTCCGAGACTGTGCGGTAATAAATATTTGTAAATACACCATCACTAGTCAATTTCAAAAGGCCTTGATGCCACCTCGTGTCGAAGTACTCTGTCAGGAACATCGTCGTTTTCTAAAATAAAGCAAAGGAAAAAAAATGTTGCATATTATTTAGCAATTCTTTGGAATTTCACGTGCGTTTGAATTGGTACGCGCTTTCTTTCTTTCCCACAGAGCACAGCTCAGAGAGATTCCCCCCCCCCCCCCCCCCCCTTTAAAAAGACAACAACAATAACAACCACAAAAACCATCATATACTGTTGGTTATAAAGACGAGCCAACGTAGAAGCATAAGACGACAAGCTTAGTCTGTTACAACTGGTATAATTTTTGCGGGAGAACGTGTTTGAGACTTATTGTTTGGTGGAATCTCTAAAATGAGTTAAGGGGTCATTTTTTCTGCAGTGTCCCCGATCTGCAGAAAATTTGCTAAACACACCAACAAACATCGATGAAGTAGTAACCCAAGTATTGCGCCAAAATAATTTGTTTTCGCGAAGTTATTGAATCTAACATTTTGGTATTGCAGAAGGGTTTGGATTTGGGCTAGTTGGTTAAACATGTTTAGGGTTAAAAGCGCGAAAAACGACGGACGAGTAGGAGCGCTACTTTACACACCACAGAGCGCTACTTAGACCAGTTGCAAGTAGCGCTCTGTGGTGTGTGTCTCTCTTACTCCTACGTCGATTTTAGCGCTTTTAACCCTAAACATACCATTTTGGTCTTCAACGTGTTTTTCAAGAGTGAAAGTTTCACTGGAAACAATGGAAGAGTGACGTCAGTGGGAGGCGTTGGTTCACTCTTTGGGCTGTAGACTTTGTTCTTAAGCGACTATACGCAGTTTTATGATGTCAAATGAATTCATTGGAAGCTCCCAGCACGAAAGAAATGGTCGGCATAGTATATTCTAAGGATGCCCGCGCGACCCGCTTTTCACTACTGTGACTGACGTCTTGGTAGTAAAAAGCGCGGGTATATTCGAATTTTGGTTTTGGCATCATTTTCACTCACCGATTTCACAATAAATATTCTGAATTTTTTGCGACACAAAGTAGCATACCGGAAAGAGTAATCTCGGGCTTACAATGATCATACTGCATGCAAGAACGTCGTACGTTTGTTTACCCCCGAAACGCGTCCACGGGACTTTGTTTGTCCCTGACCTCGACCAACAATGTTGCGCGCCTTCCCTCCGCCTTCTTTATGTTGCCCTCTAATTGGCGAGCTTCTCCTTGCGTTCCGAAGCGCCAGAGACGCATTTTGGAACACTTGCTCGCCGTATAGGCTGTGATGACGACAGTTATATACATGCAAGGAACAATTGCTTGCTTCCAAGCTGCTCCTTTGCTGCTTGAACGCCGCCATCGTAGTCATCCGTTTCTTTTTTGTTTTTCCCCAAGCTTTTGACCGGAATGATAAACTTGCTTTGACGGTTTGAGAATGTGTTAAGGGTCTTAATTCTGAGAAAAAAATATATATTTACCACACAAATGTAGCTCGGTGCTTATGACGAGAAGTCTACGCCAAACAAGCGGCGTTTAAATAAGCCCAAACTTTGTTGAGTATGCGCGGAAAAAAAAATCATTAAACAGTAGATAAAAAAGAAGTACTTACTGACTCACGGTCGTTGACCTCGGCAGATAGCTTGAACCCCTTGGGGTAGGACTCGAATATATTCGGGTATTGGCGAGCTAAAAATGTTTGAACAAAAGAAAAAAAAAACAAAAAAAAAACGCCATGTAAGTTGCGAAACAGTGATTCTGCGGGCGAGATGGTGATAATTCATAATATTTTGAAACACCTAAAGTATTTTTTCCCACACCACAGTCTCAGGTGTTGCATTACGATTAATAATACAAGTAGCTTTTTATATTAAAAAAACACACACAAATATTCCTCGCTAAGGCCTTCAGTTGTCTTGTAAAACTCGTTCAGCAAATTTCTACTACAAAGTTATTATAATTAAGAAGTAGTTAATATAAGTATGTGTAGTCACTGAACGATTAAAATACACAGTTAGAACACCTTAGAAGGAATTGCGAAGCAAGGGTACGTGACAAAAATAACCGACGCACCCTGCATTCATTATGCTGTCAATGAATGTAGACGCTTTTAATGTTATCATAAACCGAAGGGCTTAAAAAAGATACAATATGTGTCTTTAACAGACTTGTTAATGAACTGAACTCCCCCGCAAGACTAAAATTGGAAAAGGCTAATAAAAAAATAAGTAAAAAATAATTGCTGGCAAACTAACCGATCAGAAGCGGTACGTTCAGCACCACGGCGCTTATTATGTTGTCAGACTCCATAAGCCAGGGAAAAAATTGAGATGTGAATAAGACGCACCACGTTTAGCGTCTAGTATAAGCTTAACGCCTACCGGCCAGACCCGAATATCAAGGGGATTCTTTTCAGACAATAAAGATAGCTGATATATAAAATAAATGTGTATTTTTTGTGCTCTTGATGGCGTCCACTCTTAAAGATATTCTGCCGTGCCCACTCGTTCGTGCTTTCCACTCGTTCAAAGATCAACAAGGAGTCGATGTACTTGAAGGGGACACCTGGAAATCACTTTCTGGCTCTCCGTTCTTAGAAACTTTCGTGTTATCCCCTAATCTACGCCGGTACCTATTGTTTTACAAGAATAGCATTGAAATATGCATCAAGTGCTTCGGATTGCCTTCTGCTTCTGTCTACATTGAAATTCGCTCTGTTTTCACAAGACAAAAAAACCTTTACCAATGATATTTCTAAAACTATTTATTGAGATATCCGCGAGCCAGGAAATTTTGTATTTCTTACAGCCTGTTTCTGAGCTTTGTCCATGTGACCGTTTAATGTCGCTTCGTAAAGGTACCAAATACTACAATGCTGAAAAAAATATTTTTTCCTACATAGCCGCAAACAGAATTAAAACTTCGCATTTAATGGAATTATTAATTATTCCGTGTTTGATTATAACAAATGAAAGTGACTTTATTGGCATTCTATACTTTCCTGTTCAAAATCCTGTATAATGTTTCCCCTATCTGGATTATGGAACTGGAAATCTTATTGGATTCTATCAGGAAACGTGAAATCCAAACTGCAGACAAAGGAGTGATTCCAGAAAACCTAAAATCCAGATAGAATTCAATACGATTTGCTGTTTAATAATCCCGATAGCGAAACGCTATATTGGATGACGGGGTAAGGCGCGTTCTTTCCATTCTGGTCTCATCGACAGGGCATTGCCCTTTACGCCTTTCTATGACCTATGACCTTGGCTGGCCCGTAATTTTACTTAAGCGCATAATATAATTATTATTTCGCAAATACCTCTAAAAACTAGCCATGCCACGAGATCGCTTAGTTTTGAAGTCACACTTGGCATCAAAATGGTTTTCTGTCATCCACTGGTTCAACATTTTAATTACGCAATTTTGCTCATATGACACTAAGATTGTCAATGTCCGTTAGGGTGTGTAAGTATTTAGAGCGATAGCCACTACACTCTAAAAAAAGTTCGTAAAAGAACTCTGGAATTCTCCGCTTGCCTATATTTTGCACACTCTTGTTTTAAGCACCTGCTAAAAGGGCTTTTCGGGAAAAACCTGAAGGGGTCTCTTAAGCTTTGTTTTATGTCGAAAGAGTTCTTCATCGCACATTTGCCTTTTTAGTGAACCAGGGGGCGATTGTGCTTGAAGCGAAACTGTTTATCACGAGCTGAAAGTGTTCTTGGGGCATCAAAAAACCTTTAAAATACGGACTTTTTTTTTTCTTTTTAGAGTTTAGGAAAGCGCGAATGAGCTAACGTCAAGCCATCATATGGTAGCATTAAACTTTAAGGGCACAGTAAACGTACAGAGCTCAACGAAACGAAATGGACCAGCGGAGCGCGTGGCTTCGCGTACCTGTGGCGCCATCTGCCAAGAGAAGCGGTCTATCTCGGCTGTGTTCTAAATCTTACTCGAAAGGATCCGAGTTACTTCTGCGGATCATCTCACGTGACACGACAGATAGAGCAACGCTAGACGCGGGTAGGTTTTCGAACGCCAAGGTACCAAACCTTTACCCTAGAGTGAGATCGAGTCAATTTTGGAACACGGCCCTGGTGTCGCGAGCTGCACGTGTGCACAGCTGAGCCAAGCGCTCAGCGGCTGTTCGTGCTCGGTGCGCAACCCATGATAGCTAATTAACGGCTAACTCGGGTGGTCATTTCCCGGCAAAATATTTTGCCCTATCTTCGGCAAGGGCGTTCGCGTGGTCAAAGGCTGGTGGGTGTAAGCTGTTTGGGTGGCACTTCTCAGATTTGTGCCGGCGATTTACTGGCACAATCTTTGCGCGAGCTCAAAGAGGTCGGGCAGCTAGTCTGCCAGACTGTGTCCGGTATAGTCACATCCGAATCGGGATAGGGAACCAAGGGAAACAGTGCTCGCTGAAAGCGACAAATAGCGTGTTCGTGTGACAAATGAATCCATCGAGACAGACAGGTATTTGTGCTCTGAGACAAGATAGCGAAAACAATGACAAAGATAATTTGTTTTAAAGAAGGCAAACGTTTTTGCAAGAGTTTATCCAGCCTTCGCAAGATCAGTTTTCTCTGAGAAACCGGCTGCATCATATATTACTTTGTTTTACAACTGTGTAATAACGTTTATTACACCGCTAAAAAAAATGTATGGATAGTGATGCAGTTCGATATTTTAATACGCAAATCATTTCAAGGGAGGTGGGCGCAATGAAAAAACTGAGGATTCCAAAAAATGGAATAACAATAAACAGAATATGAAAAGCGACGGTGGCAACCCACCTTTGAATCCTTGTAAAATGGCAACAGTTCATCGGAATTCCATACAAAATGTACCGAAATTTGACGTGCGTGCGGGCACAACCGCACTGACTTATTCATCTGCCCTTTCATTAATTCTATAATTTAAGATCCTGTCAGCTGTACAGACTGTGGTAATGTTAATATTTTGAAAATTTTTGTGAAGCCGTTTATGTCCACACCCATATCAGAGAATGGGAATTTCTATTGTATTGGCATATTGGCAATATTTCTATTTCTATTGAGGCATACAGCGTGCTCATTGTGCCATAGGCTAATCGAAGAAGAAGTTAACGAAGCTCACGGGCAACCCAGGCAAATGAAAACGCCAGTTGCCGGCGCTTTGTCTTCGGGTGGTGAGGGTCACGTGGTGCGTTGCTGGAGCGTTTTTGGTCGCCGGTGCCACTGACAAGGGCTCACCGGCGATTGACTACCCGAATTCGCCATAACACTGGCCATGAGTTTGCAACATTACAGTGTTTTTTTTTTGTTTTTTTTTTGCTTTAGCGTAAACAGATTTATCTGTTTCCAAAAGTTAAAGCTATACTTGAAAAATTGACCAGCACTCGCAGTGATATTACTGTTCATACTACATAAATGTGCAGCATCAAGGCACGTCTGCCGTATTCGTAGACTGAGTAAATTAAATGCCTTCCTTTTTCGCTGCTTTCTTTTTTTATATATATTTGGGGCAAAATAACTTCGCATCATGAAGGACAGATAAAGTCGCGAGTTTCCCGCAATGATTAAAAAAAGCGATTAGGCTTGAGATTTATGCTTCGTGGCAATCAATTATCGGGGATTGAGGCAATCCCCGATAATTGATTACCACGAAGCATAAGCGCGATCAGCCGCTGACTGCTTGGCTCAGCTAGGCGCATGTGCTACACGCGACACCAGATTCTTCTCCCGGCAGATGTCGCAGCAGGTACGCGAGTCCCAGAGCAGTTTATACTGAGAGAGTATGGCCAATGGGCCGAGCTTCTGCCCGCTAGAACCAGCGGATTTCGCGATAACACGAAATGGCGCTACTTCTTTGTCTTGCTTCTTCCTGAGAAATCGCATAAAGTTTCTTTGAGTCAGGGCCACAAAATGGCGTACAGATGTGTTCATGCCCCGGTTGTCAGACTACGGTGCTGTGGTTGCGAGGCTGTCAAAATCTCCCAGAGAAGACCAAACTGTCTCGGTATAAACGGCTCTGGCGAAACTACGTGCTCCGTTGATTAATTTAGTTTCGTTGAGCACTCTACATTCTATACGTTGTAGCGTGAACGCTATCGCCATATATAATGATCACTAAGCTTGTGCAATAGTTTGAAAAAAAATTAGAAATCTGATATAAGCGTGAAATATTTTTAGCAGCAATAATGTTCACAAAGGTCTCTATTAGGGGTGAAATTTGTTACGTGGATATCTGATGACTCCTAAAAGAAAAGAACGCTTTCAAAACCTCAGGGGAGATAATCCAATAAAAGGGAAGCCTAGTTGGACAGAAAAAAAAAGCAAAAAAAAACATAAGGAGCTACTGAGAATTTTAGGAAAGTATATATAGGATAGAGAAATGCAATGCATGTGTGATGTTGTCAGTGACTGGCAGACACGGCTTTTGATACACTCTAAGATGTCTGGATGTCTCCCGCAAAGCACTTGGAAGAACCAATCGCCCGAATCATGGAGGTAGAGAGAAAGGGAGGCGGAATACCGGCTCAAGCCAGAAGAACGAGAAAATCCAACGTGAAGCCGGAAGTAGAGGTCCCAGTCGGTGTGAACGCCCTTGAAGGGGGTGACCCAAACAGCAGTTGGCGCCCAATCGGCCGTTCTTTCCGTCCAATATCGTCGTTTGGGTTTTTGGTCGTCGTTGGGGCAGTGTCCCTCCAAACTAAAAGTCTCCCCCCCAACCGGCTTCCCCTCTGCTGGCCTCGTGTCGGTTCCAGAACCTTCCTACTTCCGTGGCTGTAACCCAAAAAGGGAACTCGGTGAATGACGGGGCCGATCATATGTTTAAACCTAAAAAAAAGAAGAAATAAACAACAAACTGAAAAAACAAAAAAAAAAAAAACGAATTGTCTGTGCCGTTGCACCGATCAGATTGCTTCACGGGGGCGTCGCAACGGATCTGAACGTATCATCAGCCCCGTCCATTCGGCGAGTGCCCTTCCGTCAATTGGAGAGATTGTCTCTCCCAACTCAAGTGATTCCCGGGAGAGCATGCAGACACTCCAGATTTTTCAGAGATAGCATTCTGAAAAACTTACGTGCAACTCCTGGTTTTGGCTTGACATCACAGGCGCCGCTCACGCTTTGAACCGATGAGAATGCAAGCAGCAATGCAGCGGTTATAGCACATGCCGTGGTTCGCCCCGTCTGTAGTAAGAAGCAAAACATACTTACCCAACGCCTCCACACAAGAAAGCAGGAAGAGCGTCAGGAGGACATTTCGTACATCCAACCGTAACAAAGGGTTCTTTCTAAGCCGCAGTCGTACGGCTCATACATACATCATAAGAAAATAAAAGCTCGAGGTATAGCTAAGCATTGCTAATGAGTTGTGAATGCAAAAGCATGCAAGATGCTCGCCCGCTCCCTTTGTCGTCTGCTCGTCCGCTCACTTTGTCGTCTGGTGCGTACTAGCGCGCGTGTGCTTCGGGATCTCGGAGGCCATGGCGCAGCGGCCAATGGGAGCCCCGTCGACGCGCGCCAGCCAATGGAACCGAAGACGAATCGCTCCTATTGGGATCGCGGAAACTAGGAGCCGTTTTCGCGCTTCAAACTGATGACGTCAGCTCGCTCCATGAGACAGTCAATGCTTTCGCATTAATAATAAAACGGTGTTGGCTGCAGGCATGGTGACAGAAGTGCCTGCGGGCACGTTTCAAGCATGTTCTAAACACGTTTGCTGCACACATGTGTCTGCTTCCAACTCGTCTGCTGACAGTTTTAACGTGAAACGTTCTTTGGCTAGTTGCTCCGGATCACGTAAACCCGAAATTTGTGAGGGCGTGGCCTGTTACGTCCCATAATGCAATGCGGGCAGCGTTGCATTATGAGACGCCACGGGCCTACACACCAATTCAGTTCCTCCGCTACATCTAGTGAAGTTGCATCGGTGTGCAGTTCCCGTGACATCGGATCAAGTGACGTCAATTTCCCCTCTAAATATAGCGGGAAAAGTAACGTCCCCTGATCTGCACGCCGATTCAGTTTTCCTGCTAAATTTAGCGGCAAAAATTGAGGGAAACGTTTTAGCGGGAAATTTAGAGGAGAAACTAAATTGTCGTATAGGTGACGGTCCCGTGACGTAAACGGCAATTAGGTTTCTCCTCTAAATTTACCGGGAAAATTAACGTCCCGTCACCTACACACAAATTCAGTTTCCCCGCTAAATTTAGCAGACATATTGACATCACGTGAGCTGATTTCACGTGATTCAAAGCGTTTCACACAATTTGCCCAACAATTAGCCACACAATATGTTTTTTTTTTGTTTTTTTTAAGACTTAAGCCGGAGTCATACTGCTTATACAACGTACAAAAGACAGTGTTGATGCAGATTCGAACGCGAGTGACCGCGACATCCGTGTTTCGAATGCCGCATGGGGATGAGTTCAAGGAAGAGAGAGAGAGAGAAATTTTATTTACAACGACACTTAGTCCACGTCATCTATATGTCTTTCGTCCAGGTAATCAGGCACACGCCGGTGGTGAGGTGGGTTGCGCGGTCCCTTTGATGTGGGGGTTCAGGGAGGAAACCTGGCACGGCGGCATTGAAACGACGGATATTGCGGTGACTAGTGTTTGGAGATTTTTTTTTTCTTTTGTATCATGTATTAAAGTGTGACTCCGGCTTCAAAATGCGGTTCATTGAGGTTACATGCAGGGAAAGCGCCCCGGAGGTGAACTTATACCGCATGGCTAAGGTCTCACTGACACTCTTCAGAAAAGCAGGGCGTGGCTTAATTAATACATTCGTGCTCCCTGCTTCGTGATTGACTCTCCGACGATCTTATCGGCAAATGCTGCAATCTTATTGGTTGCGGAGAGATAATGAGATGCTCAAAGACTAAACCACGCTCTGCGTTTTCTTTTTAACATTTGGTGACTATATAGCAGAATGTTTAGAACATAAAGTGAATGTCGCTTATATAGCATCGGAAGTTTGCGGTGCATTCTAATCTGGCGACAAAAATTAATCCCATAGGCGTGCGTGTATATATATATATATATATATATATATATATATAAGTCAAAGATGCGTACTGTCGGAGTTACTAATTCGAAGTTTATTACAACGTTTCGACTCCGAGAGTACGCATCTTTGACTTATTAACCTTTCTCCGTCCATTGTTTTTATATTTACCTCACTTTACCTATATATATATATATATATATATATATATATATATATATATATATATATATATACGAAAGGCGGGTTAATCCAAGCTGGGAATAAAAACGAAGCTTACCATTTTGCTATTCTACATATTTTTTTTTGCTGTGCTCGAACAGCAACTCATAACCCCTTTTAGAGGGCCTTTAGCTCTCTTCAGTACGCGATTCTGTGTTTAGTAACCATCATACAATAGATTTAAATAAAAGGTCAGATCAGAATGATAGACCAGGTAACTATTAGATTAGCGTTTGTCGACCGGACGAGAGTGTTCTCCGCAGTTCCGATAACCTGACTACAGAGATAACGCACGTGCCCATCACCCCTCAATGTTGCGAACTCCGTTGTAATTGGGATTAACGTCCTTGCCGCTGTTTTTTCAAGCGCAAGCTCCATCCCATAAAAACAAAGACCGAGTATTTGCTTTTATTCGGGACCATTTTATTACCGATATTTGAAATCTTCGCAAGTCTTCAGAATTACGAAGTTTTGAATGCGTTCTGGGGTTACGTAAACAATTGTGTGATTTTTGATGAATTATGAAAAACCTTTCTACCACTCTCAGGGTCCCGGTAAACACAATCTTGGTGTAAAAACATTGGCAATTTCCCCTGTATTTGATTTATTTATTAATATATCGCGATGGTTTTCTCACACTGTGCCCAACGGACAAGTGAGCACTTCAGGTAATTACTGAATAAAAATAAATTGGAAACATGTGAGCCCGCTTGACAATCTAAAGTTTCTCCTTCAACGTCAAACAATTTCCCCGCGTTTCTAAATGATGGGTTCAAATGTTTGCGAAGAGTAAACTAACATTGCCATGGACATCAAAAAACATTAAGAAAAAAAAAACAAGTTTATATAAAATATGACACCCACGGACGCTCAGCCGTAAGCCCTCTGATGAGCATAAGTCTATTTTCTGCAGTTTTGAAATCACCGCAGCTATTTTTCTGGTCTAACTGGTGCGCCCAAGCGTAAAAAAGTTACAACCCTCGTTTTGATTTTATTAAGTTGATCTATACCTTTAAACAAGCTACTAAACGCATACTGCTCGGCGGCAACAAAAATTACACACACACAAAAAAATCATTTTGATAACTCCAGAAATCCTCAGGTTGTTCCCATTGGTGAAAGAAGTGCACTATTGTTATTGAGTGGTGGCACCAAACTGCTCGAAATGTTTTGATCGAGGAATATTAGAAGAAGAGGAAGTGCTGGGACTGACCATGATGCCAACGAATCGTGAAGTCAGGAACCAGGCAACGAGCGTTATGAGATGTGCGTCGACACTGCCAAGAAACTTTCTCTTTTGTGGAAGACAATACGCCCACTGGTCGGGAACCCCCGGCCACGTAGATAGCTTTATCGCGAGAGCGCTGGAAGATAAAGTACACACACACTCACAAAAAGTGACTCGTAAATTGTGTTTTGGTTATCGGTGAATATCCGAAGCACGAGGAGAAGCTTCACATTCGATTGTTGAACTCTTCTGTTGCTATCAGAGGCGAAATTGCGCCTGAGGGTGCGGAGACCTTTGAAATCGTTGCTTTTGTTTCAATCGAACAGGAGTGCTGAGTGTTTTCTTTCAACAGAATGAGGATAACAAGAAAAACAGAGGAAACACAATAGCGGCTGCGGGTTGCAGAATAGTCACAAGTTCAGCGCGAGAAATGTTCAATATAAACTTACCGCGTAGTCTGCAAATATGACTATCTCGTGTTTTCTTTATTTTTTTTTTTTGTATATTTGCTTGTTTTTTGAAGCGACTGATATTAGATCATTTCGAAGTGAAATGATCTAATATCACCATCTCTGCGGTTTCATGATGTACGCACACTGATGCCATAATGAAATATAAAAGCGGCGGGTTTACGGCCGAGCTCTAGGCCTTCCAAGGTTTTACATTGGTTAGTCTCTAACTCCAGCTTAAACCATTTTATTAGCAACAAAGTAATTATGGTCACGTTTTTTTTAACAGGAACATCATAGTAACTTACAGCTTAAAAAAAAACAAAAACGGATGATGTGGTGAGTCACATACAAATGACGATTACTGAGCAACCAATAAAATTGCGCATTAGGCAATAAGAACGAATCACAATGCAGCAAGTTTTACCATAGTGTTCAGACTCGTTGCTTTGTGACTTCTTTGGAGTTTTTCTAAGTTCTCGATGACAGTGGGGAGAGCAAGCTTGTCTGCTTCTTGCGGTAGGTGGCGCTGGCGTCAGAAAGACGCCGAGCACTGATTGGTTCTCCCTTGACCAACGTTGCCCTTGATCGTGCCAGAACTACTGACGTCACAAGCGCGATACGCATTGCCCTTCTCGCTGGCCGACTCTCAAGCGAGGGGTAAAGCTCGCGGTCACGTCATTTCATGTACAGTCTCCGGCGATATGAAAGACCCACTGGGAGCGCGTGGCCGAGGCGGTGGCTGGCGGGGGCGCTGCGAGCGCTCTGGGCAATTCCATCCTGCTTCGAGGGGAGGACGCTCACTCAAGCTCAGCACAAACTGATAGGAGCGCGCTTTAGCTGAGCCCCGAGTGAGCGTCCTCCCCTTGAAGCAGAATGGAACTGCCCGGAACGCTCGCAGCGCCCCCGCCAACCACCACCTCGGCCACGCGCTCCCAGTGGGTCTTTCATATTGCCGGAGACTGTACGTACCCTGAATGTGCCCAATTTGCTCTGCAAATAAAAAAAAAAGAAAAAAAAAAAGACACAGACAGGTAAGGATACGTTTTGGAATCCGAGGGAGGCAGAGACAGATTTTATTTGGATGAGCTTTGACAACCCCAAAAGTAACATTATACATGCATGGTCTGCACATGACATCATTGTACCATGCTGGGGATCATTCCTAGTTGTTCTTGCCGAGTAAAACAAGTTTAATGGTGCGAAATAGATGCCCCAGAATTTGTACGCGTTCAGCAGCAAGGCCACTGCTACAGGCACTAACCACCATAATGGCAGCTGATGTGACATCAGTGCTTTTCCTGTAGTTTACCGTTGACAACCTACCATATCGATCAAAATAGCCACCGTACAATTGGCGACGTGCGCGACCGAAAGCGTCGCTTTGGTCGGCCTTCCACGATTGGCCGAACGCTGGCTATGACGTCGGAAAGGGGATTTATCGTCGACGGAAATAAAAGGAATGGAAGAACTTTATTTTGGACGGTGTTGGCAGTGTTCTTTTGAGAGCGCAATGATTTCAAGCTTCCACCACGCTATTTACAAACACCATCAAACTTGTTGTTTGCAAGGTAATGACGTCACAAGGGGAAACCATAGGAGGGCGCCACCAAAACATCTCGCCGCTAATACAACTCTTGGAAAATCGAAGCGATATTTGGCGACGTGAGCGATCGAAAGCGTCGCTGTGGTCGGCCCACCACAATTGGCCGAATGCTGACTATGACGTCAGCAAAGGATCTCTCGTCGGCGCAAATAAGAGGAATGTAAGAACTTCAATTTTGACGGTGTTGGTAGTGTTGCTTTGAGAGCGCTATGATTTCAGGCTTTCAACGTGCTCATTACAAACACCATCGAACTTGTTCGCAAGGTAATGACGTCACGAAAGGTAACCAAACGAGGGCGCCACCGAAACATCTCGCCGCTAATAAGCGATGAACTCCCGCTCAAAGCATCTTGGGCACCATTTGGTCACGGTTTCGGTTTCGATTTGCCAACCTCAATCCACGACTTCCCGTCGCTGCCAGATACAGTTCCTGCATTTACTAGTATTGGACCTTTCTTAAATTTATAATACTGAAATTTTGCCTATCAATACGGATAGAATTCTGGGGAATGCTTTTTGGGGGCCCCAGGCGTACCAGAGTTTATGCTCAGGTAAACACCGGAAGAAGTGTACTGGGCCGATCATCCTGTTCTATCCTCTCAATATCCTAGGCTTCTTAAATGATCCGTGTCCCTGGAGGATGATGCTCTACCCTAGAGTTGTAGCCAGACCACCAAAAAGGTATGGGACAGAAGTACTGCTATTTCTGGCTAAGTCTAGGCAGGCTTGTAAGGCAGCTGAATGTCCGTGATTTAACGGACCTTCACCGTGCTTTAACGAACCTTCAGGCCGCAGTCACGTGATAACAGGGATCACGTGACCAACTACGTGCTTCCTCGCTCTCTTTCTCTACCCCCCCCCCCCTCCTTTCCCCCCTCCGATTGAAATTTTGTTTTCATTTGATCGTGTTCGTTCAACTCTCCGACGTTTCTCCCTCCTTGTTTGGCCCCCGCCAAAGTATCCGTCGCAGATAGTGGCCGTTTCGTGGTTTCCCGGTTTCGTTCTGTTTAGTTTCTGATGGAGGTGTCGGTATCGTGTTGACGTGTTGTGTTACGTGCCTAAGAAGGTTTGGTCCTAGTTGGCACTGGAAATGTCTTATTCAGCGTGTGTGTGGGACTGGCTCGAAAGTTAATACTTTTGGACGTGACACACCCGGCGGCGATGTTCTGAGCTCCTCCACGTCATTTCGGCACGCGTAACGATTAAAATTTTGAATATACAACAAAGGCGAGCTGTATATTCCTCTGTCTTGCGCGCACTTAAATAATGTAAGGGCGTACACTCCGTAACAAAGATATTTGGCACGCTTTTTGAGCCTCCATAAAGTGCGAGCGCGTCTTCGTATGGTTGCAGTCTCGCTTTGCATCTGGCTCCCTCCTTGTTTTTAACCAGGTTTTGTGAGTTCGTTGTTTAGTTTATATTTTTGTTTCAGTTTGTGTATAACAAGCCGGTTAACAACAAAACGGTCGGGATGTTAAAAAAAAAAAAGATGTTGGAATGCAAACATCGCCTCCTTGATGTTTCTTCATCGGTGCCAACGAACAAAGAGAGGGAGAATATTTTTATGAAAACAGAGAGTTTAGTCTGAGCTTTGCGCTCCGACAGGCTTCTTTGTACTCGGGAAGGGGAGAGGGGGCAGAAAGACTATCAGCAAAAGGTCAATGATAATGAGATGAAATGTTTAAATTATATACATACTCTAGTCTTTAGTTTCGAAATGAGAAATGAGAGAAAGATGAAAAAAAATAATTATAGCACTGTCAGCAATTCAATGTCCTCGAGGAGCTGAAAGAAAGTTTTTAATGCTACTCGATATTTCTTATCGGGCCAAGGTCTGGGAAGGTTCGGGCGCGATTTTAAGAGGTACACGCATTTTCCAATTAATTGCAAAGTTTATGACACAGCATTCAGGTCCTTTGTCTAAAGACCTGAAATAAATCATGAAAAGCAACGGTGCCGCATTCTGTAATGTAGGGGACAACCAAGCAAACGTTACGTGCGGCCTGATAGCTGATGTTGTACTTTGAGAATTTGTTTTTTTTTTTTTTGCATTCCACATTTTTTAAAAGGTCACGAAAAATGCAATCGACTATACATTTGTTTTCGGAATGTGCGTGTTGAACAGCAACGCCGACGCCGGCTGCACAACTCCGGAGAGAAAAAAGAACACGATCAAAATAAAAGCAGGAACTTTGGGTCGGGGCGGGGGGGGGGGGGGGGGGGGGGGCTAAGGAGGCGAGGGGGCACGTAGGTAGTCACGTGATCCCCGTTGACAAGTGACTGCGCCCTTGAGTGCCTTCTGCGCCCTGACGACCTGCGAAAAGGCGCCCCGTGTTGAGACGCAGTACTTTGTCAACTGGGCAATCGAAATCGAAACCATTCCACTCCTCTTTTATGGCCAAAGGGGCGATGCAACAATTTTAGTAATTTGCGCAATTACCGCTTCGAACGGATCCCTGACATTAATGACCTATGAAACACGCGTTCGTTTTTCACCCCACGCAATAGAAGTCCCAGAAAAAAACTAAAGAAAAACGAGCAGCGTTCGCCCCCTCAACTCGCAGCCAGAACAAGCGGCCACGGGATCTGGAGCCGATTATATGCCGCCAATGTAGATCATCAGGGTGCCTCAATGTCCTTCCGTCTAGGGTGATGCCACCCCTTGTAGTACCTGATGCCGACAGCACGCGCTCACAGGGAAAATAGAAAGAAATCGACGAAAACAAAATGTCGCCATAGCACAGTCAGCGCCACAAACGGGTGCAGGGACATGCCCTTGCACGCGCTTCTGAACAAAAAAATAAAAATAAACGTGTGGGACAAAATGGCGAGATGCCACCACCCTAAGCAAAGCGCACATGAAGGCACCCTATAGATCATAGCCACGCGCTGGGGTTGGCAAAGCACAGGGCACGCGCTGAGTTCCAGATATTGTTATGGGTCGGCTATTGTCGTCGTTGCAGCGATTGGACACGGGCCACTACCCGAATGCTTCTCGAGCTAGTAATTATCACGAGCCCAAATCGAGCGCCCACGCAATGCTCGGGTCCAATCTATGAACAGCATTCAAATATCGTCATATGGGTGTACTGCGATCCCCATGTTACGTCACGAAATTTTGCAAAGGAGAGATTGAATGAAAATGATCGCTTTTGTCCTTGAAATTACACCTCAACAAAGGAGTTTCTTGACCAGCAAAGTTGCGTGCGCGTATCCTTGACTCCCACTAGTACCAGTAAGCTCCTGTAGAGTAAAAAATATTCATACTGAATATAGCTGCACAGCGATATTCAGTAATATCGCTGTGCAGCGCAGTGTTTTATGCAGGGAATTTTGGAAGTAGTCGATTAGGCACCAAGTCAACAAATACCGGTCGAACAGCGACCTTTTCATGTCGCATTAAAGAACGCAAGACAGCATGTTTGCTATTGTAATGCGGCGTGAATGATAATTCCAAAATATATGTATAGGAAGTATTCCCTAGCGTCCATAGCTGTGTGCGCGACTGCTGAGAGCGTGGTGATGGCTAGCTTCCAGGGCTCTTTTGCAACGTGCATTCCACACCGTTAAAACGGCCGGTCTTAACAGCCTATTAAGGGGGCTCATTCTCAGCATGCGCTCTAGACAGCACCCACAAATATGGCGCCCAGTGAGTACTCCTTATTGGTCTGTTTGTTTAGAGCGTTCCACTCTCACTCAAACCCTTCCTTTTTTTTGTCTTTTGCCTTTTTTGAAAAAAAAAAAAAAGGTGAAATACATTTAAGAGGACGAGGAAGAAGATTGGAAGCTCAGACATTCTTCCGTTCTCAGGGATCCACATTCGAACTTAGCATGGTAAAACAGCCACGGCACTCGGGCCAAACATTTTCGTGAAATACATTTTTCTTTTCAGGAAGTTGAAGGAATCTCGTCGGACATCAGTAGATCGGAGGATCCACGTACTTCTGAAAGGACGAGTGCCAGGGTTGAGACCGGTGCCACGTCCAACGCCGGGATCCTAGGCAATACCGAGGTGCGCTTACAAGAGGGTTCTTTGAAATGCTTGGCCAGCATTGACGTAAAAAACACGTAAAAACCAAACGGCCACGAGCTATTGCGCTACAATTTCATTTTCAGTAACGGAAGATCACAGATCGTTATTTCTCATGAACTCAGGCTAGATTTAAACTACCTGGACGGATTTTTAAACTCGGCAGACAGCCTATTTGGTAAATATTTGTATTTAAAGCTCTCCTGGAACCTGTCAAAACAATAGCTTCTCGACATCTCTGAAGTCGAACAATAAATTAAAGGAAAATGTTGAATTTGTTTGATCGGCAGAGCTCATAATCTTGTTGTTGAAGCTGTTGTAGAAAGGGCGGTTGGGGACTGTATTAGGTTTTTATTACCAATTCAACCGGACCCATGCCATACGAATGCCGATCATTTGTTCCTCTAGAGTTCGAAACCGGAAAGTATTGATTACAGTTAATTCACCGGTCTTTGTTGGGTACCGTTTTTTTTAAAAGTATGTTTATGAATATATTTTTGCAGTCGTCTCACTCCAGTGCCGCAGGTGACATAGAGATGGCAATGGATAGAAGAAATCGTCGAGAGGTGAGCAGGTTCCGTTTGTGCTTTTTTTTTTTTTACAGCGGAGCTGTTAAGGGCTAGTTTCCCCAGGATCGTGTCTCCCGCAAAGAAATGAAGACACCGAATTCTGAACACCTACCGCCATCTATGAGCGACGACGAGAAGCCACGTATCTGGTTTCCGCCGTCTCTCGTAGATGGCGGCAGCCTTTTCACTCTGGCTTGCCGACTTGCGGCCGGCCATTACTTTCCATTGTACAGCTCCGCTAGTCTTCCTTCTTCACCAGAGTGAAATGGCTGAAAATTTTTTATATATAGGTTGTCCCAAGCGAACCTTCCGTCGCGAAACGGATCGGAAAAAACGGCACCTGCTCATTAAAAAGCTCAAACTTTCACTGAGTGTGCAGTGAAAGTTTTTTTCTTACCGTGTGGAATGTCAAGGCGTAGTCCTCTGTCTGTAAAATAATGTGGTAAAAACAACTTGCCTAACGTTCGACCCGTTCGAAGACGACCAAGCTACTGACGCTATCGACACGTGGCGCCATCTCCCGATAGGTTAAGCGAGCAGACTTTAGAGTGCGTCGTCCACTGCATCCATCGGGAGATAGCTCCACATGTTTATATTAGTGTCTTTAACTCGATGATCTTCGAAAGGGCTTAATATGGACTTTGGCAAGTTTTTTGCTCTCATGTTCCACAGGAAAATAACTGCGCCTTTAAATTTCATACGGTAAGATGCTTAGCGCACATTCGGGGAAGTTGGAACATCCTATGTGCAGGCTCCGATTTGTCTGGCTTACTTACAGAGGAAGGTCAGCATGCATGACTTGCGCCCGACGTCATTACACCGTTATTACAACTTGTTGACAAGAAAATTTCCATTCGGCGGCGCAAAATACGTACCGCAAGAGCAACGCGCTCAGCAGAAGGTTCTTCCCAATGACCGCTGGTGTTGCTTCAGTCAAGCTATATAAGTACAGGGATGTGTCATTAATATGGACCCCCCCCCCCCACGCACACAGACACACACACACACAAAATATCGTCCATAATGTGAGTTGTTTTTAATAGTGAGACAAGACGGCATGTATTTTTCCAGTTTTTCCTTGAGAATGGTTGTTCATATACCGGGGTATTCAAATTAACGGGACATGGCTGTATACTTTGCCTGTGGATTTATCTCACATTTCGATAATTATTTCAGAAACTGTGCACGTATACCGGTTTAGCGATATCAATATATGTCACACAAACCTTGTAGAGGGATTACGCATACCCGGAGGAGTACTCACGTCGACTCCCTATTATTGTGTGTCAAAAAAAAAAAAAAGCGGCGTTGGTTATGGTACTTTGTGACACCTGTCAGGTACAATAAATGTAATAATTGTTAAGAGTCACGCGATTATCTTTGGGATTGGTGGACATTGCCGTTAATAATTCTAGCTTAAATCGGCTACGAGTGCCAAAATTTATCCCAAAACGATGGTTGCAATGGGCTTCAAGAAAACACCAGGATCAGGATTCATCCTTAGCGTGCCAGCACCATCCCCCGCTACATTGCCGGTACGGGCCGTCACCCGTATCATAAAACTTTACTGCCACAGGCACCGTCCTTGTACCTCTCGTGGCATTTTTCAATATATCATAGGGTCGTTGATGAACTTCTGCAACATAGTGGAAAGCTGTATACTGAACGATTGGCGTTGGATGTCCAGAGGGAATTTCTGATATAGGTGGTGCTTAGATATGATTTCGAAAATACTGCTAAACCTAGAGTCTACTCATACGCGGAAGGAAAGTGTTCCCGGACTTACTGATAAACGGTGCCAGTGTGCCTGTGTTGTTTCTCGTTGGACTAGGTCACAAGCGTTTACAGCGCAGTGGGTCACACTATTCCAGCGAAAATGTGCGGGCAAGCCTTTAGGAGCCTTTAAGAAGATCTATATGTAATCTTTTCTGAAGGCACGACGGCCAGATGATCAGCCAGACAGGAAGATGTGGTCCAGCGACCAACAGTTGATATTTTCCTGCGTCAGCATCGCTGTCGGGCTGGGAAATATCTGGCGCTTTCCCAAGGTGCTCTACGAAAACGATGGCGGTGAGTATTGTCAGAAAGATCTTGTTTCACTGTCGAAACTATCTTCCGAAATATGTGCTGTCTTTGTGAGCTTATTAACTATACGTTAATACGATATTGTATTTTATGTGCAAAAAGCAACTTTACGTGTAAAATATTTTGCGACCATAGTATTTATTTAAGAAATGCATTTATATCTTCCACCCAAAATTGCGGTCACCAATGTGGACAGCCTCAGTCAGATGAGACCCCATAGCTGGTTAATGATAAAACAAAATGGAAGTTTTCGAATATTCGGTAATCTGTTTCTATGTGTAGGCCAATGTAATTTCCTGTAGGTGTATATTTATAGCAGAGAACTAGACCAACTCATTTGGTACTTATTTGAAAATAGTAACAGTAGCGATACATTTAATGTTTTTGTTTTGTAAAGAGGAAGGCGTTTTATGTTAAGCTAGTTCCTTGTTGTTACTCTGCATATACATCATTACAATTTACAAGCGTGATAATCCTGCGGATGTTCATGCGTGTGAAGATGTCTTTGGCAAGCTCGTAATTGGACGCGCTTGTTCACACGAATACAATCATGGCGGCAGTCAGGTATCCTGTTTGTTCTACCAACACGCTCTCCTTGAGTCAGTGAAGACTCATGCGCACATCAGCTTTTGACTACGTTACGTTGTGATATGGCCGCGAGTCACCGACGCGTTAGTGTTTCGTGTGCCGTTTATCTCCACGCTTCCTATGAATCCCGGATGGAGTGTCGGTGGTTCTCTGTTGTAACTTGGCGTCGTTATAACGTTATCAATCGTAGTAAGGTGCTACCCCGTGAATGCGCTTATTCGCGCCGAAATATTTCGGTGGCGCTCTTTTGTGGCTTCATTCGTAACGTCACGACCGAGATTTGCCTTGCCGTGGCGTCACAGGCTGCGATCCTGGCTTTTTGACGTCAGTTGCGACGACAAGTTAGATGGTGTGTTTAAAAATTGCAGTGGAAGTTAGCAGCCGTCAAGTTCTCATACCAACACAGTCGTAGTTGACAGTCTGACAGTGCTCTAACGCCCGTGGTTCGGCCAATCGTGGAAAACCGATCACAGTGACGTTTTTGGTCGCGTACGTTGCTAATAGTTACTTGAACTTAGGATATACTATGGTAACCGACAAGATTAGAAATGCAGGGAGGTATTTGTTTGTTCCGCCTCCAGCAGAACCAGGGAGTATCCACTGGCGGCCATAGCTGTGTGCGCGATTGCTCAGCAGGTGCTGACGGCGCTCTTCCACAGTTCTTTCGCAACGTGCATTCTACACCATCAGGATTGCCGGTCTTATCAGCCTACTATTGTGAGCTCGTTCTGGGCCTGCGGTCTGAAAAGCGCCCTCAAATATAGCGTCCAGTAAATACTGCCTATACTTGGGCGTCCCCTAAGTTTCCAGCCTTTACGCGTAGCAAAAGCACGGCTGGCACGGCGGATGGAAACGTGCACGCACTGGAGGCCAAACATCCGAAAAAAACAACCTGCCGTGTGTTTTTTTTGGTGAAAATAGTGAGCTTCAATAAAACTTAATTATTGCCTTTATCTATTTTTCCTTGATTTTCTACGTCCACAGGGTCGTTCCTGGTGGCATACAGCGTGATGCTCGTTCTTGTAGGCTACCCTCTGCTCTATTTGGAGCTCATCTTGGGTCAATATACTCGACTGGGACCCAGCGGCATCACGCGCTGTGTACCTCTCGCTAAAGGCAAGACCAGTCGCTTCATTTATATATAGTAGCATTTTCTTATCCGCTATTGGATGGATTCATATTTCAAATGCACAGCAATTATAGGACCAGCTCCTAGCGCTTTCGCGTCCCTGGCATCTAGCCCTGATGGTAACGTAACGCTGATGACGTTGAACTATTTACATCACGTCATGAGTGTGACGTTCTTCATGCGATACCATGATGTCACGTGACGCCGTGACGTCACACGACACTTTGATGTCAAGATGCCAGATGACCCGACGTTAGGTCACGTGACACGTAACGCAAAAATTGCATTAAAACGTCGTTTCCCTTGGCACGTGACGTCATATAACACTGGGATGTCCCGGGATGTCTCGGAGATATAACCAAGAGTCGCGCAGTTTTCATGATCGGCGACGCACAGAAGAGATATCGGTAAGCGCACGTTACAAAATTCGCTTTTCTTCTTCTAGGTGTCGAAATAAGTATCGCGATGGTGAGCTTGATCATCGCCAGCTACTTCCAAGTGATCCTCGCCCAGTCCCTGCTCCAGCTCTTTCTGTCCTTCACGGATTTCAATTTGGCTCCCATCGCCGGCTGTTACGGATTCTGGGAGCTCAAGACGGAGACCTGCTTTCTACCCGAGAAAGTGCGTCCCAATACACAGCTGCAGAACGCGCAAGATTATGCCGAAGATAAAACCTGACCATGCGATGATTCGTTTCACATAAAGTCCGACCGCAATCAATGGTAAGATACCATGGAGCCAATCTCAGCGGCGGCGATGGTGTATCGTCATTGTACTCGTCGTCTTTGAGCGTCTGCTATTGATCACCGGCTAAACCAATCATCTTGCACAGGGAATTCGCTGCAATCCTGCGATTTTTTTGTATTTTTGTTTTAGTTTAGTCTGTGAAAGCGAAAGGAAAAAGATGACGAGCACCATGACGATGCACTTTTAGTGCTGTTTGATTGGCTCCATTGGATCGTAGCGTTGACTGCGGTCGAACTTCACAGAATTTGCTCAACTGTCTGTGATGGTCCGGCGTTTGGGACAAAGTATTAGTGTCTGAATATAACGTTGATAACTATTGCATTGCAAGGCAATATGGTACAAGACACAGCAGAGCGACACTGTAAACTAAGATGCTGAGAAGTCAGGGCAGTAGAGAGATATAACGTTGATAACTATTGCATTGCAAGGCAATATGGTACAAGACACAGCAGACCGACACTGTAAATTAAGATGCTGAGAAGTCAGGGCAGCAGAGAGAATGCATTATTTAAAACCTTCAATCGGCTGACAATCACATTATGTCACAAACAAATTGAAAACCTGAAACATCCCGTTTTGCTCAGATTTTGTATATGATAATAATATTTATTTATTTTATTTATTTATTCATTCTGCCAGCCGTGAGGCCAAGGCAGGAGTGGTACATATTTTCAAAAACATACCAAGGACACACAAAGAATTCAATAATTCAGTCACATCCCTTGGTGACATGGGAAGAAAGAAACATTTCAATTTCCTTCACAAAAGTTGACACATTTTGAGAGTTGACTATACATTCAGGCAGCTTATTCCAGAAATCAATACATCGAACAAAAAAGGAGTGCTTAAAATGATCCGTAGAGTATTGATAGGATTGGATATTTAAGCTATGTTTTATTCTGTGGTACACCGGAGGAGACATCACGACGTATTTTCGGGTATCCAACATCGAATGACCATGAAATATCTGAAAAAAAAGTTTCATTCTATTCGTTTCTAATCTGGTCTTTATGCTAGGCAGGCCTGCTTGCTCCTTGAGTTTTGTGACCGACTCAGTCGACCGGTAGCAATTAAAGATAAATCTAGCAGCCTTATTTTGAATTCTTTCCAATTTATAAATATTTTGATTTGTGAATGGCTCCCAATGCTCAGATTAGGTATATAATGTTATTAACACTTCATCGAACAAGTTGTCTTGAGCTCTGGCAAAGTCACGGGCGAAAGCACTTTTCGAAAGCACATTTTAGGCGCAAGTGCACGTCCACACAACTCATTTTGCCTACGAATAGGGCTCCGTGTTTTCGGAGTTTATTTCTTGTGAAATTCGGAGGGTGTTTTTCAAAGTATATTTTTTAGCACAAATTCGCTGTTTATCGGAGTTTATTTTTCATAAATCCCCGATTCTCCGAAATTCGGAGATTAATTTCGCAGTGTTTCCTATTAAAAAATATTAAATAATAACCGGATGCAAACGTATGCCAGATAAAAAATAAAACGCGCTTGTATCAATTAAGATTTTTTCAGTTGAATTTGGCGTTGCTGTCATTGGCAATACTAATTTGTCCCACTACAAAAGTCGCACACAAGTGTGGCTTCGATAAACGTCGATACCTTAAAATCAATAAACTGCCCGCGGTAGCCGCAAGGAAGCTCGTAGTCATCCTATCAATATATCTCGGGGCCGCGCGAGGTGGAATGGTTAAGCATGTAATAGAGAAGTTTCAACTGCCACTCTTCCCTATTTTATACAATCCCTATGGTCCATAGTTTTCGCTGTTACCCCAGAAACATACCCTTCCCTTCCTTTAAATCCCAAACCCCATGGCCCAAACTGGAAACCAAAAGAGTGGCTTTTGTCGTGACACGAATGGTACGATGACCTGTTTCCCTAAACCAACCTTGACGAGACAAGCCATAGGACCAGGGTGTAAGATAGACAGGTGGGGAAACGAGAGCCAAATGAGCGACCGGATTGTGTCCCCCTCGGTTTTCTCGTTTTGTGTGGCGCCATCTATGTGGAGCACCGCGAACTCTCACTCCGGGTGGGTGACCGGTGGGGACCTGCTAAACTGACGGAGATGGTTTCTCGTGGATTTTCAATGGAGAACTGTCGTGCTCTCGGTTTATTTTGGGCACTCTCCCATAGAGTTCCATGCAAATCCGATTCCGACTTTTTTTTCTTCTCGCCGCAGCGCCATCTGTCGCAAATGGGGGGTACCCGCAAGCAGACGAGTACACAATCCGGTCACGGCGCTGCGGTAGGCTTCTATGGGCCGTTTCCCCACCTGTCTATCTTACACCCTGCATAGGACCCCCTTTGGACAACGGTCCGAGGGTGTCATTTTCCCAGGACCAGTGATCGTGCGCTGCTCAAATTAAAAAAAAAAAAAAGTAATTTTTTTTTTTTTTATTGTGGGGGTTTGGGCGGGGGGTTGGGGGGGGGGGGGGTGGCATGGGCACATAACGATTCGGAGTTTATCGGATAAATCCGAATTGACAAAAACATTACCGGTGGGTGTTTTTCGGAGTTTTTCGGATTTATCCGAAAACACGGAGCCCTACCTATGAAGTTGCCAGCACTGAAGATAACTTTTGAGATAGAGCATAAGCGGGGTCTGGTATTGCCCTACAAAACTAGTTACTTTTGTGTTGTTTTCCAACGTCCATATTTTTTTTTTGTCGGGATCAAGTCGAGGCGTTGCACTAGAGACAATAATTGTAACTAAATACTATAACTTTTCAGCTTGTTTGCGGCTCAGGACATGCAATCTACGGCGGCGTCGCGCTCCGCAGCGTCCAGTCGAAGTCACAGAATCGTTCCCGCAGCTCCACACACCTCAGGTCTTACGGCATCAAAGACACGACTGCTGGCTGCGTCAACATTACAGAAACTATGAACGAACACTTCTTGTAAGCAGCCCACCGCATACCCACCGTATACTGTATACTCCTGAAATTCTGCCGTTTTTATTGCATAGAGACATCTACTAAAAGCTTCTTATTTTTTTTTATAGCGTTTACATACGTTTGATAATTGCATCTCAGTGTCGTGGAGAGCATTTATCAGTGTATACGTAAATTGCTTTCCACAGCCACCTCTCGATTGGCCTCAAGCACCATCAACTGGGGGACATGGCGAACTTTCATCCGCAGCTGTTGATTTGCCTCGGCCTAACGTGGGCGCTGCTGTTTCTGTGCTCCACCATGGGACTCAAGCCCACAGGAAAGGTGAAACTCTTAACGAAGTGGTTATTTTGATGCTTTGGCACAAACTTAAAACTCTCGGCTGTACGTGCCGCGCTCCTTTCGACCACGAATGTGATTCAAAGGCACCACTTCGTTTCTTAAAATGTCGAATTCAACTCCGTATGACACTCTATTCTCTTGCCATGCGAAACATAGGTAGCTGACACAATTGTACATCGCTCTCACGCCATTCGAGATTTCGAGGTGCTGCTTTGAGACCAAAAAATAGCCTCAACGAAGTTTCACGAGCTGTATCCTTATTCTACAAGGTCACAGAAGCTCTTAATGGTAGTTATATGGGAAGGAGTGAGCGATACATTAAATATAGCTGAATGCTAACTTACTCGTTGTAAATGTCAATGAAGTTATTCATCCAGTAATTGGACAAGTCATCTAAAGAGTGGAAACTACATGCCTTAGTGTGCATAAAATGAGCTGATGAATATTAACAATGTTTAATCATCCTGCGACTAAGGTAGAAGAGAAAAAAAAGTAGAAGGGACAGAAATTAGACAGGACGACGTCTCAAACTCAGATAACTCGTTTATTTAATCCACCTCTTTATACAGTCTCAAACTCAAGGTCATTACCACCAACAAAGAAGGATGAAGTCTATATAGTTCAAGCGCCACAATCTCCATCACACATTGTAAGAATGTGAACCACCTTGAGTAGGAGCTTATTGCCGACCTTTGTCACAATAAAAAAACTTATTCCGGTGGACTACTTGTTGGGTATTTTATATAAATATTTGTAATTCTTTTATATCATGAATTAGTAATTCGGTATTACTGGTGAAAGAGATGTTTTGTGTCACCACGGGTAGTATCGCCTTTTTATTTATTTTTTTGTACCTTCCAGAAATCGTTTCTAGTGGGAGTGGTCACTCTGGGACTGGTCATCTTTCTAATGGTGAGCACGGTATGGCAGGAAGGGGCTGTGTATGGTTTAATCTACGTGCTGTTACCCAAGTGGAGCTCGCTGCTCAAGATAACCGTGAGTCTGAGTTTCTTCAGTTTATGCGACACTTTCTATACGGTCTGCGACATGTTTGTCACGAACACACACACGCACGTTTTCTTTATGAACACTACCGTCGAACATCAAAATGAATCACGAGATGTGATGCGAACAGTTATGCCGGCTAGTCTTTTATGAAGCAAATTTTATAATGAATGCACATCAGGCACGTAGCCAGGGGGGCGGCCCATGGGCCCTCCCCCCCCCCCCCCCCCCTTCCCGAAATCTTCGATTTTGCTTGGACCTCCTCTCCCACCTCCCCCCATACAGTCCCCCCATACAGCATTTTGTCATAAGCGTGCTCCCCCCCCCCCCCCCCCCCCCCCCCCCGAAACAAAATCTTGGCTACGTGCGTGATGCACATTTTGCTTCTAGCGGACATCAAATGATAGCGAAAGCATCACCATTTGCTATGTCACGAGCGGCATTCAAAATAATGAATTGAGCTCTAGAGCGTAGTTTCAATTGATCTATATACTAAGAAATCTTGACTGTCTACTAGAGCCATTTGCTGCAACCTGCAGACGGAAGCATGGCCAATGACAATACTTATAATATGCTAGGCCTTAGAAAACATGTCTGTGATGTGGAACCAATAAAGGAGGAATGTCAGGCACAGTTCCACAGTGCCAACTTTTGTTTTTGTTTTAAACGTGCTAGGAATCGTCGTTCGTCATGTTTCCTTCATAGATTCTAGCTGTTCTCCCACCATTGCAAGAAAACGAACGCTCTAGACTTTTTTTAAAAGTGTATGATGCAGTACATTTACGTTGACATATATTATACTGTGACGTCCAGGTTTGGACCCGAGCGGTGGAACAGGTGTTCTTCACGTTCGGAATCACTTCGGGCCCCCTTCTCGTCTACGGAAGCTACAACCACTTTTTTGCCAACATTCACAAGTAAGCATCCCGTTGTCACGCGCAATAGTGAATCTTTACCCGGAACTAAACTAATATATTAAGAGCGATAATACTCCCTTTCGCCACATTTTCTTTCGTTACCCTATTTTTCTCTCGATAAAAACGCGTCGCGAACTCAAGATATCTTCAACACACCCTAGCTGATATCAGTCGAATAATTCTGCTGGCCAAACAATGAACTCCTTAAAACGAGATGCGTTCATAACTGTGCGAATTGCGAATTCCATACTAAGCAAGGGAGGATATATTTGACCAGCGGTTATTATGATCTTCAGACAAAAATACACTACAGTCTCCTACAGCTTAGGGCGTGACTTGTTTCTTGCTTCGTCATCCCCTCACCAGCGTACTTAACGTGTAATGTTAAAATCTCCTTGACTTCGGAGAGATAATACAATTCATCACATATTGTAATTCTTGAATTTCTGTTGACCACAGATATAAGATACTATACCACTGTACCATGCACGAGCGTTTTAATGCTCCACTTCTTCTTCCTACTCATGCAGTAAGACACAAAAAAAGTGTCCTGAACATAAATCTTTAGGCTTTTGTTTTTCACGGCGCTGAACTTGACGTATATAATAAGTGCGTCGTGACGCGTCCTCTCGTATTTCTCTGTGTGTCGTTCTTCCTGTTTGGTGTTTTAGGGTTGTGCTCTTCGTGACCATGCTAAGCCTAGGGGCGAGCCTCATGTATGCCGTCATTGTGTTCGGGTCGCTTGGAACGATGTCCTGGAACATGAATATTCCCGTTGGAGACATCGTGCATGGAGGTAACGACGCTTACTTGCAGTGGTGTCCCTGGTTTTAGTAAAAGCAGTTTGAGCGGTAACGCGTTGCCGGTAATTACGCGTTATGTTTTTCGGTAACGTATAGAAACGCATTCGTTACATTTTCGTTTTAAAACACCGGCGGATAACTTAGGATGAATTTTACTCGTAGATCCGGAGCGCTTTCCAAAATCCGCGAAGGAGGCAAAATTCCGTACCGTGGGACACGCTCCGAATCGACGAGCGGAAGATGAACTAAGATACAAAAGTGGCGTATGTTGGCCCAGACAGTGAACAGGCTCTTGTTGTTGTAGGTCACAGTGTGATTTTCGTCGCAATGAACAAGTATTCCATCCACTGGACCCTCTCGACAGTGTTCTTCCTGCTCGTCATTGTGACTGGGACCAATTCTCAGGTATCCATTCCTGATTTAAGTTTACCAAAGAAAAAACAACCTGACACTAAATAGGAGCTCATGAGTGACAGTTCTTGAGCTCAAACCGATTATGATGCATGAGACGATGCTACAAACATTGTTTAGATGATGTTCTCGATCACAAAACAATTAACGGAGTTCATGATTTTTACTGATTAGGATAGGGTCAAAATAATAATTACTTGAATACAAAAAGCGAGTGGTGGACTGTTAAATGTAGCATTTTCGCTTCCAATCGGTTTGAGTTTGAATTCAGGACTAACCGAATTGTTCTAAAACAATTCATGTTAGCAGACAACCCGAAACAGCAATATTCAAACATTCCGTTTCGTAGACAGCAACTGGCAGTTGACATCCCCCCTCTGCATGATTGTACTATAGCGCTCATCTAAAAAGAGATGTAGCATATTTTTATCCGTGCAGGTTTCTTATTAGTTCTAGTTGGTAAAAAAAAAGCTGTTCGCTTATAAGTTTTTTTTTTTAAACTTTACTACTTCGCATATTAAGGATATTGCCTTATCTTCTTTCAATGTCTTCCTAGGTTCTAATTGTGAATGTGGCGGTCACTCACTGGCGAGATATGTTCCCAGTCATTCGAAGCAAGCGGCCTTTGCTGGTCAGCTACTGCATTGTTGGCTTTGCCTTTGGTCTCCCCTTTGTCACGAAGGTATGAGGTTAAGGTGCAACCAAAAAGGTTACTAAAATACATCGGTACAAATGTATACAAGCGTGGTCTGAAGACTTGCAGATATTTCAGTGAAGTGCAAGGCTGGCGAGAGTAATGGTATCATTCATTCGCTTTCAACCTAACTTTGCGTATGTAACCGATGGCATGTAAAAGAATAATAAAAGACTGGACATAGAAAAAAATAGCAAACCTTAAACGGCTTTAGTTTCAGTGGCATATTTTCCAGGGAAATTTCCTCAGCAGCAATACTCCGCTTCTGAACATATTGTTACAAGTATTAAAGGGGCACTGAGGTCGATTCTGAGATGATCCTTTTGTGGTGACAACTCAATCTAGGTGCTCTAGGCATCCCAACAAACCCGAAATCCCAATAGCGCGTAGCTTATTTCCTCGTTAAAAGCGTGTTCAAAGATCGCGACACGCCCTCTCTGGGAAGATTTTTCTTCCAAGTGAAGTGGTCGACGAAGGACGCTTGTCGGCGAGTGGCAAGCGATGACTTGGCACGCGGAGAAAAAGATGAGTCTTATCTGAATATGTACCTATCAGGAGCCTCTTCGAAACGAGTTATGATAAAATCATTCAGAATCTGCGCGTATCGTAGGGCTCTCATTTGTCCACACAGTGTAGTCCGCGAGAAGAAAGTGTCCACATCTTTTTCTATTGCCCTGAGATGAATATGCGGTTTTGTAATATGTGGGAACTAACACATTTTAAACAATATTAAACGGCCTTTTTCAAAAATGACTTCAGTGCCCCTTTAAGTGCTATATCAAGATTATTTTTTATTTTTTTGTTAACACGTTTCTGTAGGCTTGTTGTATATTTGTGGAAGCGATGCATTCCTTCAAATGGTAATAATACAATATTACGACTTGGGGCAACCCTCTTTCACTTTGAGTTGTGCTACTAACGAAGCAGCTAGAAGTGAGGAAAGTTTTTCTTGTTTCTTTATTTTTTTTTAATCGATATAACAAAACTATATAAACACAAAATCAAAGGAATACTAGCGCCGAGATGTTTTGGCGGCTCCGTCTCATAGTTTCCGTTCGTGACCTCACGACCAGGATTTGCCTTCGCTGTGATCGGTAGAACTTGCCTGTGCCTCTCCGTGATTGGCAGGATTTGCCTCGTCATGAACCGATGATTGGACAGGGATTATCAGTGTACAGGAAGCTATCGTTTGGCCAGTCTCCAACGTCGACCACAAATACGCTTTCGAACGAGCACGTCGCTGATGCCCGAGTTCAACTAGAGCGACAAACAGAAACAAGCGACAGCGACAAGCCTCGAGCCAAAGTCTTTCGCGATTTGACACGCTTTGTAGAATGAAGGAGCCTATGTTCAAACAAAAGCATCATGCACGTGAGGGTACCTTTGGCACGCTTGCAATCACTCGTGCTTACTTAACGAGCACCGAACGACAAAACGCCTGACAAAGGTAACATCCCGAGCATGCTGCATGCGTTTGAGTCCTGTCGTTGTCGGTTGTTTCTGTTTGTCGCTTCAGTGGAACCCGGTCATAATAGTGTCTGGGAATTGTTCTTCGGCTTTCTTATCGCTTAATTAGGCCGCAATCGGCTTCGCGTCTGTTTCGCCGCGAAACGATACCAAGATGCTTGGGAGTAGCCGCGCCTGGCGTTTATTAAACTGTCGGCGATCATAGCGGTTGATTCTCAGCTGTTAAGGAAGCGTAATCACGCTGCTCTCGTTTCGTCCTGTGTTATATGCTTGTTTACATTATCTGCGCGGTGGCGATACGCGGAATAGTCTGTGTGTAAACATTGCATATTCTTTCTGCAGGCTGGTCTCTACTTGCTTCATCTCGTGGACACTCAAGTCGTTAGCTTCATGCTCATCTACATTGCGGCGTTTGAGCTTCTGGCCGTGATGTGGATTTACGGTGAGTGCCGATGACGCTGAAGGCGACGGGTGACCCGATCGAATTTAACTAGACCAGGGGTGGCCAGACAGACATAAGCAAAAAGCCGCAAAAAGAAAAAAAAAATCTTTTGAAGTGAGGAGTTGGGGAAGAAAATAATGAAAGCGAAACATTAAGAGAATGGCCTCTACTGTAGCCTTCCTTTAAGCATCATGCTTGACCTCCAATGTGACAAAGAACGCTACGCAAAACATTTCCTGTAACAAAGCAAGCGTGCAGGCAAGGTTAATCAGGCACTGCCCCTGAAGCCTTTTATCCAGTTAGTCCGATCTGCTCAAAGAAAGTTGTATTTTCTTCTATATTGCTTTCTTTCTCGTGTTTTGGGGAGGGGACTTCCTTTGCAGAGAGCCAATAAAGAACCGCATGAGACCCGCGAGCCGCAGTTTGGCAACCCTTGAACTAAACGATAGCTTCGGCTACTCAGGTGCAGGATGTCTAATCTGTATATTATGCTATATAGAAATACCCGAGCTCAACTGTTTTTCTAGGTCTGGATCATCTTAAGCTGGACATAATGCTGATGCACGGCGAGCTCTCAGCCGTAAAGCTCGAAGTCGCCTGGTGCATAATCTTGCCCGTCATTCTCGCAGTAAGTGTTATCCTGAATGAGTCGTGCTATCTCAGCTTGCCAAAGAATGTGTGTTATAGTGTTCCCTAAGCTTCGTGCACCCGGACCCCCGAAATCGAAAACAGGGACGGCTGGTTATCTTATATGTCATTGCATAATTGAACTCAAAGGAGAAACCTGTTGCAATGTCGAATGACAGCCAGCTGTCAGGTCTTGACAATTCGGCCATTAATACTTTCTTGTTAAAGTTTGGTGTTTCTTATTACAAAGGAACCAGATTGCAGCCTCAATTTGTGAGGCCAAGTACTGTTTTGATTTTTATCAGCACTGCCTGGATGAAAAGTTACTTTTCTCACATATTCGTGATGTGGATTGCTGTGACGATAGCTGCCACAACAGTGATGCGAAGTAGGTTACGCTGAATTAACAAGCATTGTACATTACAGGCCACCGTGATGACAAACCTACTGACCAGCTGCAGTTCGCTGCGCCTCGGGCCGATCGAATACCCGGTGTACGCCTGCTACATCGGCTGGAGCCTCATCATGCTGGGGGCGCTCCAGGTGCCCCTCTGGGCAGTCGTGTCAGCTCTTAAACACCCAAGCGTAAGCGACGAAATCCGGATGCTCTTTGGCATTTTAGTTTGCTAATCACAAATAAGCCGGGCTTTATTGGTGTCAATCCATCTGAGACGTGTTGTTGACGCTGCGTATATGCGTAAATTGTCAGAGATAACAGCGCATTTAAGTATTGAGAGACACTTAGCACGTTTAAGTGTCCGTCACACTAGCTGCTGCATAGCCTCCTCTATAAGCATGAAGTTAGGTAAGGTAAAGCACAGAAGAAGAAGAATCTACCCAGCCACCTTAAAAAAGGTTGCTGGGTAAAGGTGGCTGGGTAGGGCAAGAAAAAAAATTGGGAACGATTACGTGGCGTGATGCGTTCAGAGAGCGCTAGGATGTGTTGCTTATTCGACGATATGACAATGACGACCGTCATATAGTCGCCAATTTGTTTCTGTAAAAGTTTTCGGGGAAACTAAATTGGTGGATAGGTCACGTCACGTAAATGTTTCCGCTAAATGTAGCGGGGAACCTTACTTCGTCTGGAGGCTCGTGATGTCAGGTCACGTGACATCAATGTTCCCGCCAAATTTAGTAGAGGAAACTGAATTGGTGCATAGGTGACCTGACGTGAATTTTTTTGCTGAATTTAGCGGGAAACCTGAATATGTCTTTAGGACTCGTGACGTCAGGTCACGTGAGATCGATTCTCCCGCTAAATTCAGCGGGAAGCAAAATATGTGGGTAAGTCACGTGGCGTCTATTCTTCCCCTAAATTTAGCGAGGAAACTTAGTTGGTGGATAGGTTACGTGACGTCACTTTCCGCTAAAGTTAGCGGGGACTTCGAATTTGTCTGTAGGTCCCGTGACATCAGGTCACGTGACATCAATTTTTCTGCTAAATTGATCTTGGAAACTGAACAGGTGCATAAGTCCCGTGGCGTCAGGTTTTTCGCTAAATTTAGCGGGGAAACTGACAATTGGTGCCTACGTCACGTGACAAATTGTTCCGCTAAATTTAGTGGTAACTTGAATTCGTCTATCGGTTGTGTTGTCAGGTCACGTGATATCGATTTCCCGCCAAGTTTAGCGGTGAGACTGAATTGGTGTATAAGTCACGTGGTGTAAATTTTTCCAATGTAAAACGACTCCGACGTCAGCGCCAGACAGCGCAGAAGTAATTCCCTTCAACCACTTTTTGTCCTCGAGAAGAACGTGACGTTGGTCGTCTCTACCTGTTCTAAAAGTACACTGCCTACTGCTTGCTGCTCTCTCCCTCCTCTCCCAGTCTTCAACGCGGGGAAAAAAGAGAGGAAAAAGCGAAAGGGAAAGTAATCAAGTGAATATGATGCTTGCACCAGACCACGTGAGCAGCGGTGTTAGCAGAATGCAGCTTGGAGCACATTCAGTGAAAACTTCCGTGACAAACCCCAAAGATTTCGGGTTTTATCCACACTCTTGGGGGGGGGGGGGGGGGGGGGGGGTTCATTACGATCCGAATGGGATACCACCGGCGTGCAGTTGTTTGTATTTACTGTGTGATGCATGATAATATCTCCAGGATAGCAGTTGTACTCTACTGGGTATATCTCTTATGTACAGTGTGCACAAGTCTCGCCGAACTATGGCAGACCGACCTAACGCTGTCGAAACATCTAACGTCTACTTTGCCTTAGCCTTGGTTTATTTTAACGAATGTCCCGTTTCCCCCAGTTAGAGGAGGCTAAGACTGCAAATAACCAGATAACATTCTTAGGCGCTTTTATTAGTGTTGACGAATGGATAAGAAGCACGTACGCTCGCCGTCCAAAGGATGGGGCGTGTACCAGTTTGCTGTATTTGTCGCAAGGTTCACTAACGTGTTCAAATGGTTCTTGTTTTGCATGGCCTGAATCTGCCCTGACATTTTTCGGACGTTCCAAATATCTCAATCCAGAAGTTGGAACAGTGCCTGGTGCCCTGCTTCTACAACGAATACAACGTCAACTCTTACTCGGCGTCGGAACCCGCTCCCACACAAGTCAACCCTCACCGTTTCTTACAAAAATATAATTCGCATCTTGTTGGAGAGAACTAGAGCCACTGTATGGGGCAACTTTAGCTGCCAGAGTAGCGACACGACGCTAAAAGATCGCAACATCAGAAGTGCCATTGTGATCTCTGTTTTGGGTCTGGAGTTTGCCAGTAACTGAGCTGATAGTGAAGCCCGGCGGCTACTTTATAAATTAAGGTTCATTTTATCTTTCCATCCGTTCATTAAAGACGGTAAAAGTCAGTAAAAGTAAGGAAAAGCCCACATAAAAGCATGCTTAGCACACCGACGTGGGCGTATTGTGAAGCATTGAGCGCCTCATTCACCGTACGTTCAACGCATGCAGAGACGCGCATGGACATTTTAAACTTTGAGGTACTATATAAGCAAAAGCAGACGCGAGCGGCGCCTCCAAATACATTCGAGCACTACCCGTCTACTGTCGGCCTTGTTCGGCTTTCTCGGTTGCTCTAGAAACTGGGCCAGCACTGTCCGTTGGTATGATACAGCACTACACAAATCGCGGCGACAGGTGGCGGTGGGAAAAGCGTGGCGCCACTCTTGCAGCTAAAACTGCCGTATACGGTACGCGGTTCTAGAAATAACCTATATGCATGTGTTTTCATTACGCCTCAAGTAAAAATCAGTTACGAGAACGTGCTCCCGGTATCTTGGTCAATCATTATGGTACGCCTTTTTGCGGGTCACGTGATATAAAATTATTCTTTCTTCCAGTCTACGATAGATCACTGACGTAGCTTCGGGCCGTGAGGTTCAGTAACAAGCAAGTTCGGAACCACGTGGTGTGTTGATCGGGCGTGCATATTCCTGCTACCAGACGCACATAAGTATGTCGGCGAGATATACCAGGTGGTGTGTCAGGAATTCAATATCTGGAGTTTCAAAAGTCCTATGTTGATGCAAGACAACAGGTGTGAGGTTCATAACCCTGAGCCCGTCCTATTGAGGAACTTTACACGACTAATACAGTTATAATGGTGGCACATATTGTCAACAGAGATCGAGAAAAATTGCAGAAATGGTGACCTCAGATTAGGTTTTTCAACGCGCCATCTAGTGGCAGCTGCACCAATTATTTCAGTCCGGCATAGTTTGGGCAGGTACAATGCCCGGCACTGTTAGCGCGAACATGACTTCGGTGTCTTTTCGCCTTTTACTTCGAAAAGGTTCTGTCGGGCATATTAATATGCCAGTTAAACTAGCACCCCGAGTGAGCAGTTTAGAATAGAATAGAATAGAATAGTTTATTCCAGGTTTCTTTCAAAAACACATTTTCCAGAATTGTCTCACTTAAGCACATGTATGCTTGTGTGTGAGAACGAGCTTTTAGTTTTTCCCCGACTAGTGTTCGGGACAGTCTTTCCATTACTAAAAGAGAAATAAATAAATCACGGGATGGCTTGTTCAGTATAACAGTGTCTCCTAGCGTACTGTGAACATCAATTGAACACAAGGGCAGCGTCAGCGCTCCGCGTGAACTTTGCTCAGCTCAAATCCAGAACGAGTTCTGCATTGGTGTTCGGCAAGAAATCGAATTTAATCAGTCTTCGTTCCCAAGCAAAGACGACCCCGAATGTTACTTGATGGTGTTTTGAAAATAGTCTAGCACTGTTCTGCACTCCAGGTAAATCGTGCGATTGTTACATATTTTGCATAACTGTTGATGTGTAACATGCATAGAACAGTCACAGTACAGAGCTTCAAAGCGCGTTTTTCTCTACAAATATGGGCCACTAATAAAAGACAAAAATCAGATATTTTTTTTAAATATTTGCTTTAATGGCATTACGTGCACAATTTTTTTGGCCTTCAAAATGTTTTTGGCTTTTGTTAAGCTAATTTGAGGTACATTTTAAATTGTTATTGAAGTTTCCACCCTTGATAAAGCTCGACGTGAGGTGGTAAACGGAACCCGGCTCATCGAGTGTTGTGTGATGACCTGCTTTGAGGACGACGGCGTATGAGAAATTAGTTATTGACTCTATATAGCCTGCCGCCCCATGGGAATCTCCGCATGTGCTCCACGTGTTTCGTCCAGCCTTTTCAAATGCTTCCTTCTTGGTCCATTGGAGAGTTGAAAAGTGTTTGCGAAAATTCGTGGATGGAAAGAGCGTGTCAAGATGCCCCGTATAGAGAAGAATATTTTGATAGTCGAGGGCGCTTTGAAACTTCTCTTGGATATCGGTAAAGAAATCTCCAGATAACATTAATGCAACCATTGGTCTCAGTGAGTTAATTTTGAAGAAAAGTGGAACGTGTAGTGATTGTTTGAATTCGCTTGTACTAGTGTAGTTGACGTATGCCTCAACCTCAGGTGGCATGATAGAATAGAGTGCGCTTCCTTGGGCCGTGAATCCTGTCAGATTCTGAAAGAGGCTTTTCTCGCCGCCACTTTTCAAATTAAGAACCGTGGTGCTTAGAAGATAGAGTGCCAAGGTAGTGTTCTTCTTTGATAATTCCCTAATCTTTACGAACGTTTTGTTGAATATTCTTCGGCCAGTGTCATCAAGCAGGCCAGTTTGGTACAGGAACTCGGTGGAATCCATTAGGTCTACAACTGGAGCTAGGAATCCAGATCCAAATATTAATCCATTTAGTGATAAATTTATCCTGTTCTCAGGGAGGGTGCACCTTAATCTTTCCCCAAATCCCAGTGCTGCTCTGGCTGAAAAAAGAAAGACACAAACAAGGTTAGCAGCATTCTTAACACATGCAGGTAAATCTTAGTTTTGTAAATGCCCCTGAAGTGTAACCTGCTAAAACTACACCGAAAACACTATACTACTGTCATGACAACAGGTTGCAGAAATAAAATTATAAATGGAGCACCGACCCGCTTGAACGCAGACTAGCTAGAACCTGTGGATGCACCAATGGCACCAAAACGTGGAAGTGTATGTGCCATAACCTTACTGCTTTGATTGACTGATTGAGCAGCTTCGAAGTTGACTCCGCTCTGCATTTAGAGAGTCGTGCATAATTCTCTCAACGCCAGTTAGGCCGAAAGATCAACTTCCGTAGTAGCTAGTAATTTCCTGAACTTAAAAAAGTCCCGCGGTTCGCTATTTTTTTTTTGCCCATAATTGTGTAGCGGAATTTCAATATCGTAATACGTTGGGAATTGGTCTTTACTGCTTGGCAAACTTTGTGCTAGTCAGATTAATCCATGCGTATGTTATTATTATGAGTAGAGCCCAGAATATCCGCGGATTGCCCGCGGATGATCCGGGGATATCCGCAGTCTATGGCCAGATAAGAATAAAAAGGAATAAAATTGTACGGATTGCGGATAGGATGCGAATAGCCGCCATCAGGATCTACATTTTTGTCGAGGTGGCCAATAAACCTCTACGAGCGCATGGTGTAGAATGAATAGGTGAGTGACACGGTGGAGCGTATCAAATATGTTACGGGAGCATATTGCTCTCTTCGAAAAAGGTATCAATAGGGCAAAAAACTGTTCTTTGCGTCAATAAAGATCTGTTTCTCAGCAAAGATTGCTTTCGAACGCACTATCTCTTCAAAAATACTCTCCATAGAAAAAGTATTTAATGCAGGAGCATCAGTCTACCCGAGAAAGCGTGTTCTTGTTTTGGTAGGGAAAGGACAGAAAAAGTTATTTGGTTGAAAACAATCCAAGAGCGTACAAGCCCCAAGAAAGTAGAAGCCTACAAGTGGGTTCTTTGTCAACAAGTGGATCGAAGAGACTGAACTCAATACCTTGAAGAGGTGCAACTTGCGCCAGCACGAGTTTTTGTCCTTACTCTTGTAGCTCAGATCGTGCATTCTATCCCAGCATCAAGTGCACCAGTGGAGAGGGACTTCTAGTTAGCGGGTCTTAATTTGAAAGAGGCGAATCAGTCTGAATCTATCCGTGCTGACGATATGATGTTTCTTTTAAACAGGAACCTGGACAAGTACAACATGGCTTGCTTGTGCGTTTTTTTTTTTTTCTTTCGACAGTTGACAAGTTATTTTGAAGTATGTGGTTCCAAGCGTGCAGTTGAGAGTTCGTGTTTAAAACTCAAACCGATATGAGGTGTTGCCATCATTGAATATTGTGATATTTTCCCCTTGGTATACCCACGTATAGCACAATATACTTTGGTGCTAGAAGTGGCCGTCTTTCCTCTCCTACGTTTTTTATTGTTTGGCCTTAAAAAATTACGCAATGTTTTTAGTTTGTCTTTCGTTAATTTTAATGTATAAAAATATGTGTTTGCTTGAAGTAAGTTTGAAAATGCAAAATGAAAAAAAAATAATAAAAACGTGCTTTATTTTGAGCGCATTTTATAGACAGTGTCATGGACTCTTAAGACGATCTCATACTTCGGACCACCTTCACAGCGATGCGATGTGTCTTTAGACGAATGATCGCTTATAATATAAATAAGGTAAAACAGAGTACGATAACATGGTTTTCACCGTATTCTGACACGAAAAGATTTTTTAACAAACGGAAGCAGACGGCTGGTAACACCGTTCTTGATACTTGCAGTAATGAATTTTGGTTGCGCAACAGTTCCAGATACTTCGATACTTTGTGATTTATTGGCCAGCGGCATTCGATTACAAGAATTTCCTTGCGTGGATTTATCAAAGAAAAAAAAAAACACGTAGACTCATTTACACGTCGCAGAATGCACTTTTTTGTTTAGAATTGGCTGACTTTCTGAATACATTTTCTAATACTTCAGAATACGCCCAAGAACAATACAGAATTGCCTTTAACTTACCTCCGTATGAGTCGCCTGCGATGTAAAAGGAGCGGCCTATGTACTCCGGAAAAAGTATAAGGAATTGTTTCATAAATTTTTCTATTATTTCAGACATATCCTCCAATGTATGAGCATAATATTGAGAATCGGTATAATTTTGGATTATGCTGAGTCCAGCTCCTGCTGGCTGATCCAGGTAGATGACACTTGCATACTCTTGAAGGGTTTCGCTCCTCTTGAAGAGACCTCCCGTCACGTTGATTCCAACCGGCCCGTTCTCTAGGTACTGAGACCACATGGAAGATTTCCCGGGTCCACCGGACAGCCAGAGCAGCAGAGGGGCGCTATCCCTTATATCCTGCGGGGTCGAAGATAATGTGAGAAATTACCCTCTTTGCAGAAAAGGCTTGCTAGCTTGCGAAAAAACACGCGAGCGCCCCCTTTTTGCTTGAAAACGAATGGGCATACGGCCGTTCTCCGGCCTTCAATCTTCTATATTAACGAACAGCCAGAGGAGTAAAGTTCGGGCGGTATCCCTTATTTCCTGCAGGGTCGAACATAACATGTGCATTCGCCTTTTGCAAAAAGCGTGCTGCGCTTGCGCGAAAAGATGCTAGCGCCCCTTGTTTGTCTGTAAGCAAATGGGCATAGCGCCGTTCGTCTACCTTCACTCTACCATACGGACAAATATCTGTGACTTTGCAATCAAAGGTATGAGCGCATGTGCGCTTGAGCATCGGGAGCGTCCATCAACGCTGCGCACGCGCACCCTTTCCTTTATAGAGCGTAGCTCTTAGGCGCCCGTTTCCGGCATGAGTGGCATCGCCGTCTGCGTAACCGCGCGGTGCGTAATGAGGGTCACGAGTGACGTCACGAGGTACCCCCGCGTTGCTTTATGAGGGTCACGGGTGACGTCACGAGGTTCCCCCGCGTTGCATTATGGGAAACGTCTCATGATGCAACGCGCGGGTCTCACTCGTGACCCGCGCATTTCATTACCGGACGTTTCCTATAATGACGTCAGACGTGACGTCATGAGGGTTTCGCGCTTTGCTTTATGGGAAATGTTCCGTGATGCAACGCGCGGGTCTCAGTTGTGACCCGCGCGTTGCTTTATGGGACGTTCCCCATAATGAATGCTCAGACGTGACGTCACGAATGACGTCACGACGGTCCCACGCGTTGCATTATGGGACTTTTCATAATGACGTCACACGTGACGTCACTACTTACTTTATGAGTGTCACGAGGGTCCCGTGCGTTGCATTATGGGAAACGTCCCGTGACGCAACGGGCGGGTGACTTGTGACCCGCGCGTTGCATCATAGAATGTTTCCCATAATGACATCACTCGTGACGTCACGGTCGTTCGTGAAGGTCATGACAAAGGTGACCCGCGCGTTCCTCTCCCCTCCTCCTCCTCAAAAGCTGCGCTCTAATCCGGCATTACAGGTAATTGTAAACATCTTTAATTTTTTTATATGTGACACCAAAAGTTTTCTGGAGCTTACACATAGAAACCGAGGGAACAAAGGAGACGAAAGCGCACAGGGACGTCAAAACACCGAGCTTTGGTTGAAATAATTCGTGGGTAGAGGCAAAGCTCCTTTGAGTCTCCATACTCATTCCTGGAACGCGTTCTGACGCGCAATCATCAGTCCATCCAGTCGGTATCCAGTCGGCATCCAGTCTTTGACGTTCGCGTTCGAAGGCCTCTGAACAGTGAGTAGAGACAAAGACAGCCAACGTCGCCTGTACCCACTAATCATTCCAGCCAGGGCTCGGCGATCTGGGATCCCCGTGCACACTCATCTCCTCTCCCTCCGTTGCCACCCATGTAGGGCCCGTCGGAAGCAACAAGTGCGTCGTGGGTCGCCTTGTTTCTCCCAATGACAGTGTGCTGTGCCGCCAACGGTTGCGCAGATTCATTTTGCGGAAAAGGGAACTCCAAGTTTTCAGCGGCGCTCGGAGATTCGAGTTCGAGGTTGGGTCCGGTGATCACGGGCGCAGGCCGTCTCAGAGTCGCGAACATTCCCGATAAGATGGCGCCACCTGTCAAAATAAATTTATTTTCCCGGCGGGTATACGGCGAGTAAGTGTTCACAAATGTGTCTTCCGCGGGTTGGAGTGTAAGGAGGCGCACGCCAATCAAAGAGCAACACGAAGAAAGCGCGGGATACGTGTGATGACGATGCAGTCAAATGCACCACGTGCGCAAAAAGCAGACGAATTTTCACCCCGTATAGTCCAGTGTCCGAAATCCTAACCCCCAGCGATAAAATTGGGAAATAATATTCTCAAACGCAGGGTTTTGTTAAGAGAAGGGCTGCGCATAAAACTTTATATTTTTCTTTTTTACAGCACTCTTGGTATCGGTGTTGTTCTTGGAGCTTCGTCAATATGCATTTCTGACGTTCACGCACCACCGTATATGCGAAAGTTAAAAAAAAAGTGTCTTGCAAAAAACGCAGGCCCCCTACTGTGTCATGGCGGCAGCATAAAAAAACATGGCTGCGCCCATGGAACAGAGCAGAGAATGGTCTATAGACCACACATTTTGACGTTTAGCACGCGGCTATATTTTGCTGACTGGGGCACCACCTTGTGGGAATTTGGCGGGGTCTGCAATTTAGCGGGCATTTTCGCCGCTTTCGCAGATGTTCGAACCCGTATTAAAACAGCAGCCGGTGTTAAAGCCGCACATGACGAGGAAAGAAAACGGCACGCCTAAAGAACTCGTGTAGGCTGCGCGTACTGCGGCGTACTTTTTCCGCAGTCCCCTGTGCCGCCAGCGCCGTCCGCTGTCGAGAGTGGAACACCGTTGGCGTCTGCTAGCGAGGCTACAAACAAGTGGTATGCGAAAGGCCATGAATTCAGTGCGCGCTGCACCTGCATCTCGTGGATTCTGCCTTTGGTAACACTTCGACGAACGCGATGTGGGAGCCTCGTGAAAGGCGACAAACGCGTGGCGGAGGCGGAGTGGAGTTTCCACTGAACTTTCGGACTGTCAGAGACTATTGGTGCGAAACTTTAATAAATATTAAAGTTTCGCTACGCGAAGAGATGAAAGGGGCGCGCGCTCAAAAATAAAGAAGTTGTTCTTGTTGCTGGCACTGATCGTTTACACACTATAGTCGGTTGCAAGCTAAGAAAAAACCGGAAATGCCTCTCAGAGGAAAATGTAATCCTACGCCGAGAAACGCCAGCCAATTGTTTTCCTGACGTCACGATTCTGTGGACCAATCGCGATCCTTTTAAAAAAAAAGGCTCAACATGGCTGCTGGCCTTAGCAACGCGATGCTATAGTTTCTCGTGACAATTATTCTGCTTTTTTGCACCGTGTTTTACGTGCCCGAGGTTACGCCACGAAATCTTGATGGTATCGGCTTGCGTTTGCAGCAGTTTTTGCACGACAACGTGAGAATCCAGCGACGCTATCGCCAACGAAAATTTCGAAGCGGGCGCGAGGCTTAGCACTGCTGAGAGGTATGTTAGACGGTATGTTAGACAGTATCTTGGACAGAAAATGAATTGGGAAGACGGTACATTGGACATGAATTTCTTTCTTTCTTTACTAAACAGCTATTTCGTTGACAAAAACGTATTCTAACTTATTTAAATGTCCTGAATGAATTAAATAAATATTGTAGTAGTTTAAGACAGGTTTCCTGGAGGAAGAAAAAGCAACGTTGCTATCGAACTACTTTCTCGACGGCGGAGGCACTTCAGATGGGCGCAATGCGCTTGTGGGTGGAGCTAAAAGATTGTTCTTAGGTTGCATCCGACTATACCTTTACAGTAAAAAAATTGGCACGTGGTTCAAATTAGAAACTCTCAGTATCATAAAGAAAAGAACCCAAAAGGAGCAGATTTTAGAATTAGCTCAAGTACATGTAAAGCGCGGGCAAAAGTTACTTGTGCACCATGCACAAGGCTGGCGATGCGAAAACACGGGTGATAAGAATATTATCCTCGTTTTCGCATCGCAAGCCTTGGCGTATCTAATTAGAACAATATGCTTATTTTTACTAATTAGAAAGTGAATACGTAACTTTGAGCCAATTATAGCTAACTACGTAATTAGTAGGGTTTCAGCAATCCCTAATGTTTGCCGTGGCTGGGAGTTTGTTCCCGGAGTTCCCTTTCTTTATTTTTTCTCAACAAACCTATTGGTAGGATTTTTTAAAGTTCTTGCTGAAACACGCGGCTTGACATACAAGGGAATCGGTTTGGACGTTTCGCTAAATTTCTGTTAAATGTGAATCTGAATTTTTGTTAAGAAAATGATGGGTGTATAAACTCACTTACCTTAGGTGCTTTTGTAAGCAGAAAAAAGAGGTGGCTTTCCTTCGACAATGAAATGTATCCAGAATAAGCATCTACGTCCGCAATTGTCTTGAAGATATCCACTTTGCTCCTATTGACCGCTTTGGAAATATTGTCTTTATTGTCCATGTATGGCGAAAAGAACATGCCAGAAGTAGCGCTGCAATTCAGAAAAAGAAAGACACTCAGGGCAATGGAATTTTATTTTTGAGGCGTCTTTGTATTGTGGGTCGTGTTTCAGTTTGTAGAAAGCTGAAATAGAAAATACTCAAACTTCCGGGGCCTGAAAAAAAAAAAAAAAAACTAACTAAAAAGTGCCTATCATGCGGGATTGGTTTGTTTCGCGGTATTCTAAAGTTTTATTTAATAAAAGTCAGGCTGAGGCCTGTAACTTGTCATTTTTTTCTTCTTTATATGTCTATACTGCATTGGAAGAAATACGCATGGCTAAAATTAACAACTTCGGTAACACATTTGGTAAAAGCTGACTTCAAGAAGGCGTTTTAAAGTTTTGAGAAAAAGAACAGAGAGTAAATTGCAGTGGTTCTAAATTTTCTAGGAATGAAACTAAAATTTCATTATTGATCTACTGATGAGTAAGTTTACAAGATTACCACTCGTGCAAAGGCGCAAGGCACGTGACGCGAAAACACGGATGATAATTTTATCATACTCATCTATCGTGCTAAGTCATCAGCAATCAACGCATTCCGAGTAGAATCGTCTCAAAGTGCGGATGTATCGGTCGTTTTTACGGATTCGTTCATCTTTTGAAATATGGGGACCCACACCTCGCCAGGAAACTTTTTGATATGAACTCACTTTGTAACTAAAGGCTGAATATGAAATATAGAGCCCTCGAGCCCATCCTGATACCATGAAAATACTCACAAACAAATTCTTTTTGAGAAAATCAATCCCAAAGTGGGAATGGTTTGACTGCTTTTGAGACATTCGTTCACCATTTGAAATTTGGGTACCCGCACCTCGCCAGGGAACTCTTTGACGGCAACCAAGTTTCCAGCTAAACGCGTAATGTAAAATTTAGAGCTCTCGAGCCCATACTGGTACTATGGCAAATGCTCAAAAACAATTCCTTTTGGAAAAAAAGAAAAACGACCTCAATTTGGGAACGGTTTTGTCTGTTTTTAGACATTCGTTCATCTTTTGAAATTTGGCCACACGCGCCACGCCAGAGAAACTTTTAAGAACAACCCAGTTCCCAGCAAAAAAAAAAAAAAAAGCATATAAAAAGTAGAGCACTCGAGCCCATCCTGGTACTATGGCAAATAGTCGGAAACAGATCCCTCTTGAGAAAGGCGGTGTCAAGATGGGGAAGGGTTCGAAAGTTTTTATGTATTCGATAATCTTTTCATTCGCATTCGTTCATCTTTTGAGATTTGTGCAAGCGCGCCTCGAAAGAGAACGTTTTGAGGACAACCCATCTCCCAGCTATAGGCAGAATAAAACATTTAGAGCACTAGAGTCCATCGTGAGACTATCCGCCGAATTCAGAAACCTCACTCCAACTACACTCAAAGTGAAGGGCCCCTCCACTTCCTCGAGGAAGGCGCGAGGGCCGGCGCTGGCCAATCGCGAGGACGGATCCGCCGTCGCGACTGGCCAGCGCCGGCCCTCGCGCCTTCCTCGAGGAAGTGGAGGGGCCCTTCAGTTTGAGTGTAGTTTGAGGGAGGTTTCTGAATTCGGCGGTATGGTAAGTACTCGAGATTGAAGCCTTTTTGAGGAAAGCGATTGGAAATTGGGGATGGTTCGGCTGTTTTTAGGCATTAGTCCATCATTTGAAATTCAGATACACGCACCTCGCCAGAGAACTTTTTGAGGAAAGCCCAGTTTCGAGCTCGAGACAGAATATGAAATATAAATCTCTCGAGCCCGTCCTGGTACTATAACAAATACTCAAAAAACGAATCCTTTTTTAGTCAACCGGTCTTAGAAATGGGATGGTTCTGCGGTTTATACTAATTTGTTCATCTTTTGAAATACGGGCACCGCACCTCATCCAGAAACTTTTTTAGGTCGGCCGAAAAATAAGCTGGAGATGAAATCTAAAATTTATAGTCCTCGACAATAAGCTGCTACTACGGCAAATCCTTTCAAATGAACCATATTTCTGTAAACATGTCTCGAAGTGGACATTGTTTGAGTCTTTTTAGGCATTCGTTCATCATTCCAAATTTGGGCCATGGCGCTTCATACAGGAACTTTGTGAGATCCTCCAAGTTCTTAACTGTTGACTAGCAACACAATTTAGGGTTCTTGAGTACAAGCTGCTGATATGACAAATCCTCTAATATGAGCCATCTTTGAGGATGCTTGTCACGAAGTGGACATTGTTTGTCTGTTTTAGGCATTAATTCATCATTTTATATTCGGGCACCCGAATATGAAAGGTATTGACATCTGCCGAATTTGGAACAGGTGAAGAAATAAAAACTTTAAGGCCGCCGAACACAGGTTTCAGCTATTGAAAAATCTTGTGCTTCAACCCTCTTCGAAGATTGGGATATCAATTCGGATCACTTCTTTCAATTTATTTTTTTATGTTTATGTTTTGGCGATTGGGACAATAATTAAATAAAAAATATTTAGTATGCGCCTAAATATTACTTTTGACATCGGAATGTTAAGTTCACAAGAACGATCATCCTATCCTTAATTGTTTATTCACCGCAGTGCTTCCAGTCCTTGCAATAAAAGTCACTGTTATAATCACATAACAATAATAATAAAACAAATATTTTGAAAACTATTTTTATAATTTTATATTATTGTTATACAAGCAGTCTTCTTTTTCTTGCTTGTTTATGTCAGTGGCAGAATACTATAAATGATCGTAAACGTCTACACGAGAATGAATCCGCCTTATTTAGCGAATTCATCTCCGGAACCGAAGAAAATAATAAAAAAAAATGTACTTAGCACATTATTGATTCTTGTGGTTTACTGTAGTCGAAAGGAAAGTCTTCTATTTTGCTTTATTTTTAAATGGGTCTCGTTTGAGCTTTGTTGTTTCTCAAAAATTAGTGTGACCTGCCTCCCAAATATATTTTTTGACAGGTCTAGTACACATCTTAGACACTACAAACTTGCCGTAATATTGGGGAGGGATCCTATTTAAAATATACAATCATAATGATTTAATTATGGCCGAGCATAAACTGTAGACTTTGATTAACTTGGGTACAATCAGTAGTGGCAATAGATCAAAAAGTTTACTAGTATTCGACTGAGGAACCTGCAGTTTACACGTCACCATCTTGAAATTTTGGCAAAAGAATAATGGTATTTGATAGAATAGAGTAGTAGTTTGGCGAATTGTTCGAAGCGTAACGTTTCGAAGTTGTGGCCATATTTGTATATGAAGTACTATCAGGTTGAAATGAAAGGCGATCACCGGGGCGCGTGCCGCTCCGTACATCCTGTGCCGCCTGTCAGCGATCGGGGGAACCCTTGGCGCATGCGCTGTTCAAGTTGACGGTGCGAGGCTGCGTGTCCTACTGTTAGGTGCTCAGCTCCCGGCTGGCGCACCTGTGCATCTCCGCCGCGCCGCTGAGGGTGCCCTAAGCCGTCGCCGCTGGGGTTCAAGCTCCTGGCTGCCATATAATTATCTTTCCTTCCTTAACCTTTCTTTCTATCCTCTTCGGTCCTATCTTCCCTCCCTAAGCCACCGTTCCAGAAGAATACACTTCAAGCGGCACGGCGGTTATTTCATTTTCTGCTAATAAAAACGTTTCAATCAAATCAATCAATTTCTAGGGATTTTTCAAATGCAAGCCCGATCAATCAGCGCAAGATCAACAAGCTACGCAGAAAATTGAAGCTGATGAAGCGCGACTTCCGACTCGCTCCTCCTCGCCGGCACCAACGGTCACCCCTCTAGACCTCAAATGACCTCCTCACATACACGTGTTTCTTCGTCGATGAAGCTATTCAATGACCTCTTCAACAGTCATACGACGGGCCATACCGAGTCGTGACTCGACATAGTCCCAAACTCTTGATATCAAGGGGCAACAACAAACCGTGTTCATTGACCGATAACCAGAACATAGCATTTGTTGGACAACACATATTTCTTTACTCATTTTGTTTTAAACTGGATATGACGGACGAAAAGGGGAGCAAACACGTAACTTGTAAAACGCAGCTACTAAACTTTCGGCAGATTTGTACCTATTCCCCCCCCCCCCCCCCCTCCCCGTGACCATCAGCTAGCCTACATCTCGTCATCAAGCCCGCTTCCGGCGCAGCAACCCGATGGCTTAACTTGCTGACCAGTAAGAAACTGATCACAAATACCGACGACGGTGGGAGAGATGACCGATACAACAGCGAATACAGAGCAATGTCTGCATCAGATAGATGATGATTGGAGATAGAGAGTGAGTAGTCAGGCAAGCTGGTTTAAATAGACATTTCTAGAAACCCGAGGCGACGGATGAAATGTGGAAGAACGAAAAACGCCTCCAAACGCAGCTACCAAAGATTATTGGCACGAACGTTTATATCATTCCCCACACACGTCTCGGCAAAATCGCACACACACCTGTGACCATCTGCTGGGGTACACCTCGTCTTCAAGTCCATCCAGTGCACGGCGTGTACAGATTTTCCGAGATATGTGTGTGGGAGATGGCATATATACGATTGTGCCAATAAAGTTTTGTTGCTGCGTTTGGGGGGAGACGTTTCGTGCTTCTCCCCCTTTTCGTCCGTCGTCTCCAGTTAAAAAAAAAAAAAAAAAAAAAAGTAACATGAATTAGCTCGCTTGTTACCTCATTCTATCATCACACATCTTTCTTTGCACATCCAGAAGTTTCTATGCCCTCGAATTAGCCACCGGAATAGCCACGAAATCTTCAAATACGCTTTCTGTTTCCGCACGTTCAGGTGAAGTGGAACTAGTAGCACAGGCCCGCATAAATTCCAGCGCTTTCAATTCGTCAAATAAAGCGATTTAGTATTCTATCCAAAAATTTAGCTACGACAGTCTTCAATATGGCGGCCGCCAGAAAAATAAAGAAAAGAAAGGTCTTTAGACTATAGACCACGCTGATTTCTTTAATGAGTGTTCTACAAAAAGGTAGACGCAAAGTTATTTTTGGAGTCCATACAGCTTATCTGGCAAATAATTGTGTTGCTTGTGTGTTTAAAAAACGGCAAGTTAGTCAGCCGAAACGGGCATCTGGGCCGGCATTCTAGAATCAACGTCTCAGCTGCATCACCAAGGCTATCTCACAAGTGGAGATGCACGTGAAGTCTAGTCTCTCGCGCGCCCCGGGCTTGGCAGGCTTTCCTTCATACCCTCTTAGCTAAAGACATGTTCACACACTTGAGACTCAGCAAAAAAGCCCCGGTGTCTCCGCTGTGGATGAAACATTTTGCCAGTGCACTGCCGCTGGTTCCTGAGGTCTTACGTGCATCACGCAGAAGCGACAGGCAATCGCGCGCCGTTACAATCCTCATTCAGATCGAAACCGGCAATGGTGGAGATCGAGCCCAGGATTCCTGCGTCCTGCAGCGTGAACTTTCGCTCTCGATGCTTAAGTTGGAGCTACGGCGCGCTAACCCACACAACCACCAGTAGCCAAAAGTATCCTCTTAGAGATTCATAGTTTTTTGCATACCTTTTTTCATGGACAGCTTCCTTTTCCGTCCCAGATTTCGCGCTTATACATCTTGGGGCCGAGAAGGCGAACACCACTGAGAACAGAAGCAACAAATGCATAGTTTCACCTGAAAAAAAGAAAAGAAAAAAGAAAATTAAGAGCACGATATGATGAAGTTCTAGGCAAATAATTACCCCCAAAACAGAATAATGAAATAATCTAACCATACATAGGTATATCACCCGACGTCTGTAAAAGAAGACTTGACCACAACTCTCCAGGAATTAAAATGTTTGAAAAGATTGCAGTTTTTTTAGCCAGTTTTATAATAAATTAACCTACCAAACACCTAATGCCACTTACGAATTTTTTTCACGAATTTAGGTGAATTTTCTTTTTTTTTCCGTATGTCGCAGAGATGTTCCCAGCCGAATGTCCTCAAGCGTCCTCGAAGCTGACCTTTTTTACTTCAGCGAATTAATACGCGCTATTTATTCTCAAAAGTTTGCACATGCGCAGACGTAATTTCTTGGCCTTCTCTTTGTGCCTTCGAGATCACGTATACCATCAAAAGTGCGAAAACAATTGGATGTCGATTGGAGTCAATATTGTGAACAAAAGAAATACAAGTTACCCTTTGACTTTTAACGTTTCTTCTGAAATTTATCTAAACAGGAGACTGGTAAAGAATAGGTATTGTTCTTGCATTCCTTCGCTGACAACTGCGTGCCAATGCGATAGCACTTCGATGATTGTTCTTCAAGGTCCTATATCGCTGAATTATCTGAGAGAAACTTCTTTTTTTAACTTACCTCTTGGTCATGGCAGAACCAGCACAGTTTGCTTCTAAAGGATGGTTCACACATTTGCAGCGGTTGCGTTCTCATGCAACCGAAACGACCGTAACGACCAAAACACCGCAACAACCCTGACTCATGAATCGCTTCGAGAAGCTACCTCTTGCATCGCTTGCCATGCGGTGTACGGCGAACACTTGTCCCGGTGACCTTGTCATTACGGTCGTTTCGGTTGCACGCGAAAGCAAACAACGCAGAAGATTGAACCAGCCTTAGGTACCTAGCTAAACGCTCTTCTTTTGCGAGGCGTGTGAAGACATTTTAACGTAAAACGGTCTTTGGCTAGGTGTTCAGCACCTCGAGAAGCCCAGTAAAAGCGTGGCCTCTATAAAAACATGACCCCACGGTGTCGCTGGTGTCGTGTGTGAAGTAAAGACTCGTCATGTTTCAGAAGTAGCGCAAGGTGCACCGATGCATGAGGCACGTGCAACGTGCAGCCCTTGGGAAGATCATGGCGGCACAGCGCAGCAAAATACTCCGTCTCAGGAGTTGCGTGCAGCGAGGGCAAAGGCATACGCGCGGGAACATGGCTTTTAGATTTGCTTTCCTTCCACGAGTGCTCATGAAAGGAAGGCAAATCTAAAAGGCAAGCGCTCGCGCCTGTGCCTTTGCCTTTTCTGCACGCAACTCCTGAGACAGAGTGTAGGCTAGATTTGAGATGCCATGTTCTTTCCAGAAGTGAAACGCGGCACGTGTCTCGAGCATTTCCAGAACAATGATTGGCGCCACTTTTCCTAGGATAGAGGGGTTTTACTGTGGAGCTGTACACTTCACCTCACAGTCAGGCAGAAACCCTCAATGTAAATATTGTTAAAACAATTTGCGAAAAAAGGGTCCCATCTAGTCTTTTTTAAAATGTTTTTGCTCGCTTTCCATTCCATTGTCCCTTTAAAGAAGACGGCAATGACGAAAGCGGCGTAATTTGTCAACTGTCACCTAAAACAACTAAGTAGCCGTGTGCGAATGCCGATTCAAATAGAACAGCGCAGTGTCATCCCCAGCTTTATCACTGCTAAGGAAACCGGTGGTCGTGACTTTTCCTTCCATTGCGAAGGTTACGAAAGACGCAGTGCTGTTCCATTCGAAGGACTATTCTCACATTCCTACAACTGAACCCAGAGGCAAACTGATGGCAGCGCCTCTGGCGAGCCTGGAGTCTCCGCTAGCATGTGATCTCTTTGGAATGAATCGGATTTGCCTATCTCCGCACGAGGTAACCAACATAAAAGCATCGTGCCGTGTTTTTTTCTTCTTCTTTTATTGCTTTGATTGTTAAAAACGTTTTACCATTTCACGAGTGAAGGTTGCGTTCTTTCCGTGAAAAATGATTTTTTTTTTTTGCTTTTTAGACGCAGTTTTGTCTTATTGGCAAAGACAATATTCTGATGTCACAGTTTTATATAAGGCCCTGCGATACACAAATCTGACTTCGAGCTGTTTTTTTTTTTTTTATTTGACGTTTAAAACTAGTTTTCCCACTAAACTTAGCGGGGACAATGAAGTCAAATGATTTGGTATCACGTCCCATGTTAACTAAGGCAGTTTCTCCGCTGGATTTAGCGGAAAATTTGACGTCACGTGACATCAACAGAAATTCAATTTTTAGCGGGGAATTGAATTGGTCTTGAGGTCACGTGGCGTCATTAATTTTCCCGCTAAATTTAGCGCGGCAACACCGAAGCCGACGCCGCGAAACACGGAAATGGGCACCTAAGAGCTGCGCCCTAAAATTGTGATATTGCCATCTGACTGGCGAAAAACCGGAAAAATAAGCTGCTGTCAGAAGTGAGCTTTCGTAGTCCCTGATTGTAACACAAAACTTTTATAGTAATTGAGACTCAATGTTTACTTCAACAAGTATAAATAAGGGGGATCTGTCGCCGACTGGGGTAGCGCACACCAGCTCGGAGCACGTGGAGTGAAAGCTCGCGCTGCAGAACGCAGGACTCTGGGTTCAATCCCCACCCTTGCCCGTTTCGATCTGGATGAGCATCGTACCGGCGTGCGGTCGTGTATCACTATACTGCGTGATTCACGTTAAAGACGACAGGCTTGTGGTTCTACTGCACTGGAGAAATTTCTCCTCTACAGCTGGGAGACAAAACGCCCGTTGAGGCTGATTAAGTTATAGGCTGTATAAACAGGGCGGCGGAGAAAAGCTCACCGGAGAAAAGCTCACCGGAGAAAAGCTCACCGGAGATAAGCTCACCGGAGAAAAGCTCACCGCAAAACCGGCAGATGCGGAGAAAAGCTCACCGATTTTTTAAACTTAACTTAACGGATTCGGCGTCAAACGTGGCAATTTACCACAATTCGCATTCGTCACTTCATTAAAAATATCTACTCTTTTTTTGTAATATTCTTGAAGTTTATTGGGCATATTTACTAGTAAACGTGGATGTCCGTGGAAAAAAGAAGCCTCTATATCCTACTGTCTTATTATACTGCAATTAAATGCAAAGGTGCAAGCCAGCTGAACTGGTGAGCGACCGAAAAAATCCGCCTGGTCCCGGGTTCGATACCCGGACCAGGCGGATTTTTTCGGTCGCTCACCAGTCACCTAGCTGTTGTTCGGAGATTTATGTTTGTCCTTTGTCCCCCTTGTTCCCCTTCTCCAGGGATTATTTCGTCATCGTACTGTCTGTTTTATCCTTTTTTCAAAGGTTAACAAAAGCTTCAAAGAGAATTTAAGGCACCGCATTGTTGGGCATGCACTTTCGGATTTCCGGCATTCACAGTTTTTATTTTTAGGTTTTAGGCAGACATTATTAAATTTTGGAACTTTTTCCTCTTCGTCAAGTTCATAAAGTTTTCAGTTAGGCTTTCGTTGCCCTAGAGAATAAGCCGCAGAAAACGTTCGCCCGCAATTATTAATTTGGGAGCAATATACCCAATAAGCTTACCAATACTACAAAAATTGACTGTTTCGTTATTACAAAGCTGAGAAATTTTAATGAAAATAAATGTATATATGTAACGTATTATCCAACAGCCTCCGTATAAAAACTAAAAAGAAGAAAAAATCGGTGAGCTTTTCTCCGCATCCGCCGGTTTCGCGGTGAGCTTTTCTCCGGTGAGCTTATCTCCGGTGAGCTTTTCTCCGGTGAGCTTTTCTCCGGTGAGCTTTTCTCCGGGATTCGTATAAACATACACGGAACCCAATTTTCTTTTAAGTGTGGATACACCACCACCGTGGAAAGAAGAGCAATATAAATTATGTTCGTTTCATAAAATTTCATTTTGCGGATTGAGTCTTTCACGTCAGTTTTTGGAAATACCATGAACTTCTAAATTAAGCTGCAGGCTTTTCCACTGAAGGTCCGAAAATGTGATCCTGAGCTTTCGAACCTCTTCTTTGGTTTTGTTTTGTCGATTCCAGGAACTCTAGCTCTTAGGTATTTGATTTTCTTCTTTTGTTCCTTGCCATTTTCTTTAATGACGTCATACTACGCCGACATTATGGTGATGGACGCTTCAAAACTTCCAACAGTGACCTTAAGGCCTTGAAGCTCGTCCTGTTTTTTGTTAATGGCGGCCAACACAGTCGACATGCCACCGTCCTCTTTCTGCTTACTAGCTACGTCACCTTTCAATTCTGAGGATCGACACAAAGGCATTCCGATGCTTTACGGTATGACACGCCCGTGATTTCGAGCTTCATCTCCGAAACGCCAGCACAACCCCCGAAATGATAGGTATAGCCACATTCCCTGAACAAAATCCATTGTCCTTCACCAAGGAATTCCACTTGACATTTAAGGCACAAAGTATCTGCCACTTGCGGAAATGACAATGACGAAGCACCAAAGCACAGCTGGCGTCTGCAGCGACGGAACAAATAATTTCTCGATAATAACGCAACGCAAAAAAAAACAAACAAAAAAAACATGTAAAGGCGTACAGGAATGCACTCTCGGCAGCCGCCCCTGCCGTCAGTATTCTGTGGTTCACGCTTGCGACGGCCTCCATAACATCATGATCCCACGGTGTCGCTGGTGTCTGGGGTGGGGCTGCAAACTTCACATCGTCATCAGTCAGGGATAGTGTTTTTTGACATGAGACAGCGGATCCTACGCTTAAGATCACGTTTGCTTATATAATCGGGTAATCTGTAAAAGCGTACAACCTATTGAATCCTGCGCAGTCACCAGCCGCCGCTACACTCTAAAAAAAGAAAAAAGAAAAGGGAGAAGTACTTTTTCTCTTAAAGGAAAAACTCGCGTGTATCATATATTGATCTATCAAGGGAGGAAACTTCCATC